GAACAAGACTTCTTCCTCCCGACTTCAATAAGAAATATACAGCAATTCGGTTCTCAACAGGATCGCTTCGCTTTTTTAAAACTCGAGTTGAGACAATTCCTGACTCTACAACATTCGAAGCTCTTCTTCAATAGGCAACAAGCTCACACAAACGATACCAATACTCATAAACATAAGATGGAGCAAATCAAGGCTCTGAATGCTTTAGAGGTAATGATGATTTTCGACTAGATTTAATTGAAATTGACATCAATGTACTGACTGTGACAAGCCCTTCCTAGCTCTTACTAAATCCGCGACATCACCCCGCGCTGCTATCGACCTGATCACTCGAGCGACTGATGCTCCAGGAACCTTCATATTCACCGAACTTCTCCTTACTCCCCAAATTCAAGCACTTTCTACCGCCCCTCCAGAACAAGCAGCCTATCTCTCTCTCCTCAAGATCTTCAGTTATGGCACATACGCCGACTACACTAGCGACCCATCTCTCCCCACCCTCTCCGCAGCTCAAACCCTCAAACTCCGCCAGCTCTCCTTTCTCACCCTTGCAAAGAATCCCGCCGACTTGACTTACCCCAAACTCCAATCTGCCCTCGCCCTCTCCACTCCCCGCGAACTCGAAGATCTCGTAATCAGTGCTATATATGCCGGTCTCATTACGTGTACATTGGACCCATACCATCAAGCTGTCCTTGTCTCCTCCGTCTCACCCCTCCGCGATCTTCCTCACTCCACAATCCCATCGATGCTCTCCACTCTCTCCGCCTGGTCCGCTCGTTGCACCACGACTCTCTCTTCCCTTGAATCTCAAATCGCCTCCATCAAAGCCGATGCCCAGCGCCGTCACCGCGATGAACAAGATTGGAACGCCCACGTCGAATCTCTCCTCGAGCCCACTCCTCCTACTGAAAGTCCGTCAGGACCGACTGGCGTCATGGGTAATATCCAAAGTCTCACGGGCAGAATGACGAGATCGTCTGGAAAACGCCACAACCGACTAGAGGGACAGTCTAGCGATGAGGAAATGGATGATGCGGATCCAATGGGTGGTCAGCACAAGGATACACGAAGTTCGAAGAAGAGAGGTTTTGGCGGCTTAGGATTTGGGAAGTGAGTTGTTTTGCTGTCGCAGCTTCGAGCTTGTGACCAGTAGGACTTTTCGCTGACCAATTCTTTAGCGCAGTAAACTTAGCTTCTTCGGCGCATTCAGTAAGCCCAGATGGCTCGGAAAAAGGTCCTGGTGTTCTCCGGAAGTTGTTTCCCAACATAAGATTATAGTTCCATTTGTATGGAGTTTTCTCATGTTGTGGCTGAGATATACCCCAACTCGTTTTCGGTCATGGAAGCAGGTATCAAGGATAAAACTATAAGGTGGCGTATGAAAATGGAGAAGGCAGTACATACATTTTCACATTGGTTTAGTCAGGTTGTGCGGTTTCTATATGAAAATAATCATGCATTAAATGTATGAAGGAAGAGGATATCAAAATCACACGCTATTAGCTCCCACGCGTACAAATAGACAAGTTAAGGAAAGTAACAGAAGAGAGGTGCCATCGAAAGGATCGTCGAGTCGTCCATCCTCTTTTGTAGAGACATCCAGTCTTTTTCGAGAGGAATATAAAAGCAAATAAAGTTCCCCCAAAATGATAAAAACAAATCAACTCAACGCCATCAAATCAACGTGTGATATCATCCTGCCTGTCTGCCAACCCTGTGTACAAAATCCCAAATCACACACTATGAAAGAGAAAACTTCTTCCTAGAACACCTCGCTCTATAAACAGAACTCCCAAAACTCCCTTTCTTTCCATCCCAGCTCCATGATGTGCTTTGTTTATGTTTCATGCAGTTGTTATACTTTTGCATTTAGCCTTCATCTATCAATTCTCATGTTTACAATCTCTTTCCAGGTACTAACACAAATATTAGGACTAGTGCTGCATCGGTGATAGCTGTGACCATTAGGACCATGAGTGCACGTTTGTGGAGAAGCCTCCGAACGAATGGTTCTCGAATTTTGGAGAAAGACATGAATGTGTATTCACTGTATCCTGCCAGGGCAAGAATGGGGTCGAGGGCATATTGGTGAGAACAGAGTGCATAGACACCAATGGTGAAGGGAAGGAGAACCTGAGATCATGTTAGTACGGAGATAAAGAGTATAAAAATAGTGCGAGATACGTACCCAAACACGAGTATGGTGGGGATAGTTGAGGAAGATTAGAATGAATCCAACCCAGAATGCGGCAAACATTGAGAGTAAGCCAACAATTAATCTCAACATCATTGAAGGGGGGACTAAGTTGCCTAAAGCCTTCATTCTTAAGAAGCCTGGGAAAGCATCCCTTTCCATTGCTTGGAAAACATAGTCCTTGGCTGCATCGAACACTTCCGGATCGTCGCGTCCCCTTTCTTCAATAGAAATGGTAATATCTTGGGTGATGGCGTGTGGAAGAATGATCTCACGTTCGGCACCTGGAAGGAGGAAAGTATAAAGAATCTTCTCAGCAGAAGCTCGGATGTCGGCTCTCGCGACAGTGTGTGCAGGAGAGTTTGAATCTGACGTCAAATCCATAGGGCTACTCATGAAACTTGGTCTAGGCCTTTCACTAGACATATTTCCCAGATTGTGACCAGAAACATTGGAGCCCAAACTATGAGAAGGAGAGTGTCCATGTGGAGCAACAACCTCTCCAGTATCAGATTGTTCTCTGAGGAAGGCGGACATCTGAGCATCTTGGTTCTTCTCCTTTTCTGTAGTGAACATGGATGGCCCGGCGGGATTTGTCATGTCACCAACATTCTCAAGAACAGCAGAAGATCGTTTGGATTGAGCATCGTCGCCTTTAGGTGTACCTATCATTACAGATCGTCGCAATTCGCGAACATAGTGTCGGCATAATGACATGTGTTGAGCAACATCAAGCCTACCCTCAAGTTAGTGACTGAAGTGGACAATTAAAGACAAGACAAACCAAAAGTCAAGATAATCAACAGAGCGCTGCTGATCTCTCATATAAATATAGAAGGAGAAGAGATCCACTGGGGGTAAAGTCCTTCTACTGAGTACCTCGAATAGAGTTGGAAGCCGATTCCGATTTAGATCGGGTTGGGGGGAGTTCATTCCTGACATGGTGATAGAGAGGAGACCAGAGATAGGATGATTGGAAAGCGAAAAGGATTGAATTAAAAGGTAGTGCTCGAAATATTCGCTCTGGTTTTGCAAGGAGTTCTCAGGTGTTGTCGCAAAGTGGAAGATTGCTGTGAAGTTGTTGTTGTCCTGGTAATGAAAAGAAAGGATCGGAAAGAGCGTCGAAAGTCGGGATAAACTAAAAGAGTGGATAGGATCTGTTAAAAAACCTTAGAACCTGAGAAGAGTTTCAAGTTTGCGACGCTCAGTCCGAATTAAAATTGAAGTCATAAACGTTATGTTATCGGCGTTGCACTGAATCCATCGACAAACTGAGGTTCGTGGTTATGGCCTTATGATATTATGTAATCATTCACGAGGCATCAACAAATTATTGAACTTTTCGGTTAACTAGCGCCTTCCACACTGAAGGAATTTCGAAATTCTAAGACTGCATTATTGAAGCTTAGACAAGACAACTTTTCACGACAAATCTCGCGACGAATCCTTCAGTACGTTGATATACCTCCCGCCGAATTGATCGAAGATCGAAAATCGAAATCTCCCAATTCTAACCAATATCTCAGAAATGTCGACGACCACCAAGAAGACCGGCGGCAAGGCCCAAAGATCCGCCATCGCTGATGTTGTTGCGCGCGAGTACACCATCCACCTCCACAAGAGAGTATGTCGAAATTGCGAAAAATAGGGCGTCGAAAAGAGGCAGAAGACTGATAGTTTTAATTTAGTTACATGGTGTTTCTTTCAAGAAGCGTGCCCCAAAGGCCATCAAGGAGATTAAGGCATTCGCTACTTTGTCAATGGTATGGATTTCCATCTAGAAGGACCGGCATAGATGATACAACAAGGAAACAATACTGATGTTGGTATTTCATTAATTTATAGGGTACCACCGATGTCCGTCTCGATCCCCAATTGAACAAGAAGGTCTGGGAAGCTGGTATCAAGGGTGTTCCATTCAGACTCCGCGTACGAATCTCGAGAAAGCGTAACGACGAGGAGGGCGCCAAGGAGAAGTTGTACAGTTACGTCCAAGCCGTCAATGTCCAAAACCCCAAGGGTCTTCACACTGTCGTTGTTGAGGATGCATAAATGATAAAAATCAAATGGCATGGGGGATACTTCTGGAGTTGCTGCATTTCTGCTTGCTAAGGTAGCGGAAAATGAAAAGGTCTAACTTTCGATACCTAAATGCAGTCAATTGTTGTGGGAACATTTTCATGCACTTGTGATATTGGTCTGTGCTATGAGGCTGGGAAAAGGCAGATGGGGTCTTTTTTCGGGGAGTTGGGGAAGTAATGCTCCTCCAGGTCATGCAAATGTACAGTGGAAATAGTGTGAGGTTACTTTTGGGCCATCGAAGCATGCAAACAAGTGATGCATCAGAACACCCTTCGACATGATTTCTGCAAGCTTTGCAGTTCCCATATTTCATTGAGCATAGGAATCTTCAAATCTTGATACCACATTGCCAGACTCTCCTGCAGAATGTCTGAATGTTTGTTTCTTGTTTCGTTCCACCACGCATCATTTATAGCCCACAGCGATATTTTACTACGTTTGCGACATTGAACGATAGTAAGGGACCCCGGAAACCAATAAATGAGTTGCTCATGTAAAACCAATCAGGCCATGGCCAGTGAATGATTAGTTGAAGGATTGGGTTCACAATTAAGGATAAGAATACCACTTTGGACAGTGACCTAGGTAGGTCCATTTGGAATGTTTCCCTATCGCTACGCCCTTTCGTAAAAAGCGACTATTAGACTAGGCCAAAATTGCCAGTTGGAAATAGATTGCATGAAGTAAGTCTCACGTCATAAGTCATGCATATCAAGTAGAGTTCAAAAATATTTAACAATGCGTTCATTTGTTATGTTTTTGCTTGAAGGTCCAAAATAAGAATACAACCTTCGAAGTCCCAATAGGACTACGCCCTCCTGTACTATCCTGAGAATGTAGCAATAACCCAATGCCCGAGCCGAGACATAGACTAAGGTCCATCATGCACAATCTCCAATTCATAAACATATTGACGCCGGGTATCTGAATGACGATGTTTTCTACTCCTCCTTCCCCAAAAACCTATTCGTCATCAATGTCTTGGTGACGACCATTAACTTTCTTCTGGAACTCCTCAGGGTTCTTGTCCCACAACTCTGCGGCTTCGCCGTTCAATGGTGATGCACTGTTGATGTATATTAGCCATGATCTTATACTCATTCACTCATGTCGAGGTTCATCAAACATACTTATTAGGTTCGCCCAAGAGACTTTGCAAACTCAACAACACCGTTTGAATATTATACGCGGCGGTCCACTTATCCTTCAAAATATCCAAGCAAATTCTACCCGAGAAATCGACATTGGGATGATAGATAGGAGTCTTGAAGAGAACGGTTGGTGGTGCATAGGGATAGTTGGATGGAAACGCAAAAGACAACTTAAATTTCTTCGATGCATATGGGGTATCATCTGGTCCATCGATTGTCGCGGTCCAGGAAAGAAGATTGCCATCTGCAGAAGGGAACGCGGAGATACCAGGAGCGGCAGAGGTCATGAGTTGCATTAATTCGGTTTGGAGACTGGAGTGATAGAATGAGGGATTAGTATTGGATTTTTGGAATGCAGATTGGGAAATGGGAAGCGGTCGGGGTATGTAAGGGGAGAACAAACCGTTTGGTGGTACTCTGAGCATCGGGACCTTTACGAGGAGCAAGTTTGGCGGCTTGAGCAGGTGGTACGTCGCCTGGGGAAGTGTTCTGTGTATCCTCCATAGCGTAATTCATGATGATCAACTTTTGTGAGGAGGAATAGGAATAGGAAAAGGAAATGCAATCCAATTAATAAGTAAGTGAAGGATTTTGCAACTAAGAAATTGAACAGTAAGTAATAAGTAGGTACTAGGTAGTGTAAGAGAGAGACAGAAACGGACAAAGGTGGTTTAGTCGATGGGGAATGTATAAAAAGAAATGCCAATCTGAAAGCAATTGGCAATTGTGTGGAAAGAAGCAAACGGTAGATAGGGAGGGAATTCTGGAAGAAGAGAAGAGGAACAAAGAAATTGTTTTGGGAACCTTTTGGGACTTTTTTCGAATTGTATTTTTTTGGAGTATATGTGTGGTGAATGTACAAAAGTGTGGTGATGTGATGTGATGTGAAGTGAAGGGAGATATGAGAAAGTGTGTTTATTATGTACTCGTAGGCAAGAAAGGTTTGATGTGAAATAAAGATGATTTGTTTATTTCGACCTTCTCTTTTTTTTTTTAGGCAGGGTAGCCATAGAAACGCGAACGGACTGTATTAAAGTCTTTTAAAGTCTTTATTAGTACGAGTTCTGCCCTCTCCATTACCTGTCTAGTAAGCAGTCACCAATGTTCATTGAAACCCAGACGTGCTTCATGCATTCAGATACTGTCTGTAATAATAATAATTTGATTGGTTTATAAGAAAACGGTCAATAGTTGGAATAGTTTGGGACTCACAATAGTTCACAATAATTCACAATATTCCCACTTCTGAAATACTTATTAATTGGTTAAGTTTCTACTCTAGTTCCTATTCTCCCAAGGTTCTTCCATTGGCACCCACGTAGCTTCATTCGTTTTCTCTCTATCCATCCGTGTTGAATCAAGTGGTGGGGTTTGGAAAGACATCCATCCCGCGTCGTTCGTCCATTTTTTTAACGTCGTTCTTCTCAATCTAAAAGTTATGGCAATGCAGATGTCACAGATGGACCCGCTGCCCCGCGACCTACCTTTTCGCATCATTTCGAAAACAATAGGTCGCGGTGCCTATGCATCGTAAGTCGACAATTATTACAATACCAGCTTGGTCGTCTTTGCTATACTCGGAATTATAATATATATATACATATAAATGTATCTGTGTGTGCTAATACCTACGTAGAATCAAGAAAGCCATCCCTCCAACTGATTCCACCCCAGTGTTCGCAGTCAAATTCATACATAAAGCTTATGCAGTCAAACATGGCCGCATTTCTTCGAAGCAAATCGCAATGGAGGTTTCACTGCATTCCCATATTGGACGACATCCAAATATCATAGAGTGGTTTGCCACAGGCGAAGATGCGGTTTGGAAGTGGATTGCTATGGAGTATGCAGAGGGAGGAGACTTATTCGACAAAATCGAAGCAGATGTTGGGGTCAAAGAAGACATTGCGCATTTCTACTTTACACAATTGATAGGGGGAGTAAATTACATGCATCAAAAAGGTGTGGGGCATCGAGATATCAAGCCTGAGAATATATTACTTTCGAGTAGTGGCGATTTGAAGATTGCGGATTTTGGATTGGCAACACTGTTTGAATATAACGGAGCGAGAAAACTTAGTACGACTATGTGTGGTAGTCCTCCATACATTGCACCGGAAGTCGTCTCTTGCTCTAGGAGTACTCAGACCAAGGTGAAGGGTGCAGGATATGCTGCAAACATGGTGGATATTTGGTCATGCGGGGTCGTTTTATTTGTTCTCTTGGTGGGAAATACACCTTGGGATCAACCTACGTCTGAAAGCTGGGAATTCGATGAATACGTAAAATCCAACGGACGAAGTTCAGATGAATTATGGCGAAGATTACCGAGTTCAGTTCTATCATTACTGAGAGGTATGATGAATGTCGATGTATCCAAACGCTTTAACTTTGAGCACATCAAACGCCATCCATGGTATACACGTAAGAATCCACTTCTCACCACAGATGGTAAGATGAGCGATCCTCTGAGTCTTGCTACACAGATGTTAGCAAATCTTCGTATCGACTTCAAGCAAAAGCCAAGTGCATCACAGCTTAGTCAAGATGCAATGCAACTCGATAGTCATAACTTTGCATTCACACAACCAGAAGCTCCAGTCATGGATATGCAATTTGACTGGGAACGACCACCCCGTGTATTGCCCACATCTCAACCCGCCGAGACGACCTATAATTTCCAACTTCCATCACCAGTGGCTTCGAATCATGGAGATGCCACACTCGCGGACGAACCTTCCATGTCTCAATTTTCATCCAATCCTACCGTCTCCCTTCGTCTCACACAACATGCTCGTCAATTCCAAGATATTCTCCCGAATTACTCGCTTACGCGCTTCTTTTCTCGTCTCCCCGTTCCTCAGTTGCTGACTCTTCTTTCTGAATCTTTGCATGCGATGAATATACCAGTACCACCCTTGGCACAGTTGCAAAGTACTCAATTGCATGCAGCTTGGATCAAGGTACGAGCGGTAGATAGTAGAAGATGTGGGATGAATGGAGAAATCGTCTTGGATTCTTATGAGACGGAAGAGATTGAGTTGGTGGAGGTGAGATTTGTGAAGGTCAAGGGAGACCCGTTGGAGTGGAGAAGATTCTTTAAGAGAGTGGTGGTGGCGTGTAAGGAGGGAGTTTACATACCCGATATTGAAGATGTATAGGAGTGTGAAGTTGAAGGTGAAGGTGGTTCTGGAGTATGGTTGGATGTTTGGATGGTTGGATAGGTTGGATAGGAAATGGAGGTACTCACGAGCTATGATATGATAACTGGATTATAGGATGGGAGAAGCTGATCAAGGTTGGGATTTGGATAACCTGATAGTAGGTTAAGAAAGGAAAGGAAAGGAACACAGACCACCCATGATATCCCATTTGAAGCGAAACGAAACGATGATGATGACTTTACGTAGGTACTTAGGTGGATAGATTCTTAGTACATATTTTTTCTCTATTAAAGTAGTTAATGTTAATTTTGACTTTTCTTTTTTAATATACCTGCGTTCTGTTTGGTTTGATAGTTGATGTTGTAGAAGATTATCTGAGATCGAAGGAAAGAATTGGGGGAGGATTGAGGGGTGGGAGAGATGAGAACCTGTGGAATTGGTTTGATTGGAGAGAAGGGTTCGGGGGGGGGATGGGGATGGGAATGGGAATGGATTTATATTGGTATGATTCTTAATGTTGATGTATATATTTATATTGTCGGGACTACTTCTCTTCCGGAGAGCTGGTTCGGATGTTATGAGGAGTTTACGATAGTCAGGGCTTGGGAGTGTGTTATTGTGAGTATCGACTTGTAATTTGGGTTGGTCATGCGGTGTGATGTGTGGTCTGATGTATGATTCGAAGAGAGGGAAGAGGGAAGAGGAGAGTGGATTGTTTATGTTTTATATTTTGTTTCATATTTTTTTGGTTATATTGGGGGAGATTATTTTTCGGTTGAGAACTAAATAGCTGAAAGACTCAAACGATTAATGAGGAAGGAGATTGCGAGATCAAAGAAAGAAGGTACTAGATAGAACTTGCAAAAATCAAGAGCTAAATCGAAAACTCAGATACTGAAACCCTCAACTCCCTCGCCCTTACAATCCCCTAATCCCAGCTCCCTCCCTCACAGAATCTCACACACCCTCGCCAGCTGCTCCGAAAGAAAAACCGATCCCACCACTGCACACCCGCGCAAAACCGCTGCCCTGCGCTCGATTTCCTGTTGAAGACGAAAATGGTGCGAATTATTTTCTTGGATGCGCTCGGCTAGCTCGTTGAGTACTTGGGTGCCCTGGGCGAAGATTTGTTGGGCGTCGCGTTCTCGGCCGGGGAGCTGCGCGATGCGGATTTCGGAGGTCATGAGCTCGCCGAGGAGGTCGAAGATTTGGTTGAGGTATTCGTTGATGCGGGGGTGTCGGGCATGGTTGTGGGTTTTGGGAGGGGGGTTTGTTGTGGTGGTTCTGGGCTGGAGTGGAGAACTGGGAGTAGCTGGGAGGGAGAGAAGAGAATGGGATTGTGGTGGTGAGGGAGTGGGTTTATGAAGTGTGTAGTGTAGGTAGTACGGCACTTCATATGGGTTTACTATATGAACCGTATTAGCTAGCACAGACTGCTTCAAGTTCAGACTTTCATTTCTGAATTTGGTCTTGTAATTGATCGGAATTGATGGTACGTGAATGATGGGCGAAAAACGGTATGTTTTTGAAAGAAGCGTTTACTTACAATACTGAATTTTCCTCATAGTGAAAAACAAGAAATTTTGGACCTCGAAGGGCAATGTGAAATTGGGTATCGCCCCTCTAGGAGAATGTCAAAAATGGCAAGATTGAAAGGCCCTCTCGAAATAACAAGATCAATGCCCTCGCACAACATCTTCAGAACAGGTTTCTTTTGAAGCATTGCCAGCCTTCCTCTATCAGTAGCTTGAAAAGACAAATATTTTTCTCTGTAATATGCAAAATCATCGAACCTCTCTGACATCCATAGTCTAGCATTCTGATTGATACAATATTGAAGTCAAATACCAATACGCGACGTGATTTCGGTTATTGAACGAGATCGCTAAAAATGATGCATAGAATATGCAAAGGATCTGTCGGTAGGTAGTTAAGCAAGCACCACGCAGGACCTTGTCCGAAACAGGTAATGAGTTCTTAAATTACTAGAACAGACCAAGAGAACGAGAAACTTCATCACTGCTTTGACCGAGATGAGATAAAAAGGCATATTTCAGAGTATTCCTCACTTCTCAGCAGTTGATGCATAGCACATAAGACCTGTATAACTGCAGTAGAATGAAAAAAGACTACAAGCAAGCAATGACTTGTTAGACAAATTGATAACGCCTGACAGATATTGCCAAGATCCCCCTGTAACATTTGAGCAATCTAGATATTCGACAGTACCCAATACATGCAACAACCTCTATACAGCTGACCGTGAGATCAATTTGATACGAAAATAAAGTCCTCGAATGGACTTCTTAGTGCTTATTCGCTAAACTCTTTCAAGTTCGGCTGTCTAAAGAAATGATGAAGTTCGAATCAGCAGGATCATCATCATGTGCTTCTACTCCAATGCTGCTATTCTAATGGAGGTACCAGCCTACGATGAAAGAATGACAAAGGGCTCGGCATGGAGGATCAACATCATGGCTTCCGAATACAATGAAAAGATGTGTGATCTTCCAGATAAAATTGTGTAGCTTCAAGATGATGGTTGCGTTTCCATATCCAAGTGTTCTATCACGTGATGGAAAATAGCCCACCCGATGAAGAAGTTAATAGTTAATTAATACGAAAACATTCATTTGGCGGGGGCTCGAGAGGTCTATTTCGTGCACAGATCATTCATCGACCCTTGCATAATCGGCCTTATCGGATCGGCTAGAAGCTCAGATCCCATTGATGATTGATTGATTATCATCTCCATGTCAATCAAGGTCAGTCTTTCAATGTTTAACATTCTTTTCACATTGCTTCTTTCAATATAAATATCGACTGCTTAAAATTAATTATTGAATCAAAAAGAAAAACAAAAAGAAAAAAAGAAAGTCCACAATGGATCATCTTCCTTCAGAGATAGTTCTGAATATCACTTCATGTGAATTGTCTCTTCCGTCCTCTTGATGAGAATCGAATGCTAACATGATTCATTCTTATAGATCTAGAACCTTCAGACATCGTCAAACTGCAATTTGTTTCCAAACGATACCTGGAATTAGGTCGCGACAATACACTCTGGCGAGAGCAATGTTTTACCCATTCTTCCTTTCTCGAAAGGCTTCGCAGACGTCAGGAATTAATATCCACAGAAACAGAGGACAATTCAGGTATGCGCGATTTAGCCATAGCTCTTGCTACGAACAATGGAACAGGCGACTCGAGACTACATAAAGCTCGCCATGAAGCTCGCGACCTCAAAGTTCAATCCATTGAACGGGTCAGAATATTGGCGAACTGGGATCCAAGTTATCCGAATGAGAGGGTTAAGTGGTATGATGAGTACATAGCGAGAAATGCGCCAATTTCAACAAGTTGGGTGCAACAGCCTCGTCATCGCGAAAGTGCTGGTCATGAACATTTGGAGGTACGAGGAATGGCGTTGTACACACCTATGGGAGAAACTAAAACCACTATGGTGGTTGCGTAAGTTTTGTTCAAGCTCCTCGTTGGCATATATATACACTATGAGACAAGAGATGTACTAAATGACATGCCATAGACCTCTTGATGATGGTTCCATTTGTATCTGGGATATCAGTCCTGATGCCCCCAAAAAGGGCAGCATTATTGCAAGAAGCAAGTCGGGGATTTTGTCCGTGGATGAGAATCCAAAAGATCTCAGGTCAAGATCGAAGATGATAAGTACAGGTGTCACAGAATGTATTAGTGTTGACAGTACTTTAAATAGAGCCTATGTTGCTGTTCAAAGTGGTATGTAAGACTTACCCTCTGAAAGCTACAGTACCTTGGAGCAACACTTCGATTACTTGAAATGGTGATCTGATGACAAGGATTCTTGATCATACAACCTCATGTTAAAACTATCTGGGAGACGAAGTCCATTGCCCTTCTTCCAATAGCTACTGACATTCCTACAGGTCTTGTTGAAGTTGATCTTGAGACCTTACAGACAGTAAATCATGAAAGATATCCGTTTTCTATCACTGCTCTTTCCGAGGCAAAACATCCAACACCTCTCACTGTGGGAACCAATCTATCTCTCTACCTTCATGATTCTCGTCAAAGAACAAATCTTGGATCGTCCAGCCAGGCTGAGCGACTTGATTCTTTTAGCAGCACATCTGGCTCTGCTAGCGATCATTTTAGTTTCAAAAGCTTGCTAGATCCAGAACCAAGCGCCGAGTACGCCCATCTGTACCAACCGGGCCCGCTCAGTATTGTTCATTTACCCAGTGCAGGAAGCGAATGGAATGGTAATGGAGATATATACGTTGCTGGTCGATTTCCTAGCATTCTAAATTATGATCGTAGAAATTTCCCTAAGCTCCGCGGAACGATTCATTCTGGCGCACGCTTATCTCAGATTGCTAGTCTTCCATATCCTTTTGCTTCAATGGAGAAAGACCTCGCCCGTCGGGGTGAATTGTCTGTCGAGCAAGCATGGCAAGCAAAGACAAGACCAGGGAAAACGTTGATTGCGTGCGGTGAGTATAACAGTAAAGGCTCTTTAGAGATGTACGGTCTATCACCTGACCCGAATCTCTCCAATATATCTTCCCAATTTTCTGCCGGGCGTCTGCAAGAATCTACCATGAAGAATCGTCAAACATCATCCAGCTCAAAACTCTTATCTGTTGCCAATCATGGTACCCGCATTGTTGTTTCTGATGGTGGAGGCAATCTGAAATGGTTTGAGAGGGATGGATTTACAGAATCACGAAGATGGAACATTGCTCGCGATTCTGTTGCAGCCCCGAGGGGCATATTTGGCACATTGGGCGATTCTTACATGGATTCTGGATCTGGAGACATTGCGCTTAAGATTTTGACAACTGACTCTGGGCTCCATGATCGATCGGTCAACGACAATGATCTTGTTCTGTGGACGGGAGACAAAATAGGGCTATTGAATTTCTCTAACAAACCTGGGTTCACGGCCGACTCTTTCGAAGAATCCCCCAAGACTGCTAAGGAGGCTCTGCGGGAAAAGGAAGAACACACCCATTCAGAAACTATGAGAAGAGCATTGGAGATGCAGGCGAACGAGGTCAGGTACGTGAGAGGTTTAGGAATGGGATTTGTGTAACTTCTTTAGCTGGTTACTCTCCCCAACTATTTTCTCAATACATGTTCACACTCAAGCCGGACGTTTGAGACGTAGTCAGGGTCAATGGTCTGTATATTCTTGCTGCATAATAACGGAATGGGCATTGTACATACGGATTATACTCGATTTTAAGACCATTTGATATGGTCAGCCGATGTTCTGCCAGCACAACAGGGAATCCACGATGCACCCCTGTGACACCGGGCTAAGTTCCCAGGACTACATTTTTGTGAAATGTTGACCACAGCTTTCTCAAAAGGCTCTATTTACTAAAAGGTAAAAGATTGACAGTATTTGTATGCCGATCGGAGAATAAGGCTGTACGATTCCACGGATCCTCGTTCAATGGAACTTAGTCTCATCCAAAATGGTGAGATGAAGGTACATTTATGCTAATAGAGTGACGCTGGGGCCGCTGGGGTACTCCCTTGATGAACTTTTAATGGAATCGGATTTGAAGCATCCCCATCTTGGTATTCCATGTAGCAATCGAAGATTTTGGACCAGTTGAGACATTTTGGGATGAAGATCATGTACCTTACAACCTTGAGATTTTTCGGGTCATTTTCGTGTGAATTTGAATGGTAGCCTTGTTACTGCAGATATGCAGTAGCAAGGTTATACGTTTGTATACGTTAAACTTATTGGACTGTTGTGACTAGCTTCTCACTTCGTACTCACATATCAATTTTTGCAGGGCGGTACAACTTGATGATCAATTTTAAGAGGGTTAATCTGAATTGTGTGGCAATCTGGCAATTAAATGGACATTTTGTCTGGCATTGGCATGTAAAGTCTTTGGTCTGCAAAAGATGGATTCGAAGATTTAAGGAAATGTCAGATTAGTTTTCGACCTATCATTTCAAACAAGGCGAACGGGATGCGGCAACCAAGATCAGATTAAAGTTACATTAGCGTCAGGGAAATTGCTTGATACTGTGATATCTTTTGAATACGACAGTGTATTGAGACCTGGAAGCGTACCAAGCTTGGGATTCAATTATATAATATCGATTTACTAGCTTACCAAGTTACCAACTTACTAAGTAGTAAGTAAGAGTATCATTAATAACTATGAAGCCAATATTTCTTGATGCGAAATACTTTTGGTACCATTAGACCATCCGACAATTAGACGAATTAGACACTTGTATTGCAAACCAAGCTTAGAAGTTGACGAGGAACATGTGGATCCAAGCAAAATGGCCACGATGATACTAAGAAGCTACCTGGTAGATACATGTCCTTACACATGTTGATGCTTAGATTTAGTTGACCTTGTGGGCCCAGTTCTAGGTTTCAACTTCTTACCTTACATCTGATTGACCTTGTTCAATCCGTTAACGGTACGAAACGTATCTTTTCTTTTTCCCTTCTTGAATCTCACACATGAGGCGAGGCGGTGTGTAACCTTCCAATTGCTCTGCTTGGGGGTTTCGGATCGCCCGCTGTCACTGCACACACAGCACACGCACACTTAGGAACCTTAGAAACCCGAGAAACCCCAACTAAATTTACAACCTTGGTAAAAATTTCCGCACAATCCGTTCAATCCGTTCATCAAAGATCCACGATTCGCAAGTGTGAGAGTCATTGAGGTTTAAAAAGGATTATGGTTGTTAAAACCTTTCTCCGCATCGATCGTTTCCTCCCACTTATCAATTCAGATATATGTGGTAAATGGTCAACTTTTTTCAAGTAAAGTCTTAGATACTTGGAAAAGATATTCTTTCAGCCTCATGCTATTGTTTTTGGAATAACAAAATCACGAAAAAACAAATCCATACTGTCATTCCCTTTCCCTTATTTACTTCGACAGCTCTGCATCTGAGAAGCGGTGACAGGGCTAATTCAATATTAACCCGAGTAAGCCTCACTGCACTGTGCATGCATTGTGTGGCATATGCAGCTCCTCATAGTAGTGTGAGCTTTGTCCGAAAATAATATACACCAGCTTACCTTCCACTCCTAAGGTCACAAATTTTTGTATTCCGTCCGTCGTTTTTCTTTATTCTCATGGCTACTGCTTCGATCAAAAGAAGTGCAAGTACGGATGGTAAAAGGCCAAACTCGCGGCATCGTTATGAGAAGGTCAAGGCGAAACTCGAAAGGGAACCTCGTCTACAACGCGAAAGATCTAGTCCGAATGCCTCCCAATATCGGCCTCCTCCACGACAATCTTTGCAATACCATCAACGCACACTTACCCCAATAAAAACACCTTCTCCATGTTTTACCTCTCCCTCACCGCCTCTCAATGTCTACGCTGCTCCGGTCATGGAACGAACTCTCTCCGGTGATTCGATCGTCTCTGATCACAACATCTCCATACCTTCACCCGCTCCACACGATCATACGATTTTGAGCGATGACCAAGCCGCCAACATCGTCGAACACCACTTTCTCTACACCCGGCCTCCAGACCACCACTACCTCGAAGGCGAACTTCAAAATCTGCTCCTCAAAGCCCACCTGTCGGATCCCGCTATCGACCGCATCATCTACCTCATCGACACGATCTTCTTCCACAACTCCCTGCACAACCGCGTGCGACTTTCCTGGTCTTCGCCCTCCCAGCCTCGCTATTCGTCAGAACTCATCGGTACTACTGCGCTTCGTCCTTCTTCCATGGGGGGCTTCGAAACTCTAATTGTTCTTTCCGAACCCATTCTTAGAGATCCGATATATGATCGGAGATTATTGCTCAGTGCGCTGTTGCACGAGTTGGTGCATTGCTATCTCTTTGTGAAATGTGGGTGGGGCGCAAAGGAGATGGGGGGACACACGGATGGGTTTCATAGGGTCGTAGGTGTGATTGATGGGTGGGTGGAGAGGTGGATCGGAAGGGATTGGTTGAGATTGTGCAGCATGAGAGCGAACTTGGAACTTTTTAAAGTGAGGCGGGAAGTTTATGGGCAGGGATGGCAGGGGGACGAAGAGTGGAGGGGTGATGAGCATGCGGAGAGAGAAATGAGATATCGGGAACGGATTCGCGGGGTATATCATCATGGACATTATCCTCATGATGGATGTGGACAGAGTCCGGGCCCGGGAATGGATAGGGCATTGGGTTATACACGCCATGTTCTTCCATTTCTTCCTAATGCGGGAGATGAGGGATTTCGATAATCTAAATCTATCTCGCTTCTGTGCGTGATGGGACGACTGCCGGCTTACGTTATTCCATACATTGGAATTTTTTTCTTTTCTTTTCTTTTTCCGTCTTCGAGCATTTTCTTCCGTATGGATCACATCATTTTAGCGCGGCGAAAGATCGGATTCGGTGCGTTTGACTTTCACAACTCGCATCAACGGGTGCATTTTAGAGGCGTTGGATTGTTGTTCTTGGGGGCTTTTCTTCTCATGGGGAATGGGTTTGGAGGTTATGATATGATGGTTTTTTGTACATGCTAAAAGTTCACGATCAATGGATGGATGCATGGATGGATGCATGGATGGGAAGAGGGAAATGGATTTGCATGGGGGATGGGAAATTATATTGGGATTGGAACGGGATTGGGATTGGGAGATGGAGATGCATGGGTAGTTTGTGTATAATAAATACGTTTACTCTATATAGAGAGTTTTATCGAGTGTTGTGATATTAGTTATTGGAAATGCGAAGGAGATGAGTGTGATTTTTCATCGATGAGGAAATGAAACATTGGAAATCTTGTAACTTGTGGGGAATATGTATATAAATTTCTGTTAATTTAATTGGATACAATATGTTGGTTTCTTTCTAGGGAGCCTCTGAGCTAGGGTTGAAAGAAATTGATTCGAGAAGAATGTTTTCTTTCATATTTCTTGCGTGTTGGTGTTCTATTTTTAGGACTTGGTGACAACACAGAGTTTCTCGAGGATTCTTTGAGTGTTCGGTGGAGAAAAAGGAGAGAGCGAGTGGTGTCTTCTTTGTAACGGGCAGTATTGCTCTAGTGACAATCTCGGCCGCCTGAAAGAGAAAGCGTGTGCGGGGGGAGAGCATTGTAGCCTTGGTTATACCAGAGAATACACCTATTATTTCCCTCGAGTAGAGTACTAAATAGTAGTACTAAGAACTACGATTCAATATTTAGATGGATTAGCCCGTCCTTCCCTCCTTTTCAATTTCCGTTCACGTGACAATTCCACACATCGAAACAACTCACTCAATACATTCAAAATCCAAATCAAACAAATGAAAACTTATATATACCTACATCTAAATATGCCACCCACACAAGAAACTAATCCAAGAAAAGAAAAAAAGAAACACTAATAATACCTCACCCTATGAACCTCCTCCGCACACCCCTCCAGATCCCAAAACATCTCCAAATCTAGAATCTTCACATTAACCATTCCACTCCCCAATTTCTCTATTTTCCTCTCCCTATTCTCATAAGTATGCTTCCTTACCTCCATTCCTATCTTATATTTTCCATTTATGCTAGAAATATTAGGATCGACTGTTTTGCGTATATACGGATACGCTTGTCTTGGTTTCAGGTTCTTGAGATACTTATCAGTAGCCGGACTTACTTTTACACTTTCCGTCGTGAAATGCGTTCTCCGGGCGAGTAAAAAATTAGGAAGAGGACGTTCTGAAGACGCCATCGCATCTTCGTCATCTACTAGAACCGACGAGTTAGCAAGACATTTGCTTACCGGCTTCGCGATCCTCTTAAAGATCTTCCCATTCGTCATCCTGCTCCATCCTCGTAAACTCTCATGAATACGTAATCTATGATTCTTCAGCAACAATCTCTCCCTCGCTTCTCGTTCCGGTCTTTCACTTTCCCACTCTTGCATTGCGAGTTCTTCCTCCTCTTCTCCCTGCACTCTCTCAAGTTCCAATTTCTCCAACCGATCTTCCTTTTCCTTTTCCATCTTTTTCCTCTCCTCCAACTCCTCCATGAAAACATGCGCAAACCAATCCATCTCCCGATCTACCACCTCCCGATCCATCCCCATCTTCTCCAAATCCACATACCAAATCTCCTTATCCGCAATCACCAATTCCAACCCCAGCGCTTCTTCCCTCCCTAACCGAACATCCAATCTCAACCCCTGTCTCACAAACCTCTCAATACTCCTCGCCGCGCGTTGCCACTGCATTCCATGACCCGTCATGCCCGATTCTTCGAATTCCAGAACCTTTCTCCGACAGCTCGTATTGCATTTACACACATAGATACTGAAAAAACGCATGAACCATTTCATGCAACATAGTGCCCAGATAATTTTCCAACAAGATCTTACTCTCCTTTCATCTTTGGGAGGCGGATACCTTACAAATACACTAATATAACAACAAACATTTTGTCTCGTGGTAGTTTTTTCACTTCTCTTATCAACCGTCGTACCTAACACATTTCTCGCCTTCTGTTCCGCATTCGGCTCTTCGAGCTTCATCGTGCATCTCATGGTATTGAGCGCGCCTCCAAAAATCATAGTGTTGAAATAGGAGAAATAGAGATCGAGAAGATCTTGTTCTTTCTTACCTCTTAACCAGGGGGTTTTGATGACAGCCGCGAGATCAGAGAGGTTGGAGCGCCTCCAGTTTTCTTTGATTTTGTAGAAGGGGTCGTGGGGAGGATGTCCAGTGGGGCCATGCAGAACATTGGTTATGTTGTCGGCGATGAGATCGGCGGCTTGCGAATAGGTGCAGCAGAGAGGCTGAAGGGGAATGTGGGCGCGGTCACCGGCCCATAGTATGCGCCGGGCAGCGTAGGGATTGAGATGACACTCGCGAATTGTCATTGTGAGAAATAGAATGGGAATATAATTTACTGGTTTTCAAACGGATGGATAATGACTTTGGGCCTGCCCAATGTCGAATGTGTGAATAGGGAATGTGTTACTGACTTGATAATTGTGTTTGAAAAGGAGATATGCGTCTCCTTGAACTTTTCGCTTGTAATAATGACGACCGGCGTCTTGAATGTAGAACGTTTCCGCTAAGAATAAATGCAAGAATATGGTATTAAGAGGATGTAGAAAAGTAAAAATTTGGCAAGCAAAAAATATTTGTGAAAATAGGCGGGAAAGGGGTGAACAATGGGATTGTCGATGGATATACATTGAAGGGAACAAAGAGAACGAAGAGATGAAAGGGAGAGCACCGAGCTTGGTGAGTGTTCAAGGAATAAAAAGTTACTATGTTTAAGATTCTTTGTGAAGGATATTTTGACAAAGCGAATGATTATTCTTTGAAACAACAAAAGACAAAGAATCACTAAGATGATTGAGTCTCCCAATCAGCGATTCCAGCCTTTATCTTTTGTTGAATTGGCATCGAGGTAGCCAGATGGTAGCCACAAGGCCCTTAACTTGACTTTTGTCATTGAAGGAATGGGTGGGTTAGGCGTAACGAGTAAAGCTTTTACTCCCTAAAAATTCCCATTATAAGTGCTAATAGTGGAAGAAACCAAAGTGGAAGATGCACAAGCAAACTGCCCATTACCATCTTGACTTAAGAAGCGATGCGCAGATACTTGAGGATAATTTGTAATGACAACCTGCGCAAATCATTGCAGTTGTCCAGTTCACATCTCATCAACCATACACATATTGTCTTAGACAACCAGATACAAAGATTGGATTCCGAAAGCTTATCTCATTTTCGTAATCTACTTCGTTTATTTCCATAGAACGAAAGTAGGATATCACATTGGAAATTTGCGACCGCCGACCATGCTCGAAAGATCTTGACTGTGCAATCAATGTTTGTATTGTCTCATCCACTGCTTGAATCCATAATCTAACCCCAATATTCAGCCATTTATGCGATTCTCTTTCCCTTTTGGTTCTTCTTTGGGGTCTCGGCGATGGTGAGGTCTAAAGGTTGTGTTAGTATATTTGGGTTTGAATGGAGGAGGTCGAGGGATCATACTAGGTGGAAGACTTTGCTTCAACTTCTCGGCCTTCTCCAAATCCTTAAGGACAAGGGTGTACAAGTACTTTTGGCATCTGACCTTGATCTTGATGGCGCTGGTCTTTCCGACATTCTTCTTTATGCGGGCAGCTGTTGTGTACTGTGTTAGCCTTTCCGTAGTTTTGTAGATTGCGCCATTCTATCTCGCAGATTCATCCTCCTTCCGACAGCCCAAATGCCGACAAAACTCTCCCGTATTCGAGATCGAACATAATATATGCAAGGCGATGGTAGAATAGGAATTAACACATACAGGAAGCATCTTTGCGTCTGCAAATCTCCAAGAACTATTTGATTCAATATTAGTCTCTGTCCAAACTTGTCCTCCAGACTTTTTCCCGATCTCTATTCCACCGCCCGCCTGAAGAGGATGTAACTCACGGATTTGATGTCGGTGATTTCGCGAGGCATTTTGACGGATTGATTAGTCGAAATTGGTGAGATTCGGGAATTGATGACAGGAATGGGAACTTCGTGATAGTGAGGTTGTTGATGTGGAAAATCGGGATTGTGTGGGGATTAGTAAGCAAGCTCGGTTACGATTGTACGGAAGGGTTTTGGTTGATAAGATCCTTGAGCCAATTAATGTGGCGTTATCTAGTCGTCGTACGGCTGTGTGGCTTGTGAGGAGGACAGGTTTCTAAGGTTCTGATCATTAGGCAAGCACTTCTCTGTGAATGATTATCTATTTAGAATTCTTGAAATTTGGAAATAGGATTTTGACATTAGAATTTGTTTCACGTTTCTTTGATAAAAAGTTGTGTTGAAGAAAGAAAGGCTTTTGAAAGTACAACGTTGTCCATATCAAACAGACAAGCAACGCCACCCCCTCTATCAACAATGCCTACTCCTTTGGATAGAGCTCTTAGCTCCAAAGCAAGTTCGTCCACCATCACTTCGCAAGCAAGTTACTAACAGATGCGTAGAATGCAGTATTGGCTTTCACTGGCATCGTAACTGCAGCCGCAGCATGGTCTATTTGGGGTACTGATATGTTCCCAAAGGAAGAAGATCCTACCGGTGGTGTGTATGACCCAATTATCAGCTGGTGAACCGATATTAACTCGCAATAGATCCAGCAACGTGGTCAAAAGAGGAATTAAGGAGATGGTTGGCGGCTGTTAGTACTCTTGGAGCTCTTCTCTTCCTTTCCTTCAAATATGTCACTCGTCGAAATTAACCACATCCTCTACAGAGAGATCTTCATCCACAACCCAAGGATACCAAAGAGCAGTTATTGGAGAGGGTAAAGGCCAACTTACGAGTGCCAAGAAAGTCATGAAAGTCATGAAAGCCATAATCCCTACTAGTTATGGGTCTTTTGAGGCAGGGGGATAGGGCGTTGGAGTCAGTACTTCGGATTTTACAATTATGATTAGGGAAGGTGTCAGGTCACTTATGTTCAGTTCAGTTTAGTTTAGCATGCATTGATATTGATAAATTTTCATAAGTGACGACTTTTTTCCTGGTTGTTTAATAGTTCCCATTGGACCTCATGACGTTCTTGTCATGCAGATTTGTCTTTCTGTTCTTAACGTTTCATTGTTTGTCGATATCCCAATACTACCACCATGAAGAAGAAATGTATCAAGGTTCGCCAAAAACCATGCCCACGTATGCCGTGCTTACTACAGCCCACATAAAATAAAGACCAGAAGAAAAATTCAGAAGTAGCAATAAAACACCCTCAGTAAGCTTGCGGCACAGCATAAGTATGCCTAGATATTCTGCTATTTGCTCGAAGTTGTGGAAGACAGCCATCCATTTCAAATATTGATCGACAACTTCAACCTGCCAAACAAATCTAGCTATTTTGGCGTCGTCTTTAGATAAGAGAGTTGTAGTATGAGTAGAGAATGATCATGCAACAATGAACTCCGTCGGATCCCGCAGAATAATCAATAAAGCAAATGTGCGAAAAATGCAAGAGGGTTTTGTAATTGCGAGTTACTATATGATAACGAGCTATTCCCGGATACGAAATGTAGTTATTATAAGAGATGTTGAAATTGGCTTTGCATCACAATCTCGCCAGTTCGGCAACTTCTTTCAAATCGATGGAATAAGCTTATTCGTCATCCATTTCTTCCATCGCAATTCTCTTCTAACACATTATGGATCAGTACACGTTGATCAAACTGGGAAGTAGAAAGCTTACCTCTAATTCAGCTACTTCATCTTCGAAAGCTTGTGCTTCTTTGTTGATCCTATCAGCCTGTCGATAGGTTAGTTGATTGTCAAAAAAAGCCGAAAAGTATCACAATCTTACCTCTTCCTTCTCCGCCCTCTCCGCCTTCGCTACTCGAATTGCCTCTAATTTTTCTTCTAAAGCTTTCTTCTTCTCGATAGCTGCTTGCTTTCGTGCTTCTGCTATGGCAATCGCACCTTCAACGGTAGACGTTTGCTTCAAAGCGGGAGATATATTCGTCTTGTTTGGTCCCAAACTGCCGCTAGCGGAGGTCATTTGATCAGCCTTGCGCTTATCATTTACTCCAGCCTTAGCCCTACCTTTGCCCTTGGGTTTGGGCACGGGCTCTTCAGGAACAGTAGTTGCTGGTGCCTTTGAAGTCTTAGGGGCATTTGGAGCTTTTGGCGTCTTGGGAGAGGGCTTCTTGGGCTTGGCTTGAGATTGCTCAGGTTTTGCTGATGCAACCGAAGAGCTTTCAACTTTTGATGTCGACTTCTTTTGCTTAGCTTGAGATTGTTCGGGTTGAGCGAAGACATTTGAAGATTTTTCAACCTTTACAGCTGGTTGCTTTTGGACAGTTGTCTTGGAGACCGACGAAAGCTGTGTCTTTGGAGTAGACGCCGTCTTTGGAGCAGAGGAGGGTTGGGCAGCAGTTGGTGCTCTTGCCTTCGATTGTTTGGCTGGCTTGGTATTAGCGACTGTTATCGTAGACTCATCTGCTTCAGCAGGAGAGTCTTGTCGCCCATCTCGTTGGTTTCCAGTGTCAATAGGTGCATCATTAAGTCTGTTATCAGACTTCGTGGCTTCGAAAGGCAATTTATCGTTGTCGGAATTGGACATATCGGTGTCTGATGAGACTTCAGCTCGAGGAAATTCGAAAGCTTCTTCGGTTTCCACATCAGGAATAGCACTTGATGGAAATCGTTTGGCCCTCTGAAGTCGTTGAGCTTCCGCGATCCCCTCAAGAATGCTCTCAGGTATTTCTTGTGTTGATTTCTCAGAGTCATTTTGACCATCTTGTGAGGCGTCCAATTCTTGAGGTTGAGAAGGTACGGTTTTATTCACAGCATCTTGATCTGGATTTGTGATTGTAGATTGAGCACCAGCTTCAGGAGATGACGTTCTTGATGCTGCCAACTGTGCTTCAGGTTCGGCTCCGACGGCGTCAGCCATTTCTGTATCTTCAGGCTGGGGTGATGTGTGAATGAACTCGTCAAAATTTGTTTCCATGTCATTGATGTTTGAAGACTGGTCAGGTTTCTCAAGACTTGAAGTTTTTGTCTCTAAGGCGGATTCCAGGCCGTGTTGGCTCAATTCTTCAGCTTTATTTTCTGGAACTCTCTGGTTGTATTTGACTGAGGGACTCGCTTCGCGGCTATCATTGTCGCTATAGTTATCTTCAGTGACAATGAAACGAGCTGCTGATTCGATTTGGATTGTGCCATTAGAATCTCCAAACAAAACACGTCTTTCGGATCCAAAATGGTTAAAACAATTTGAACCTGACTTCTTTGACGATACTGGCGGGGTCAACGGCTCCCAGGATGGACCACCCACCCGAGTAACAAGCGACTTAAAGTGAGTGACAGTACCTGTCTCGGCTGCCTCTCCAACTACACAGGGCACAGAGGGTTGATTAAAGCTGTCTGGTTTATCTAAAGATATAATTTTGGATTTGTCTGACGAGATAAGATCTATCTCGGCTTGGGATTTATCAACGTTGAGTGTGGGAGAATCGTCTAAATTTTTGCTTAAGCCTCTGCGTTGGTACCATAAAGAACGATCAGGATCATTCCAGGATTCGCTTGCCGGAGCTCCTTCCACACCGGATATAGAAAGTGGCTTTCTCTTGCGGTTTGTATGAGTTTCAATACCTTGATAGAAGCCATTACCTGTGAACTCATCTTTTTCGATCTTGATGATTGGTGCAAAGACTACGGCATCTGTAGGTTCCCCAGGATCTTCACCACTAAGATCAATAGCTTGAGACACTTTTGAAAGACGAGCTGGCTTCAACACAGTTCTGCTGGCTTCAGTATGGCTTTCATCGAGGGGTTCTGAGGACTGAAAATCCTCAATGACCCTAGTCTGTTTCCCCATTTGTTTCATCGAATTGCCCGCTTGAAAAGGAACTTCGATCTCTATAGAAATACCGCTCTTAATGATCTTCCTATCAACTTCTTTGCCTTTGGGAGTCTTTCTTGGCTCGTCAATTTTAGCCTTTGTCTCAGGTGCAGGCTTGTTGGCATTTTCGACAGTATCAACAACATCATCGTAATCGCTGCCAATATCGTCGGGATCAATGACCGAAGTAGCCTTTGATGCTCGTGAAACATCCTTTACAGCCGGCTTCCTTGAAGTTTCCCTTGTTCCACTCCATGGTGTTCCGATGTATTCTGGGGTATCCAGGAAGCCCAACGTGTGGAAATCCGCGGTAGAGAAGAGCAGAAATTTGAATGAAGCCCAAACCTTATAATCACTAGGCCATTTCTTCACAACGAGGCTTTTAGAGTTACCCTGAAATTTCCTATAACCAACGCCACCAACTTCGAAGGGGGGAGAAGGAACAATTTCTTCGTCAACACATGGATTAAGATTCCACCATTGGATATGGTCTTTAAACGTCGGTGCACGTTGTGCGTGGCCGAGATCTGGAGTAACTTCTTTTGATAATGATGAGGAGTCATCAGGATCAGAATCAGTTGCGTGGTTCTTATGAGCGTTGAGATCTTTGCGGAATATTCGTATTTCGATGCTACCGACTGAATGGGGTGCGCCACCTTTGACATTTTGTGCTGTTTCACGGTCAGTATAAGTCATCAATTAGGAAGAATGACTAACTCTTTGCAATGTTCCTCTTTGCTATTTGTAGCTGATAAATTCTGTCGACATACCTGTTGCCCGATTTAATTTGACCAACAACCCAATCGAACTTCTTGCTAAAATTCTTCGTGGCACCCTCGTTGCTATGAGAAGCTCGTAAGATACCATCGACGACAACGTCAACGAACTCGATGACACCTGAATTTATGTTGAAGCACGGTGCGATAGCATCGTTTTCTGCGGTCAGAGCGTAGCAGGTGAAGTGATTGCCTTCGTGCTTCATGCCCTTTTCAAGTAGCTTCGTCCGGTTACCTAGAGGACCTGAGTTACCACTTGTTAAGTAGACTTCTCCCCTAAGAGCCTTCCCATCGAAGCCCGTCAAGTTAGATGGGATTTTCATGTTTATGGATATTGAGAAAGCCTTATAAATCTATTTTTGTGCTTCAATGGTTTGGAAGCCCAAGGAGAAGGACGATATCGATTTTGTTGATGAGGTCGAATCGAAAGTTGGGTCTGAAGGCGGTTGATGAGATCGAAAGATGTTGAAAAAGAGCTAAATAAGCCTTGACCAGCAGATATGTCGTGGGAGGACGGACTTCAATAGTAGATAGGTGCCAACAGGCGCAAATTTGCAAGAAACAATTTTGGTTGAAGTGACTTGAAGATGTTTGAATTCACAAGTTTTGTTAGAAGTTTAAATAGAAAGTCATCAACAGGTGTAAAAGAAGGAAGTGGTTGTTGTGGGGGCGAAGGTTGCTGAGGGTGGATGGTAGCCGAGAACAGATTCTATTTAAGGATGAAAAGTGAAGCCAAAAGTGAATATGAAGACATGCAAATGCAACTCGAATGGTTTGGAGAAGGGCTTGAGTTTAGATAAGTTTGCGGGTGCTCTAAAAGTATGACTTGATATAGGATACTTGGATACTTGATATGAAGAACGTTCTTCATAGACTCTCATAAGACAATTAAATCTCAATCTTTTCCTCAGAAAATGTTCGGAAAGGATCCAAAGATGTTTTGTATGCACTCACATATCACTGTTATTCAAAGTAGTATCATGCATGGAGATGATTAGCAGCTTTTATCATATAAATACCATATTGCTCTTATACTCTCAACATCGAATGCGCGTCGACTTGTAGATTTGCAACTCTTCTCAAGGATGCTACCTGCGTCTTTACTAAGAGGCCAATCCATAATCCTGCCCGAGAAAATTAATCTGTCCACCACCGAGTCTTTTGCACTCTTCTAGCCTCGTCATCTGACTAGATCTGATGTTAAATTTGAGACGTTTGAGGGGTGCTCCCAAATGAATCGGCCATGGGTCGACTAGCCATGAGTGCTTTGCGTAGGGTGGCATTGCTTAGATTCGCTGAGCGATGCTACTTCCTGTAGAGAGTACTCTATAACTTGTTGTTCAGAATAGGGTTCTCCATCCCATGTTCCTTCGTACTCTCGGGATTTCACCTCAAAGCACCAACCTAAATATCTGACTTTGAATCAACCATTTCTTGATCCCCTTCGGTGCCTTTGGATTTCTAGCCTCCACGTTGGGTACCAAGACGAAATTCTCCATAAAACCTCGCTCTTCTCCCTCATCCCCATTCTTCGAAGTATATTTCACTTGCCCGCTAACCATAATGGCAATACTAATTTTCCTCCCATCCTTATCCGGCCCAAGCTTACTTTCCTCAACCCCTATATTGTAGTTTGGGTTTATGACATGAGCATCATATACCTGTGCTTCATATGAAGTTTTGCCTATTTTGTTCTCGAACGTTTCTTGGAAGGCGGAGGGTGTTGGTACGATGTTTCCATTAATGGTTATGGATGCTTCAGCCGGGGCCAGAGCGGAAGGCTTGATATAGAAGGATGTGATTGTTGAGCGAAGATTGGGCTTATTTAGAGCTTCATAGAAACTTTCAACAAAAATATCGGCCGCTGGAATACATCAGCATAAAGTTTCATCAAAGAATAATTACATGCTTACCTTTGGTAGCCAATTCGGCTTGGATATCCTTTGTAGGATTAGACATGATAAGTCGCACAAATAGTATGTAATTATGAATATCCAAGAAAAGAGGATAGATTACAATATATTGAACCAGAGAAGATTATTTATATGATATAACAATTCGAAAATTCTCTAGAATACGTCTTTGTCATTTACAAAAAGAATGACGCATGAAGTGAAATTTGTATTTATAGTTTTGAGAAAATGCGGGGGCGGAGAAGCGGCCGCAGCGCCGCTTTCCCGCATTCTTGCTATTATTTGTCTTGGATCATGCTAAATCGAGTCCCCGTCAGCGTACTTTGTTCAAATGTATGGCCTCAATCCTCTAATGCGGGGCTCTCTGCAGTCCAGGACCAGATCAATATTGAGGGCTGGCTGGGTTTGCAGCTCATGTAGGGCAAGACCAATACCGAAAGCCAGGTATTCTGTCGATAAAAAATCGAAGAAGCCGTACTATGTGACCACACCAATTTTCTACGTGAATGCTGGTAAGTCTGAATGACTTTGCGCCAGCGCAGCATTGTGAGCTAATTGGTTCATCTTCAGCACCTCATGTTGGTCACTTATATACTATGGTCCTCGCGGACGTCTTCAAACGATGGCAGGTTCTAAAGGGCGATACGGCAATCCTATGTACGGGAACAGACGAACATGGCATGAAAATCCAACGAGCTGCGGCGCAAGCAGGGGCATTGCCAAAAGAATTTTGCGATATTGGCGCTGAGACGTTTAAAGAATTGGCACAGCGAGCAGGACTTTCAAACGATCATTTTGTGCGCACGACTGATCCAGACCATAAAGAGACAGTAGAATATATCTGGTATATGCTGAGGGAACGGGAATATATATACGAGTCAAAACACGAAGGGTGGTACTGCGTCAGTGATGAAACTTTCTATCCGGAATCGGCTATTGAAAAGAGGCTGGATCCCTTTACTGGGAGGACTTTTATTGCTTCTCAAGAGACTGGTAAAGAGGTTGAATGGACATCGGAAAAGAACTACCATTTTCGACTATCAGCCTTCAAGGATCAACTGCTTGAGTTTTACGAGAAAAATCCCAATTTTGTTGTCCCAATGACTCGAATGAAGGATGTTGTCAACCAAGTATCTAGGGGTTTGGAAGATCTTTCAATATCCCGCCCCTATGATCGTTTAAGCTGGGGCATTCGAGTTCCAGACGATGAGACTCAGACTATATACGTATGGCTCGACGCGCTGGTCAACTATATTACAAAGGCCGGCTATCCATGGGCTCCAGGAAAGGAAACGGCAGGAGGGTGGCCTGCAGATGTACAAGTTATTGGAAAGGATATCGTTCGATTTCATTGCATATACTGGCCAGCATTCCTTCTCGCTTTAAATCTGCCACCACCAAAGCAAATATTGACCCATGCCCATTGGACAATGGACAATCAAAAGATGTCCAAGTCAATAGGAAATGTTGTGAACCCACTATTTGCAATGGATCGATTTGGGGTCGATGTCATGCGATACTACCTTATTCACGATGGTGGAATCAAGGAAGACTCCGACTACGGCAATGAATATATTGTTGAAAAATACAAGAAAGGACTGCAACAAGGCCTAGGTAATCTTGTCAGTCGATTAACCAGACCCAAAGTATGGAATGTTCGTTCTTGCGTGGAAGCCACACACTCTCAAGGATCCACCAATCCGAATACTACAACTAGTCGACAGATTGATTTCCTTAACAGTGTCCGTGGTAAGGCCAATGAAAAAATGCAAGAGCTAAATGCAGGAGCCGCTTTGCATGTTATCATGGATACCGTATATGAAGTAAGTACATCATCTACATATCTCCAAGAATTACAATACTAACCACAAACCATCAGACCAATAAATACATCCAACACGAAGCACCCTGGAGTCTCGCCAAATCCGAAGATCCAGAAGCGAAAGAAAGACTCATAAGCGCTGTATATCATTCCGCAGAGGCAATCCGCATCGTCGGCATTCTCCTCCAGCCGTACATGCCCCAAAAAGCATCGCTATTACTCGATATGATCGGTGTGCTACCAGAGCGTCGAACATATGAGTTTGCCATACTGGGCGCTGATCCTTCGTATGGCGATGCGCAGGCTCCGTTGGGTAGGGGTGCGTGGGATGGGCTGTTTCCTCCTTTGGCTATTGAGAAGTGATTTACGTAGCTTGGGATTTTTGGCGTGTATTATATTTTAATATACCCGTGTGGCATTTGATTAATATATCCACTCTACTTCCTAGGGAATTATTGGCTTGAGCTTTAAGTTTTGAACATCACTTCCCGTTAGGTCTCTGTTGATCTGAACCAAGCGAAATCGAAGCGTGGACAAACATACATGGAAAGTTTTTCGGACATTCCAGAGAAGCCACCAAATGAATTTCTAGCTTCATAATCGGAAAGATTAAATTCATCAATCATGTTACATCCCCTAAGCACGAAAGGTATAGGATTTCAGAAGCCACAATGCAAACTAACAATCGAATGATAGAACGATCATCTTATTTTCCATCCTTCTCAATAACTTCTTAAAATATATCTCACGAACTAAAGCTTTATACAAAGAACATACATCCTCCTTCTTTTTATATACATCTCGCCTTTCTTTCTTCCCTTCTTCCACATTTCCAATATCCAATCTCTACTTCTCACTCTTATATACATATCCATACCTCCCCACCCTTATGCGGCAACACACTGCGAATACCAATCATTTTGCTTAGTACACGTTGCGCCCGACGCACAAACCGTACTTCCGGTCCAAGTCGCGCCGCCACACTGTCCGTAAAGAGCGACTGCGGCGCCTGTCCCCGAAGCGGCGGCTGTAGATGTAATTTTTGTGCTGGAGATGATGGTGGAAGAGGGAGCGGAGGTGGAAGAGGAGGTCTTTGTGGATTTTTTTAGTGTGCTGCTTGAGGGGAGAGGGGATGAGGAAATAGGAAGTGGAGAAACAGCGGAAGAAACAGCTACAGAAGAACTGGCAACTTGTACGACTGAAGAAACAGAAGATACAACCGCAGAAGCGGAAACAGAAACGGAATCAGGACTAGAGCTCAAAACGACCGGCGTAGATTTACTAGTAGAAACCGCACTGGATACACTTACTTTCGCAACAGTAGTGGAAGTAACGGGAGCAGCCGTGGCTGCCGCGGCAGAGAGAGCAGCAACGACACTGTTGTAGGCGGGATGAATGGTATAGTTAGCGTACCAGAGACAAGCATCGCCTTGACCAGTAAAGGTCGTTGGGATCCACGAGTATGCATCTGTGAAATCCCAGATGGTGATACCGACGCAGCCGTCGACGCTGAGACAGGCGTTAACGGTGTTAGCGTAGTCGACGCCTTGTTGAGCGAGCCCGGCGGCGGTGGGAGGGAGAGTGCTAAAGCGGACGTCGAGTTCGGTGTAGGCGACTTCGACGTCGAGAGCGGTGAAAGATCGGAGGGTGGTGGCGAGCGCGGATTCGCTGGGGGAAGAGCCGACGATGAAGTGGGCTTGGAGACCGACACCGTCGATTTTGATACCGCGGGCTTTGAGAGATTTGACAAGGTTGAGGGCTGAGGTTGCTTTCGCACCGGATGACTCGATGTTGTAGTCGTTGTAGTAGAGCTTGACGTCTGGGTCGTAGAGAGCGGCGGTTTCGAAGGCGATGGGGATGTATTCGGGACCAATGGTGTCGTAGAACTTGGGTAGGTTAGTTTCTATACTGATGTTTTGTTTGAAAGGTACAAGAATTATGATGAAAACTTACGACAAATGATCGCCAGGTACCATCATCGTTGAATGCCTCATTGACGACATCCCAGGCATAGCATTTGCCCTTGTAGTAAGTTACTTCATTTTTGATGCTGCATTATGGTTAGCTTTCAATGTTCATGAAGAACTGCACGACTCCACTAACTGATTCTTCAAGACCGCAATCAAAGTCTCGTTCGTCCATGTGCCTGAAGTAACCCATGATGGCAATTGATTATACCAACACAAGTTATGACATCTCAGAAGTTGATCATTCTTCTCCGCGAAATCAACAACAACATCTCCCTTAGTATAGCTGAAGGTATTCTGGGAGGGTTCTGTGTATTGCCATTTTTGTGTGTTTCCAGGTGTGATTTGTCCGAACTGACTGCTGTTTGACAAGATAGCGGTATATTCAGCATCAGTAAGCTCGCCGTTGTCTGTAGCGGAACCGAAGTATTTGAGACCAGCAGCCTTGGCAAGCGTATTAAGCTGACCATAAGCTAAAGGCAAGATAGCAAGAGGTAGAAGGTTTGAAATATGCATTCTGAACAGAAAGGTATGATACGAAAGGAATAACAAAGAGTGTAATTTTCGAGTAACCTGACTCGGGATGGTGATGAGAGAAGGAATTGGGGGAAACAGAACAGTTATATACATTCGCTTGCCCTGGAAGCTTCGAGGAGGAGTACATAAACGCCCCGTCGAATAAACTCATTCTTCGGAGCGCTTTGGAGAAACATGGCAAAACGAAATTTGCCTGTTTCGGATAAATGATCTAAGGGGCATGGCATTTTTCCATACTGGGTGAACATCTAATATATCCGGAGCGCTTATGCGAAGAATAGTGGGGAACCGGATATGAATTGGGTAGTGTGGAATGAAATTAAAGTACTTCAAATACGATGGGAATCCTTGACTAAGCATTGATCTCGTCTATCTGACCGATTGTGTGGGGAACAAATTGACCTATTACAGGGGCGACTTTAACCCAAACTCGGATCCCATGTATTGGACGAAACAAGCTTTTCTCCATATTCAAAACGACTTGACGGCCCGCAACCTCTAAATAAAGTTCAACAACAACATACTACTCGTGGCAAAATGCAATATAATAACCGTCCAGTATGGATAAACTCGACTCCCTGTTACCCCGCATTTCGTCTTGTGAGGATATTTCTCCTCAGTTGTAGATCTCGGGAACGTAGAGTCCGGTGTCAAATGGGGTATCTGTGGCTGTTACTCCACTTGAAGTTTGATGCTTGGAAGCTTCGATAAGTGATAGATACTCCATCTGATCTATCGAGGATATGAACATCGATAGAGGACTGCAATCACTCGGGCCCATTGCCTAGCATCCTATAAATAATCGAGCGAGTATTGAAACCCAACTTCATTACCCTCAAGCAGACACTCCCCTAACTTTAAGCGGATCTGGTCACTTTGAGAACAGCAACAGAATAATTTGTTCGTTTCAAGACGGTGACGCATCAGAAGATCAGGTGAGTTCTATAACGGTTAGCAGCTGATTTGAGGCTGAATGACGGCAATTGCAAATTACAATAACGTATGACAAGGTGTTGCATCAGCCTTGTCCTTTTTTATTCTCTTGGAGAGAAGCCGTCTAGCCTTTATTCATTTTTCCATCAAAATCCTTGATGGCATTTTTTGCACTATTGATACGTTCGGCAATCTGGATTGGCTTCCGGAAGGCCAATGGAGGTACCCCGTGGACATGTTCGAATTGGCTAAGGTTGTATAAAGGCGAGTGTGGAAGTTGTTGTAGCTTGATAGAAGCAGGAGCATGTGACTTGTTTTCATCGACAATTCTACGAAAATCATTAGACAAAATTCGGCTAAATGATGATCCATCGTGCAAACTGGGAACGCAAGACTTACTTCTCCGATCCATGGTAGCCTTGCATGGAAGACGACAAGGATTGAGGCATGGTTGTCAAGTGATAAGAAAGTTTGATCAATAAGACCGATGGGAATTATGATTGAAAGTCGAGAAGTGTTATAGTGTGATACAAGTCACACGAGTCGGTATCTGGACAAGAAAGCACAAGATAAATATATTTGGATGTAGCTTTTCTCGATTGTTTTAACAATGATTTTGTATGAAAGACGTGGGGGATGCCTATTGATATATAGACATTTTGCGAGTCGGCGGAATGAGTGGCTTGGCTGGTGACAGACATCATTTTCTTTACCCTGACACTATTCAGTACGTACTGATGAAAGATTGCCAAAGAAAGTTGACAGTTGGTCATTGGCCGGCAAGGAAGGCAACGGATCGTTCCTTTACATTTCGTCTCCGCTCCATCGCCTCGATACAACATTTGAGATGGAGCGCCAAGGAATAGCATTGCTCTAGACGAACGGACGAACGTTTCAGCAAACGGCAACCAATCACCAAAAAACACCTTATTATTCGGGGGGTTTTGAAATTTGATGAGAAAGGATATCTTACTACGACCAAGGAAAAAGCCCTCGTTCTTCGGCCCGGGTACTTCTGGATTTGGATCGGTCTGTTGCGCGTTTGCCGGGTATGTTACACTTTGATTCGCAGCATTTGCGAGTACTGGGGATATAAACAAGGCTGAGTAATTTCCTGCATTTTGATTCGTACGACGAAGCCTTAATCTAGCCATCTCATGTGTAGATCCACCGTGCAGAGCGTGACCTGTACATTTAAGTGCGCGAATATATAGTAATAAAAAGAGTCGCTTGTACAACATTGTAGACAACCTCAGAGCAATCCAAACCTTTGTTTCGATTGCGATCCACCTCGGCGTCTAGTCCTCGCCCTGAAAATACGATATCGATGTCGATGAGAGATGGAATCAAGTGCTCATCTGATTAGACGCATTTGTGTGCGTCCGGTTACATTGAGGTAAAACAAAAAGACAAAATCGCAAAATCAGTTGCTTATTCGCTCCAGGCAAAATCCACTATCAAATCACCAAGGTGTTGACTATGGGCGTTTGGCCAGAACATTCGAATTATTGAATCAATTAATAAGATCCGGTATTGCGTCCAAAGTTTCAGGGCCTGCAGCAAAATGGATGATCTTAGTATGCACGGACATGATTATGGTCGACTCTAAGAAGCTTAGTCTTAGATTTCCATATGCATGTACTGCCTTGCTAGGTTATCTGCAACTACCTAGCCATCATGCTCTTCCCTCCATTCTCCCCATACCTCTCTTCATCAGCGCATCTGCATTGCCCTATCATTCTGATTGTCCAATCATGTCAATTCTCTCGCAACTTTTCAGATCTTAAGTAGCAATGCAGTATCTTGAGGGAACGTTCTAGACCTCTGCAGCCATCCGTTCCGTTGTTAGGTGTTGATTAATCCCTCGTAGGAAGCTGGGTGGTAAGCTCACGGTTCCTGTAGAATTCGGCAAAGGTCTAGACTCATTCCCTCATCGCTGAGTTGAAAAAAGGCATCATTCAATCTACTGCCGGCTTGGAGTTTGGAACAATCTTCATGAGAAATGCCTTGGAAGTCTGCCCTTGGTGACCCATTCTGGCAATTTCAAAGGCATCGCGTTGTGGATTCTAACCATCCGGATCGCAATCTAGACTGGAGACCGAGTACTACAGTCTAGACTCATCGAAACCCCCACTCTGCAGATTAATACACACGCCCTACCTTCTCCGCCTTATCCGTCTTCTCTCCCTTTTCTCTCCCCTCTCTCTTTCCCCTACATTCCCCTCTCTTCCCGACTACCTCTATTACCGGATCCGACGGCAAAGACGAAGGGGGGAGGTATCTAGACTTTTAGGAGAATATCTGTGCCGAGTGTGACCAATGAGCGCCAAGAAACAACTCAGAGAAACAACAAGCACAACAAGTACAAACTTCATCAACAATCACGTCAAAGTGACCTCCTTGTAGAAATTGATTCGACATTCGACATTCGAGCTTTGCGATTCTCGTCTGGAAATGTACCGTGTTTGCTGGATCTAACAAGCATCGGGCGACATACCTAGGTACCAGGTATTTTGGTTCCTGCAGCCGAAAAATGTACCTAACCATCGGCACTCTTCTTCGCACTACTGCTTGTTGTCTGTGACATGCCAAGATCAATTGTCGAAAACTATTTGGATTAGTTTAGTACAGACAGTCTCGAGAAAGTGTACACGCGATAAAATAAACGGTCGGTTGATGGTTTCCGTAGCGAACTTCTAAAGTTAGGTAAGGTCACCTGCTTGTTACTTCAAATAAAGTCGAGTCTGAGGTAAATACCCAGGTAATGCTTCATTTCCACATGTTCTTCGCCCTTCATATTAAATACCTACATCAAATCAAGCCATGAATGCAACAGAACCTGAATCATGATCGCGAAAGACGACGTGGCAGCGAACACGTGATCATGACTTCACATTATGACGTCAAAATCCCTCGTCATCCTGTTTTTGATTTTATTTTTATATATCAACATCCAAATGGTCGTCTTGTCTTTAACTTTCTTTTTGCTAGTTTTCTTCCCCAAAACTTACACAAAGATAACAAAACACAAATTTCATCGAAAGATTATCGCAAAATGCCCTTGACATTAAATACCTCGGCATCTTTTGCCCTTACCTCCTCTACAGCATCGGGTGATGATTGGGGTCGTGCATATCAAACCAAAACAACCATCAATAAAGACGGCACTACACGTACGAAGCGTACTCAACGCCTTGGAGAACCCATCATTGAAGAAACACGACGATGGGATGGGAAGGGAAGGAGAGTCCTGGAAGATGGAAGTATCTATGAGAAAAATGGAAAGGGGAAAGGATGGGTACAAGTCCAGGGGCCTACTGTGAAACCAATCCAAAATACGAACAAGGGGGGAAGTAGGAGAAAGGGAACGATTTTGGGAATAACGTGTGAGCCGAGTAAGAATGTGGTGGGGAATGGAAATGGGTTGGGGAATAATTTGGGGAAGGGAGGGGTGGGGAAGGGAACGGAAAATTGGTTGAATGGGATTATGGCGAGAGTTGCGAATGATGCGTTGGAGAGTAGAGGGAAAGGAAGGATTGTGCAGGAGGTGGAGAGTGATGAGGAGGAAAGCGAGGAGGATAGCGAGGAGGATAGCGAGGAAGAATATACTGAAAGTGAGGAGTACACTAGTGGAGAATATACGAGTAGCGAGGGGGAAGACGAAGAGGAGGAGGAGGAAGAAGACGAAGAAGTAGAGGAAAACTCGAAATCCAAGAAGAGTGATACGACGACAAAGAGTAAGAGTAAGGTTGGGACGCCAAAACAACAAACTCCCAAGAAAGAGGTGGGAAAAAAGCAAAAACCAACGAAAAAGCAACTTGTACAGGAGGAGTCCAGTAGCGAGGAAGAATCTGATGATGACGAGGATGATGATGGTTATGTGATTGAAGAGATAACTTCATCTGACGCAAGAGAATCATCTTCCGAGGAAGAGGAAGAAGAAGAAGAGGAGGAGGAGGACGATGATGATGATGATGAGGAGGAGGAAGAAGAAGAAGCGAAAAAGCCAGAACCCAAGAAGCCCGCAGAGAACAAAACAGCCGAGAAGCCGAAAGGAATGCCCAAAGGAAAGTTTTCTAAGAAGAGCGTCGCGATCCCATAAGCTCGTAGCTCTGTTTTCATGTACTACATTACAATATCTGATTTATCCGATTTGGAGTTTCGGTACGAAGATAATGAAATTTAATGATGAATAAATATGAATCGTCTGCTGTGATTGTATGTCACTTAACTATCCATCCCATACCGTACCTGCATAAGTATCTAACTCTAACTCTCACTCTTACTTTCAGATCTCAGCATTAGCATTAGCATTAGCATTATTAGTAATTCAATAACTTCAATAACCTCCTCTCCCTCATCCTCATTCTCATCCCCCACAAATCCGAATATTTCATCCACAAGTAAGAAAGACATTTAGTAAACTACCCAGTAGACTGTCCAACACCACCGACGTCCAAACCGTACCTGCATACATACATAAATCTCACCCTGAAACTCTACAACTCCGAAACAAGCTGGGGTCCAAACCTTTCTCTCCTCGCCTATGGCCTACTTCCCCAATGCGATCCACTCCAATACAACCCCAGTTACCCTCTCATTTCATTTCATTTCATTTCCATCCAACTAAAAAAAACAAAGCAAAAAATTCCATCTTAACCAACCCCCAAGAAACAAAGAAAATTCTCCACCCTCGTATACCCCCCCTTCTCCCTCGTATCTCAGAATACACACCCACACCGCACATCACCAATCGCGGGGTCCAAGATCTAATCTCACGGCCCCGAAATCCCTTCTACAACCCATTTTACGGTGCGGACCGTAAGTGGTTTATGTATTTTTTTCTCCTTTTTATTCTTACGATTATTTTCTGATTATACCTTCCAGAAGAAAAAGGGGAGGGACCGAGACCGAGACCGAGATGGTACACTTGCGAGGAGTTGGTTATGGAAGTGTGCAGTGTGTATCTGAGGTCAGATGGTGGCAAGAGATTTGGAATATAGAATATGGGGTCGATGTATGTATGTATGTTCTCTGTATATGTGTATGAGCATACGTACCAAATCGATTGAAGTATCAAAAATATGATATAAGATGTTTCAAATTATAGATGACGAGATGACGAGATAAGAAATAAAAAAAGATGGGATGAGATGATACAGATACTGACTGGTAGGTTATTTATAGAATATCAATGATGTGCTATGTCTTGTTTTGTCTTGTCTCGTCTGTCCAATCCAATCCAATCCAATCCAATCCAATAACAAACAATAGATCTCATAACTACCTAATCGAAATATGAGGATTAATTCCCGATTGGTTAGGTAAAAGCTACTGTACCTACCTAGTATTTCCAACCGATTCGATTTACTGCATATTCCAAAATTATTCAAGAGGCTATGAATTCCACCTAGTATACAATATGTATGTATACCTGACATGTATATCATATACACGATATATACAGCAAAATTTACCACTAACAACAAAGCTGAAACGAGTATGTAATATCCACTCCGGATACTAACTCTAGCTGGCAATTTTGCTCCTCGTGCAAAGCTATCGCTGATGTCTATCTGTTTGCTTGGGCGTTCGCAATCGAGGTTTGGGGTTTGCTGTGGATTGGTGAAGAGCATTTTAACGGCGAGGATACCACTGCGAATAGTTACTCCATCATTCTGCTCGTATACAGGCACAGATGTCTTGGGGAAGAGTGATCATTTTGATATCGACGATGAATGGTGTTTTAAGATGTGATTTTCGAGCCCGAGGATATATGCGCTGAGTAATAGAAAGTACTTGAAAAGTAATGATGCGGGGAGAGAGCACTGGATAGATACAATCGTAAACTCCTAAACAAGAAACCCGTAGCAAACCCCAAGATTCATGAAAACCCCGACAAGACAACCAAAGAATCTTGAAAACGAAGGTTAGACTCGGGGATTCCGTCACTACTGGGGATTTTATGTATGGCCAGCGTGGTGTCTACATAAAAGGATAAATATAAATTGTTTTGCACAGTAATCGTGCATGAGAGCCTCGTGGCTGCGAAGATATTGCCGTGATACAGCATGAGGGAGTCGCATGGCTATAGAGTAATGTGACGAGTTGTTGTTATTCTGGAAGGCCTTGCATTTTTTGGGAGATGTAGCGGGACGTCGCCGATTATTGAAGGATGGTGAGGCTTAAAGTTGTGTGATGTTGGGCTGTGATCCATGCTCATCCTGGGTTGTTGAATAGTTGGGATAGGTGGCTAGCTATCTAGATTGATTACTTGGTTTGGAAGACATTCCGTGGAGAAAGCTGTATAAACGTTCAAGACGATACTACGAAGTCTATAATGTAGTTGTGTATTCTGCGCTTGATTCCTTCTCCTCGCAAGATTGGTTTGACCCCCTTACCCCCCTTTCTTGGATAGAGTTGACAAAGCCCGAATCCTCTATAACTTCATACATATCATTAACGTAGAAATATTCCGACCACTCGGATGGCGACCTGAAATGTAAAGACTAGTAACAAACCAAAATTCTTTCAGGGACCAGGAAGTACGTATAGTTGTAGATACAGCCATGCCAACACACACAGACTAACTTATCGTAGCATTCATATTTAGAACTGAAAATCACGACTCAATGCTCAAACAAAATATGCATTACCCATGTCTGCCAATCGAAAAATAGATAGGTAGCCAGCAATGCGAACGCCACCAGGGATGAAAGGTATCATGGGTAACTCATCCATCAGTTGACTACTAACGACTTATGTCAAAGGTGTCGAAATAGCCTCATAGTGCATCGAAATTTTGGCATGAAAGCCAATTTGTAGGGATGGCGATTGTCAGGGTAAAGTAAAATAACATTACCGCGGTCGCTGATCTATGCACATGTACATGTACACGCAGGGGTCGGCTTTCGTTTGCTGTAGGTGCGTACCATTTGAGGGCGTTTTGATACCCAGGGTTGGGTGCTGCAGTTGGTATACTTTGATGCAGAGTTCGTATAGATTCGGTATTGATACTCGAAAAGTTGGTAAGTTTTGGCTTTTGTAGGAAAGATGTGAACTCGACATCATTGTAGAATTCAAACTCAATGTGTATGGAAACACTAACCAAGCCGAACATCACGATGGTTCATTAATCGGAACTCTATCCTCTGGCAAGGGGCTTTGTTGAAAAGCTTTTGATGATATGTATCCTAGTGAACGATGCATCCAAACACAACGTATGGAAGGCTTCTAGAAACTGCGGTACCTGATATGCATCGATAGAGCCGCCACAGTAGCATGGATCGATAGATACGCCATTTTAGCAGGGTTGTTTCTGAGTTGATTGGCCGGATGATATGCATCCATACATTCGAAGTTCTGACCCATGCAAGAATGTTGGAAAACCACTTCCGTATTACTGAAGAAGGAAGTCATGTCCGAAAGGATTCATTGAGCGCCGAACCTTTTAAGGCTTTCTGGAATCTGTCCTCGGAGACTACTACTGCAAGTGATGGCAAGGTCAGGGAACTTTTCAATCGCCAGTCTCTATTTAGACCCTGGCTGATGAGTGTGAGGAACCTCCAACGGTCGATTTGAGTAAAAGGGTTTAATACTTCTATTCTCCATTACTCACTTGAGAGCTGTTTAAAACGTCGACCCCACAATAATCCTTGAGCTCAGTACTGGTTTCATCATCAATCTACCATGCTTGACTTTGGGTTCAAATGAATTGTTGTGAGATACCAACTGTCTTGTTTTTGCTTACAGATACTCGATGCAAGACCAGACTGGGTCGTATGGGGGTTTTGCAAACCATGAAAGGTATGAATCTGTTCTTGCTATGAGGCTCTGGAGTGTATAAATTCTGATCGTTTCCCACTTCATTGAGATGCTTTTTCTTGCCATCCATACTTGATTCACAACCAGACTCTGAAGTACACACAAACACTTTGACTATTAAAGTCTTGTCTTTGTTCACGTGCTTGAACCCATAAGCTCTAATAAGCCTTCCATCCAGGACAATGGCTCACTCCGATACTTGGTCTACCAAGACCAACCACCCATCTGTCAAAAGGTTCGTTCCTCAAAATCAGTTGAACCAGATAACAGGAGTTACTCACTAACATTTACCGTTTCTCAAAGTAGCTCTCATTCTAAGACCTCTAAGGAGAAAGTGGAATCGCAATCGAGATCGAAATCCAGCTCACCTGATCACGAAACACAAGACACTTCCCCTTCGCAATCCATTGATGAAGGATGTAGCTCATTTGGAAGAGCGTCAAGATACGCCGCAGACCCTATAAATCCTAACCCGGGATATGAACATTGGTCAGCAAAGGAAAGTATGGAAGCTCATACAGTCGACATGAGACAGTATCTCGAACGCTACGATGATGCCTGGAGCCACGCCTCGCAATAATCGGGCATGGCACTGAAATGCAGGCGCGAGAAAGAGGCGTAGAAAGTTGAGATGAATGTATGCTATGACCCCAGGAAAATAAACGGTGCTGATGTATTTAGAAGAAGGCCCGAATTATCAGCCTATCGGAAACTGGTTGAAACTTGTTTAGTGCGTTCGGATATACAATAACACCTTCAATCCACATGGCTGCCATGTTTCTTTCATGGTTGCAGAAGATCATCGGATACGACTGCGATTGCACCACGTTTTACCCTTCATTACCCCAAGCAACACGATTACCACACACATGAAACTTCGGCCAAGAATCCTCAACGAATAATGGCTTTTTGTTCCTCGTACCATTAATTATGCATATAGCTATGGTTAGCAATGAGGCTGACTGCACTCGGGATATCGGGGCTTGCCTCCACGGATCCGGGATTACTGTCTTCAGCTGGCACGAACTTTCGCGGGGAACAAGAAGTATCCCTAACCCCACGTGTTCCCAAGGCAGCACAACATTGTCCTTCCGCCTCCATAGCGAAGCTTCTTCTCCAGTAGAAGTGTCCTGTTTGATCTCACATTGACGTGGCTTTGTTTGTAAACTTCGTCATGCATGCGCAATGCAAGACCGTTGAGCATCATAGCTGCGGATTATCTAAACACGACTAGCCCCTGAAGCCAGATCGACAGAAAATAATAATTGCTGAAGTGCTTTTGAGGCTGAAATACATCTGGAAATAGATTCAACTAAATTCATACTCGGTGATCCAGCGGCCGCAAAGTACTTCAAGCACTCATTGGCATTTCCGACAATGATGTTCTGGATTTAATCGCCATGTTCTTATGAATTTGCTGATCGAGATCGGAGATGAGTAGTGGAACTGGCCATAACATCCTCTTCATATCCCACGAGGATCTAATTTCTATGAGGGAGAAATGACAGGCTTTCTGCTGTGATGGTCAGATTGAGGAAGACGTTGAGGTAGGCGAAGACAAATTGGAGAGTTCGCATGTGGTAATTTAGTAATTGTACATTATCATTGAAGATTAGAGGAATTTATCTAGACGTTTCCCGTGCCTATTGTAGACCATTTGTTCCAGCCCATACTCCAACGCTAATAAGGATTCAAAAAAGATAAGGAAAAGGCAACTGATATTTCAGCGCACCCTGGGTATATTTAACTCATAAGGTAAGGACTCTCCAGTTTGAACTTTGCTCAGCTTAATCACGCTTGTTTGGCTTATAGATCTCATACTAGAACTGGAACTTGAGCTGCTGCTAGTATAAAATCCCCTGGTCCGTCTTTGCGACTCAGGTAGTTTAGGTCTTATGCTTCGGGGAGCAACAAAAGCTGTACCAGCATGTGACCGATTCGGCGTTGTATGATCCGTACCAAGTCTGTGAGAACGCGCTGTTCGGATGGTTCCTTCACTGCCACTACGTATACTAACACTCCTCAAGGATGATGCGAGGGAACGACTTTGTGGTGTTGTGGGAGTGGGACTAGATGACGCATCGCCGTCAATATCGCTCTCCTGGCCGTCGATAGCTAGACTCATCATTATCGCAGGACTGAGTGGTTCCATACCGCGAAGAAGTTCTGCGAAATGTTTCATCAGATCGCGAAATTCGACTTCGCTGATAGCGTTAGAGGAAAATCGAGCGTACTCGTAGGCTGACAGAAAAGTTGTGGCGATTGAGGAATCGTTGACAACGCCAAATCCAGATAGATGACCGATGTAGTCGCGCAAACACATCGCCGCGGGTCGTTGGAGGATATCCACTGCTCTGAGATCAGGCATGGGCGGTCGAGACGTCGATTGTGGGTCAGGGGGTGCTAAAGATACGGCCTTTGCTTCAATCAAATGAGGTAACTCGAGAATTACAGTGATGTACTGCAGATTTGGCAGAACCGCGGCGGTTGGAGAAGACCATCCATCGTGGGAAATTTGACCCCAAACGGGTTCTTTTGTAGATAAGCCAGTTGTAGATCTATGAGACCCTTTCTCGTCCATCTCCCGCTCAGAGCGACTATTCTCAACAGCGATTGTCGCTTCACCTAGTGTGTCTTGCGTCGATCCTAGTGTAGTCGCATGCTGATCTATTCGTGGTCGTGAATCCCATGCTAGTGTAGCACTTCTCGCCAGGCTCGCCACAATCATTTTTCGAACTTTTTTCTCGACATCGCCTTCTTCGATAGGAATCCATGTTTTCGGTATCGCCTTTATGATTTCCTTGTTTGTGTAAAGCCGCGTCGCGAAGAGCACGAAGGCCGAAAATAGAGTGACACCATAGCATGAAAGGATTACAAAAGTATTGTATATTTGATTATTCGCTTGGGCTTGGACGACGGTATCGAGAGGAGTAACGAAGAGTAGACCTCCGATTGCAACGTAGAGGATGACGAAAGTCGAAACATAGGCGACAGAGCCCAGCGTCCAAGTACCCGGCTTCCAAGTACCCAGCTTCAGAAAATCCAGCTTCATATTGACGACATTGTCTGCTTGGGCATTAAGCTCCCTGCAGGTCTTGACAGAAGAGGGGCTTATCCACCTTAAGTATGCTATGCAACTATATGTATGGAGCTATCATGAGTGGTGTAATGAATACTCTCGTCCTTGCACGAAAAGGGAACGATTATGAGATGCGTCGAATAAATGATATCGATCGTTGGAAGGTAAGCAGTTTGTTGATATGTATTTTGGTGGTAAGACTGAATGATGATGTTGAATTTGGTGAATGGTATAAGATTACAATTACAGTGTAAGGTTATTGATAAAATTGCGATGAAAGGGAAATTGGAAGTGGGCCTTATTAAGGGACATGGACATGGACAAAGTACGTACCTTACCTGGCGAGCCTGGCTCTTTAGGTCGTCTTTCAAGCCTCTCTCTCTCTCTCTCTGTGTGCTCGAGGCAGGTACTGAGATTAGCGAGTTCCTCTTTTTATTTTAGCTACATACTTATTATTCCTTATTATGTACAAAGTAATAAATCCCTAGCATATAGAACAACCAACCACGGAATCAAAGACAAGATGGTTATGGAAAATGTTTAAAAGCTTTCGCATCTTGCACTGGATGCTGCTATTTTGAGCATTGGAAGTTGATCACGTCTAACCCGAGTCGAACCATGCTTTTAGTATATCTTCAAGCAGGACCTCGGGAAGTTACGATCGCTCCGCTATACTTAAAGTTCGACAACAACACAAACTCAAGGACGTTTGGATTGGCCAGTGAGAAAGGAACAGTCGTCACGAGAGGCTAATCGAGGTTCAGCCATGGATTATGTGCACTTACCTTATTGCTGTACATGCAGCCTACAGCTATAGTCCTGCACACTCCTGCGCGTTGACAATCACAGTGTATGTTAGTACGATGTATGTTAACAGGAGCTCTATGGCTCTACACTAGGGCCTGACTGCAGATATCTTGGGTCCGCGATTTGCTTTAAACGCTTCGCTTTCCATCTGTGCACGAGCGTGCATTGATTGTATCACGCGCATTACTCTCATGGCTTCATGGCCTCATGGAACTCTTTGGCATTCGGCACCATTCTGATAGGCTTTGGTAGTGGAGGGACTCTTATTCTTGATATAACAGTTTACCCAGAATCACCCCACAACAAGAAGCAATGCGTCTTGGGTATCCATTGTCATGTCATTTGCCTACAACATTTGTGACTTAGGTCAAGCTGTGGCTGGTTTCCTACCGTGGGACTCAATGTGTACCTACCTAGTCTCCAGCAGCTCCAGCTTCGAATTCTTCCATTTGCCTCTGTAGCTTTTACGTCGGCCCCAGCAAGATGGAATTACTGGGCGGGTGGAATCTATACTCACGACAATAACGAGGGATGGGGATACTTTACGCATACATCTGAAGTCTCGGTTTTGGCAATGAGCATTGCATCAATCAATGTCACTAGGTAGGCTCCAGATAGCGCCTGAATGTCTATTCGGAAAAAGAAACGATGCCCGAAATTACTGATGCATTCAGAAGATGGCTTTGGGATACCATCGCCAATGTTCAATAATGATTAATTACTTGACAAACATGACACTATTGGATCCATACACAGAAGCAATAACCTGTCGATCTTCGAATTGACCAGACAATTTAAAGGACTGTCTGCAACCAACAAGATTGCTTTATTAACGTGAATACCTTGCTTATCATGAACACTGAAAGTTTTGGCGTATCCCTTTTCTACGGCAAATCATCGATTGCTTGGTCAAAGATATTCAATGGTCATCGGCGCTCTGATCGCTAGTAAATTCTATACCTTTGCTCTGTGGTTCGTCCACCGTTGATCGGATTCTCGTGATGTTCTTCTTTGCTTACACGCAAGTCCAATTTGAGCCTTATTGGAAAATGGGTGTAGGGATGAGATATATATACGTAGACAATGACGATTGTGACAGAACGGTAATAATGGCAGAAATCATGGCGTAGAAAGGATTGCCTTATTGGTTCGAAACAAAACGACTTCGTTAATGGTCATGAACCCGGGCGATTTACCTTTTCTTGCAAAAGGAATCTCAAGTAGGTATCATATAGTTATATCGAGAGACTTGACCAGATGTTGTATACGCAGCCCAAATCATGAAAAGGTTCGAGAATAGATCTTGCACTGTGAATTGAAAGGCTGTGTAGTATCACGTGATAGACTAGCTCAGGACGCAGTCGGGCGCTAGGTATCGAAGCTTAATGATGTGCTTGCATCTTCCAACATTTTACAACGCTCATAATCAATCCTACAAACCTACCTCAACTTGCTTGGGAAGCTTCACATAATTGCCTGAACAGAATCTAGGGATCATTCCCAAGCTTCTCATTATGGCACCGTCGCAGGACACCATGTTCCGCTCAGCGGACATGAGTTTGGTCCAACTCTACATCGCCAACGAAATTGGACGCGAGATTGTAAACGCATTGGGAGAGCTTGGGCAAATTCAATTTCGAGATGTATGTGTCAAATCTATCAGATTATGATGAATTACTAATGAATTTTGTAGCTCAACTCCGACGTTACTGCTTTTCAACGGACTTTCACTCAGGAGATAAGACGACTCGATAATGTTGAAAGACAGCTTCGTATGTGCCAACCTCTATCTCTTGTTTCATCGATACTAACTGATGATTAGGATACTTCCACACCCAAATGGATAAAGCGGGAATCCCCCTCAGAAAGCTAGACCTTGACATCGAAACTTTAGCCGCTCCTTCCGCCACCGAAATCGACGAGCTTTCCGATCGCAGCCAGAGCCTCGAGCAACGAATTGCATCATTGAATGACAGCTATGAAACTTTAAAGAAGCGGGAGGTAGAGCTTACTGAATGGAGATGGGTTTTAAGAGAGGCTGGGTCCTTCTTCGATCGAGCTCACGGAAATGTGGATGAAATTAGAGCTTCCACCGACAACGACGATGCTCCTCTCCTCCAGGATATAGAACAATCACACCAAAATGGAGACGCCGAGCGGTCGTTTTCTGGTATGAATATTGGGTTCGTGTCCGGTGTCATTCCCCGGGATCGTATTGCAGCATTCGAGCGTATCTTGTGGAGAACCCTTCGAGGTAATCTTTACATGAATCAATCGGAGATTTCAGAACCCATTGTTGATCCCACAAATAACGAGGCCATCAACAAAAATGTGTTTGTCATTTTCGCACATGGAAAGGAGCTTATTGCTAAGATTAGGAAGATCTCGGAATCTCTTGGTGCGGATCTTTACAGTGTGGATGAGAACAGCGATCTTCGTAGGGATCAAATCCATGAAGTTAACACTCGTCTGAGCGATCTTGGTAGCGTTCTCCGTAACACAAAGCAAACACTTGACGCCGAACTCACCCAAATTGCACGGAGTTTGGCCGCCTGGATGGTCATTATCAAGAAAGAGAAGGCCGTCTATCAAACACTGAACCTTTTCTCGTACGATCATGCGAGGAAGACTTTGATTGCTGAGGCTTGGTGCCCCTCCAACTCTTTGCCTTTGATCAAATCAACTCTGCACGATGTCAACAATAGAGCAGGCCTTTCTGTACCCTCGATTATCAATGAGATTAGGACGAACAAAACTCCTCCGACCTACCAGAAGACCAACAAATTCACGGAAGGCTTTCAAACGATTATCAATGCTTATGGTACAGCAAAGTACCAAGAAGTCAATCCTGGTCTCCCAACTATCGTTACTTTCCCATTCCTCTTCGCCGTCATGTTCGGTGATTTCGGACATGGTGTTATCATGGTATGCGCAGCTTCGGCTATGATCTATTGGGAGAAATCATTGAAGAAAGTTCGCGATGAACTTTTCTCAATGGCTTTCTATGGTCGATACATCATGTTGATGATGGGTATCTTCTCTATGTACACTGGTCTTATCTACAATGATGTATTCTCCAAGTCGTTCTCATTCTTTCCAAGTGCTTGGGCTTGGTCAGAGAATTACCCCGACTCTATCGAGGCACATCTGAAAGAGCCAACAGGATACCGATATCCTTTCGGCCTCGACTGGATGTGGCATGATACGGAAAACGACCTTCTGTTTACCAACAGTTACAAGATGAAGTTGAGTATCTTGATGGGTTGGTGCCACATGACCTACTCATTGTGCTTGTCCTATATCAATGCCCGTCACTTCAAGACTCCTATCGATATTTGGGGCGTGTTCGTCCCAGGTATGATTTTCTTCCAAGCTATTTTTGGTTACCTTGTTTTTGCCATTGTCTACAAATGGTCGATAGACTGGCAGGCTATTGGCGAATCGCCTCCAGGTCTATTGAATATGTTGATCTACATGTTCTTGTCGCCCGGAACTATTGAAGAGCAGCTTTACTCTGGCCAAGGATTTGTTCAAATCTGCCTTGTTCTCATTGCCGTCGTCCAAGTGCCAATTTTACTACTACTCAAACCATTCTATCTTCGATGGGAACACAACAAAGCACGAGGAAGAGGCTATAGAGGCATTGGTGAAACATCCCGAGTTAGCGCACTTGATGGCGACGATGATGATGACCACACTTTGGACGGTAGAGTAAGTATGAATAGCGAAGGTGAAGGTGTTGCTATGATTACACAAGACATTGGAGATGAAGAACATGAAGAATTTGAGTTTTCCGAAGTTATGATTCATCAGGTCATCCATACAATCGGTATGTTTCCTTACTCTCATAGTTTGATCGTTACTAACATTCCCTAGAATTTTGCTTGAATTGTGTGTCTCACACCGCCTCATACCTTCGTCTCTGGGCCTTGTCCCTTGCGCATCAACAACTTTCCGTTGTGTTGTGGGATATGACGCTTTCTATCGGTCTTCATATGACCGGTGTTGCAGGTGTCTTCATGGTCGTGGTAACATTCACCGCGTGGTTTTTCCTCACAATTGCCGTATTGGTTGTTATGGAAGGTACTAGTGCAATGTTGCACAGTCTTCGTTTGCATTGGGTCGAAGCTATGAGCAAGCATTTCATGGGAGATGGCATACCTTTTGAACCATTTTCCTTCAAGCAGATGCTAGAGGATGATGCTTCAGCAGCTGATATTTCTTAAGCGTCGAATAGTTCCTTGTCTTTATTAGTTTCTTTTTCATCCTCGTAGATCCACCTGTAGAATCAAAATGTACTTTACTATACTTGTTTCAATATAAATTATTGATGGCTCTAAACTTATTAGAAAGTTGATTTAAGGGCAGCAGCTATTTGCCTTCCTCCAACGGTGACGATCGCCTTTGCACGCGATATTTACACTAAGCGATTCGCTACGCTTTGCAGGATAGACTAGCCTTGAGGTCGTATCCCGATTCCAGATTCCAGATACCCAAAAATCCCGGGCTCGTGATGCAGCATCTGGGTGGATATATTTGTTGGTGGCACCAATCATTCTAGATCTCTTAGTCTCGTGGGGGGCTTCGGGGGCTTTCACAGTGGAGCAATACTGTAGAGGCTCGAGAGAGGGTACCTGGCCTGGATTGAAGACGGCAGATTTTAGATTAAATTCGTATGTCAGAAGTGAGACATTCATGGCACCGTTATTTGTTGCAACGCTTTACATCGCATATGAAGAACGGTGTATGGAGCGTCAGATACATTATCTACAGATTCTACACCGATATTCCAGAGAAATGGCTCATTCTCGTTTTTATTCGGGTTGTGCTGCGTAATCGATAAGGCGGAAGAAAACAAGCTTTTCCCTTGTATCCCCTGGTCATCGCCCCGCGACCACTAATTCTTTGGTCAGAGTTTACACATAACGGCAGAATTGAGAACCCAATCAACCCAACTTTTGTTACTTTGATCCTTTTTTTTTTTGATATACTTGCTCCATTTTCTCTCCAACTGGACTGTACACCCCACTTTCCTTCTCCTTTCTCCGCTCTGGTTCTTAAGAGCTTGGTTTCCTCCCTCCTACTGAAAGAGAAAGAAGAACGGTGCCCTTCAGTCATTCTTGTTCATTCACTTCACCTCAGCCTTGTACTGACCTGTACATACGAATACAACCTCGTTGTCTATAGAATTGCAGAAGAGCTTTCGACCTTTGATTGAATCACATACAACACCACATCAGAAAAAGAAGAAACAATAGACAACATGGCGTTTAACAACAGAAAGTTTTCCATGAATAGGTCCACTGGAGCTCCAAGATTGTCCTCCAAACCAAACAGAAGATTCTCTACACATGATCCTTCTGCCAATGGTAAGTTCCTCACTCTATTTCTCAACGTTTCTCACAGAAAGCATCTATAATCCCAGAGAGCCATGGCATCTCTCTGAGATATAACCATCTTCTTCTGGAGCAGTAGCTCTTTTTGAACGGCACAATTTCGGGGGAGATTCAAAAAATGCCGGGGATTGCGGGGCAGAAATTGTAAAAGATGTTTATGTACTATCATATTCAGATCTCTCTATGCATATAGAGGAAGTCGCACTGTTGATTCACTTGCTATCTAGAACTGAACTGACCATGACGAAGAAATGGATTCCAAGATTCACAAGCAATTCCGTAATGCCCACGAAGGCCACAAAACTCACGCAGGACTCGATCCAACCCGTGCCTCTACTGGTGTAGTCTGGTGTACCGAAAGAGCTTATGAGCATGGATTTGCTGAGGAGCCTGAGAAATGGGCAAACCTTGGACAGGGTGCTCCTGAAGTCGACGACGAAATTGCTGGTAGTTTCAAGCGTCCCGAGAGCATCGATATCACAATGGCAGGCAGAGAGTACGGACCTACAGCTGGTATTAAGAGCTTGAGGGCTGCTGTTGCAAACTTGTATAATGTTCATCACAGAGCGGGTAAAGAAAGTCAATATACTTGGGAGAATGTGTGCATTGTTCCAGGTGGACGTGCTGGATTGATCAGAATTGCTGCAGTGTTGAATAATGCTTACTTGGGTTTCTTTATTCCTGATTATACTGCATACAACGAGATGTTGTCATTATTCAAGAATGTAAGTCACCCCCCTCTCTCCAGATAGTGATGAGAATACTTGAAAGCTTACTTCGATTAGTTTGCCGCAATTCCATCCCCTCTCTCTGGAGAAGATGGTTACCACATCCACCCTAACAAAATTGAGGAGGAGATTTCTCGTGGTACTTCAGTTATCTTGACTTCAAATCCTAGAAATCCTACCGGAAAGGTTGTCAAGAACCCTGAACTTGCTGAAATTCAAGATATCTGCAGAGATAGAGCCACTCTCATTATGGATGAGTTCTATGGAGGCTATAACTACACCAGTGATTGCGACGGCACCACAATCAGTGCCGCTGAGAATGTTGGAAACGTGGATGAAGATGATGTTTTGATCATTGATGGTCTCACCAAGCGCTTCAGATTGCCTGGATGGAGAATTGCGTGGATTGTTGGACCAAAGGTTTGTTTTGCTCTCTATCTCTCAAACATCGCTAGCCTAACTAATGGTGAAAAAGGAATTCATCAAAGCCATCGGCTCATGTGGTTCATACCTTGATGGTGGTGCCAACGTTCCTTTCCAAGAGGCTGCTATTCCTATGCTTGAGCCTAACAAGGTTAGAGAGGAAATGAAGGCTCTGCAAAGTCATTTCCGTGACAAGCGTGATTATGTTATCAGCCGTCTTCGTGAAATGGGTTTCAAGATCAAGGAAGTACCTGACAGTACCTTCTACTTGTGGTTGGGTAAGTCAACCAACGCCAACATATTTTGGACACCAAAATGCTAACCTAATGAAATCACAGATCTTGAAGGACTCCCAGCTGCGATTTCTGATGGTCTTAACTTCTTCCAAGCATGTCTCGAGGAGCGTGTCATTGTCGTCCCTGGTATCTTTTTCGACTTGAACCCAAGTAAGAGAAGAGATTTGTTTGATAGTCCTTGTCACCATTTTGTCAGATTCTCCTACGGTCCAACCATGGAGACTTTAAAGATGGGATTGGATGGTATCGAGAGAGTAGTCAATAAGTAAGTTTTTTACCAATTTTTCATAGGGCGATTCAGGAAAGTATACTAATAAGCGGGTAGATTCACAAAGCCAGGAGAACCATTAGAGCAGGCGATAGAAGATGATGATGAATAGAGAATTATGAAAGTTTTTATACGCGAAGAGACTATAGAGAGCAAGTATAACAATATACCTGACTTTTAGCACGGTGGATGTTTTCGTTGATACAATAGCAATTGGACATACGGATTATATATGATGAATAGAACATACAATGTATTTGAACAAAGATATTGATACACTATTGCACACTCAATCGTCTCTTACTTCAGGACTAGAAATAGGGTTTCATATTATAACAGTCAAGTGCCTGCCTATGCAGAACTCATCTGTATGATTTTTGTTTGCCTGATGGATCTCAATACTACGCTATTATTTCCTTGGCATTCGCTTCTGGTCTACATCTCCTTTTCCTCCATTATTGATACTTTGCCAATCTCGGTTTCTCGTCACAGATGCTGGATTTCTGAGGTCTGCTGTGATTATAAGTATTGATCGATATGCAATTCTCTTTTATCGAAATTGTGATGCACATTTTTAATGAATTGATAAATCATTTGATAGTTAATAGGATATTATAATGTGCGTTATATAGAAGAAGGATTATGGTAATAAATATATACATGAAATTAAGGCTTTACTCAGACGTGTAGATTACACAGGTCTCGAGTAAGCGTTTATACATAGAGGAGGCAGATGTGAAAGGGTTGTCAAATTACGCAGTGAAACCATACACCCTTACTCCACCACCCTGTTTTCCACCATCGCCACACCAAATCCTAATCCCCATTCCTGATCCCCGCCGCAATCTTCTCCGCAAGCGCATACACCGTACTCTGCGGATGCCCCGGCGGCAAAATCGCAAACGCACTCGCATCCACAACTCTCAAGCCTTTCGTGCCGAATACCCTCGCTTTACTATCCACCACCGCCATGGGATCGCTCTGAACACCCATCTTACACGTACACGAAGCATGCCATACCGTATGTACCGTTTTTTGAATCGTCTCGAGAATCTGCGCATCGCTTGAGACGGAGGGACCGGGGAAATACTCCTCTCCGATGAGTACGGGGGCCATGAATTTCGAGGAAAAGGCCGCGCGCGTGCGTTTGTAGGCTGCGACTGCGACGGCTTGGTCGGTGGGGGAGGTGAGCCAGGAGGGATTGATGATGGGGAGGTCGGAGGCGGAGGTGGAGGCGAGAGTGACGGTTCCGCGGGAGAGGGGAGCGACGAGCGCGCTGAGGATGGTGGCGTATTGGTAGCCGTCGCGCGGTTGGGTGGTGGGGAGACTGGCGAAGTCGCCGACGTAGCCGGCGCCGGAGAGGTATTCGATTTCGGGCCAGTCCGGAGGGAATTGAGAGAGATCGCTAAGGGTGGAGGAGGAGAAAGTGTTGCGCAGGGAACTGGGGAGTTTTTCCCACCCGAGATAGTCGCAGATGGGGTTGGTGAGGGGCCCGATTTTTTGGATTAGATAGGGGCCTATGAATTGTGCGGCGGTGTAGATGAGGTCGTTGGCGAGTCTGGTTAATGTTTGCACTTTGACGCGATAGGTGGGACCGAAGAATACGTGATCCCACATGTTTTGACCTACGCCCTCGAGGATAGATATCGCTGGGATGTTCCATTTCGCTAGTGTTTCTTTGGGGCCGATGCCCGAGAGCATGAGCAGTTGGGGACTTTGAAACGCGCCGGCTGACATAATGACTTCTTTTCGGGCATTGATGGTGTATGGGAGGAAACCGAGTGATGTGACTTCAACACCGGTAGCTTTCTTGTCGTTATCAAAAACAACCTTTTGTGCCGTGGTGAGTGAATAGACTTTGAGATTGGAGCGTTTTTGCACTGTGGAGTCATAATAGGCTGTTTGAGAAGACTCTCTTTTTTGACTGGAAGGATCAATAGTAGAACTGCAATACTGTTTTCCCATGAGCGATCCCGTGTTGAAATCTTGAATATCATTGATTCCGATTTCGCCTAGGGATCCCTCCATATAACTCGAGAAAGGTTGTGCATAATTAGCATAGGAAACCTCCAGGGGTCCTCCCGAAGAAGAAAATGCAGACTAGAGATATCAATCAGTAATTTCCACGAAGAATTGAGGGAAAATATACTCACAGCGCTATATTCCGCAGATGCATTAGAAGCCCGACTCGCTCCCGGAGGAGTAAACCGAACACTTTTTTGAAAGTAAGGAAAGAGCCCGTCAAAAGTATACGATTGGTCATCCACTGCATCAGCCCATTTCTGATACGATTGCGTGGTGCCACGTTGATAGATCATGAAATTCCTCGCGGAACTTCCACCGAGACATTTGCCTCGGGCGTAGGAGATGGAACGGCCGGCTGCACCAGCTTGAGGCGTCGTCACGAATTTCCAATCGACGAGCGGATTGGTATCAGAGGGATTAGAACCTGCCCAGAAGGAATCTCCTGCTGGAGTTGAGCTGAGCGCGGGATTGGTGATCTAGATGTTCTTAGTTAATGTGTGGTCTCGTGGTGGAGATATTTGTTTGTACCTACCTGGTAAAATGTTCCAGCTTCAATCACTGCGACTGTAGTCCCCGAATCTTCGGAGAGTCGTGAGGCTATTGTTAATCCTGCGGTTCCACCGCCCACAATTACATAGTCGAATGTAGTATCTGCTCTCTTTATTGGGCCATCAGTTGTGGGTGCAGCAATACTCAAAGGAATTGCAGCGGCAACATATAGAAAAGATTGTAAATGCATCTTTGAGAATACCGAGAGGGGCCTGTACAGTTCACAGATGAATATATATTAAAGGGGAACGTCCTTTAAGTTATAGACATATTATCGCGGTCAAGACGATTGCTAGGCATGCGATCATACGACGGGATTACCCATAGCCAAGCAGCACAAGGGCCACTCGTACCTGAATCCCTATACTAAATCTCTCCACACGAGATATAAACTATAAATACGATGGTGCTAATCTACTAATAAGCGACACAGCTTTGCAACCACGAGGAAGCCATCCTCAAAGTGAGCAGCACTAACCGAGAAAATACAGCAGTAGTAATAATTAGCAGCAATTCTAAGACCCTCTGAAAAATCCACTCTATCTCCAAGACGTCTTTGCAAAGAACGCTAAACCACGTTTGGGCGAGACGAAGTGAAGATCACATAATGAGATTCCATGTTGCCTGGCTAAGAAACGGGAAGATATCGTTAGCCCAACATTGCCAAGATATAACCTAAATGATGATTTCTAAATTCCACGGCGTTCCTGGATCCATATGCTCAGAAACCCCAAGATAAACTATCCCCCTAGACCGCCAGTTACGGCCGGGACATGGGGCCCGTACGCGAGTAAGAATATTATTGATAATAAGAAAATAAACAGATATTGTATACATTAATTTTACTAATATGATCTCGAATAATATCAAGAAGGAGATTTAAAGAGCTTTATATAAGATATTATATTAAATTCTTTAAAAATAATTAATATTTTTAAAAGAATTCGAAAACTTAAATAGTTTAAATATTATTTAAAGGTGAATTTGAAAAAGAATTATCTATTCTAATTCTTTTTGAAAATTATAATTATAATAAAAATAGTATTAATATAGGAAATCAATCATATATATCTACGTTAGAGTATTAATAATGATGAGATAGTGATTATTAAGTTTTAGAATAGTAATTATTAGTTATTGTTTTAGTTAATTACGATTTGATTTATATAGAAATTATATTAAAGTATTCTATAATTAAATCTCTTAATATTATACGCGGATAAACACGTACAGATTACATGACATTTCCTATAGCTAATATTTATAATTCTTTATTATATAATTTAAGAAAGAATAGTTAGTTTCTATTCATTCTATTATACTCCCTATATATTACATTAAACGCTTTCTAGAGTCTCTCTCCTTTCTTCTCCGCTAGAGTGTTACGACAGACATCACATGACACATTCGCGTGTCACGTGAGGGAGCCTTGGGGAGCTACGGGCTCCAGGAGCATACGGATCCCAGGGGCTCCAGAGGACGAAGGTCTATATAACAGAATGAGTTTCATTATAATATGGAGCTTCGTGCTCAAGAACAATCATTAGTTTCATTACTATAGTTACGAGAATTGCAACCAGTTACCAACCTTATTGAATTCCTACTTGAAGTTTAGTCTAAACCACCTCGAGAGAACTCTAGACACTTCCACGTGACCCTAGAGGCAGCTCCCGTAACATAGAGATATTACTTTCATAATAATATTTCTATAGTGTTTACGAAGGCTGATTCTATGACCCTACTACCTTCTACTCTTTTAAAATATTATAATCTCCGGAAATCTTTTTTTCAAGAATTAATTAACGAATTTGAATATAAATTTATTCTAAGAAATCAAAAGAATCTTAGAAGATTTTACTTTACTTCTTTATATTATTTATTAAATATCGATTTATTTATATAAGTAAATCGAGGAAGTATTAAGCTTAGTAGTAGTATAGTAGTAGTAGTAAATTCTTAATCGATTTAGTCTATCTATAGCTAAGCTACGCCGACTATATAATACGTCTAAGTATATCTAATTATATAAGTATTAAGCTTACAAAGAATAATTTTAAAGAAATACTAAATAATTATAAATAGAAAATTAAATAGTATAAAAATGTATAAAAATATAATATTCATTTATGTAATAATAATAAATGTTTCAATAGTTATCATAGAATATAACTCTAAAACATCAAGATTTCGAGAAATCTTAACGTTCTAATTGGTCACTAAGATCCCTATTAAGCGAACCCGGCAGTAACTAGCGGTCTAGAGGATACCAGAAGTTGTACTCGAGCTATTCTCCTAGAGCCCTAGAGTCCTAGAGTGCGAACTTATGACGCCCAGGTGGTCCGTGCAATATACCCTGTATGAAGAAGTCAGAATGATCAGATTCATACTTTTCCGATCACTTTATTTATAAAATAGGATTTTAATTCTAAATTTTACTTTTTTAAAAAATTGTAAGATAAATAAAGATTCAAAATTAATATATCTTATTATTTTTAAAACTTCAAAATATGAATACCATGAAAGAGATTTTATATTAAAGATTGTATATAAATATCTAATCAAATTTCGAGAACCCTGATGATGTGATTGGTCAATAAGTCCTCATTAAGCGAAGGCGCCGTAAGTTCGCACTCTAGGGGTTATACAATGATCTACCATTTTGAGGGGTAGACTAAGAGGTGGACAAGCATTTTGGGGGGGGTCGGGGATGCGAACGGACGGGCCCTTGCAACGTGGTATTGAGTCGTGTTGTAGAAGACATGGAATAAAACATGTGATCATAAGATCTGGAACCTCAATTCTATCAAGAAGAATCACATATGATATTTCTGAATTCAATATTCTCTTCAAGGCGAGGTTTCCACGAGACACAACTCGCAGTAGGAGCCAAATTTACTAGTTTCTGCAGGAATGATTTGATTCATAAAATGCGGGGTATTTCCAGCGTAATGTTTGCCAATAAAGCGAGTTATTTTTGCTACATCTTCACTGTTCAGGTACCCGAACCTTATTCTTTGTAAATCAACTTCAAGTTAGTATCCAAGAAAGACGATCTCTATTAGTAGCGTCAAAGCTCAAATATCGCTCCTTGGACCTTGACGAAGCTGTTTCCTTATGCAAAGCCAGGTATGGGGAATGTGACGATGCCATCCCATAGTCCCGCGACTGCAACATCAGGTTGATCCCCGAAACCTCGTGTACTCGCCAATTGTAATATCTGTAGCGCTGTGGCTGTGAGATTCAACGGATATTTGAGACGGCTCGCTTCTTCGATTGCTGTATTCTGTTTGATCGTGAGCACCATATACTCACATGACATGATTACGAGGGGTTCTTGGAAATCACTTACTAGACGAGCAATAATATCATTAATAGAGGATTTTGAGGTGCACTTTCCACTTAACAAAGCTGGCACTCTATCCACAAACATGGCGCTTGCTCCAGCCGCCCCTTTTACTATATCGTATAACATCGCGGTGTCTAGACCTATAGCTTGACCAAAAGCCATTGCTTCTACTGCTGCGACTAAATGCACACCTGATAGTATATCTTCAACTAGCTTCAATCTCGGATCATCCGCACTTGTAGTAGACGTTGTAGTCTGTTCGAACACGAGACTTGGCTGGGTAGGGATATAAGCCCTGACAAGCCCAGAATCATCATCTAGGCCAAACCCGGAACGAACGCCAGATGCCAATACTTGCTCTGCTGCAGAGCAAAGGAACAGTGGACATTTGGCTCTACGGCCGTCAGCTGTCACTATACCCATATCTTTAACAATAATATTTAAAGCCGAGAACGGATGAAGATTATTCTCCAACATATGGGGTACCCTATTTCCTAACATCCAGCTTTCTCCCGATGATTTAACAAGATGTTCAAAAGCCTGCTTGGTATTAAGACCCAAGAATGCAGCAAGCCCCATGGCTTCTGATGCCATAATCATATGTATACCCGCGAGAGCTTGATGAACCATCTTAACCTTAGTACCCGCCCCCACACCACCAGGGATTATATGTAATGGATCTGCCATGGCGTCCAACACCGGATTCGCGACTTCCAGCGATTTTTCCGGCCCAGAAGCAAGAACCACGAGCGTACCAAGAGCTGCTCGACCCGTACCTCCAGATACAGGTGCATCTACCAATTCCACATCTTTCCTGTTATATTTATTATCGAGTAAATCTCTAACTTCCGGTACGTGTTCGGGGAAAGCGGTAGAGCTTAATATGATCGTAGCATCCGGTTGTAATTCGTGGATAGCTCCAGTGGTATCGTCAAAAAGAACCGCCAGTGTTTGCTCAGCGGTCGCTACCATGATCACGATGTATTTCGCATTGGCAGCCGCAGATCGAGGCGTGGTAGCTGTGTTTCCGCCCGCGGATCTGAATTTCTCGAGCGTGGGTTCGTAGACATCGAAGCCGGTGACAGAGAATGTTTTGAGGAGGTTTGTAGCCATGCCCATTCCCATAGCTCCAAGGCCGATGAAGGCCACGACTGGTTTATCGGATGAAGACATGTTGTCAATGTAAAATGAACAGGAGATGATTTGGAAGAACAAGAATTGCGGAAATGCTACTTAATCTTGATGAGGGGTAATTGAAGTCTTCATTATGAACGATCTCCTACCAAACTCACCATTTAAAGAGCCATATAAATGGATCCATCCGGTCTCAGTACCCCTCATAGTTTACCCCAACATAGCAACAGCATGACGTTCAAATATGCAGCAATTCGGACTACTTTCCATTTTTGTTTTTGTTTCGTGGGGGTTCTCGGATATATATCCGTCAAATCAATAGGTAAAATAGGCCAGGTATAAAACGAACATTGGCGATATACTGAAGATGCATTTGTATTCTTTTAAATATACAATACCAAATCAAGTAAATAACTCTTCTATTTGTAAGTCATAACAAAAAGTCACTAGGAACCTTCGAATCATTTTTTCTCATCTTTTTTCTGTACATTCAAGAGTATATCAGTGTTTCTTTTCGATATTAAGACATCAACCCTGGTTTCTTCATATACTCGAGTAGTTTTGTTCTATTCTAAAGAGGGGTTGCTCTTTTTCCATTATGAAATTATAAAATTATGAAATTATAAAATTATGAAATTATAAAATTATAAAATTATAAAATTATAAAATTATAAAATTAGAATAATACACTTTACTTACTCGGAATAAAAATCGAAAATATAATCATCCTCTTCATAATCTTAATATGAGGTATTAAATCTTTCTCTTTCATTTCCTGTACTTCTTCGAGAACTAATTTTTCAAATCCCAAGAACATCCATTAAAATATTACCATACCATTCTTTTCAAACTTCATTATATCTCATCCATGTATACCTCGCGGAATATCATCTATCATCTAAACATTACTATTTTCTTTTCTAGAAATCTGATCTCGAAATCTAACCCCAATTATCCCTCGATTTCTACGACCCATCCTAATCATCTCCCAAAAGGACTTTCTCCTCACGAACAAGTTCCGAATCCACTCTGACATCCAGTCCCACAGTACGTACTCGTACTACCACACCATCCATACTGCGAACAGCAATTTCCAAACGAGCTTCCATTGCACGTATACCCATTACCACACGAAGCATCAGTTGAGACTTTCAACGACGATGTTGCAGTTGCTTTTGACGTCGCAGATGTAGATGTAGATGTAGATGTAGCTGAGCTGGTGGTTTCACTACCACTATTTCCAGTATTATCATCAGCAGCGCCAATACTTTGTGGATTCCAGAACACTTCGTTGGGATCAATGGTTTTTTTAATGGCTAATAATTTGTTGTAAGCAGTTTGTCCGTAGCCGAGCATTGCGGCATTGTTTGCACTTAGTTCTGGGTCTACGTAGTTGAGATATACTCCAAAATCACTGGATGCACCAGCTGAGAGAGCGCTATTGAGAGAGTCGACAAAGGGCGTTATCGCGTCATCATATGGTGGCAAAGAGTTGGATGTAAAGCCGTAGTTCTGTCGGATGTTAGTCATGTGGGCAAACACTGGCATTGTCAAGAAAAGAAGTTTTACCTGGAAAACCCAATGAGCGTCACGATCAGAGTATGCCGAAGAGTCAGAAGAAGGCACATTTATCTGACTATCGGCACCTCCATATAGATCGATGATAGTATACCAAGGAGAAGGAGCACTTCTTCCTTGATTCAGAATGTAAGTGAAGTAGCTAGTCAACTGAGCAGAAGTCAACGGCTTTGCATTCTTCGTAACCACAGATTTGGCGTAAAATGTATCGTGAGCCTCGTATCCAGTTAATGGTTCCTGAAGCTGACCTCCATTGTCTGCACTGACTAAAGCATCTGTCCATCCTAGAGATTTAACACTGCTGGTAGCGGCGGTGGGAAAAGCAGCCAATATTGCTGGAAAAGTGACGCTCTCGAATTGGTTCTGATCACAGCTCATGCACCAGCCACTAAGACTGAATGATCCATAGTTGTCGGTGTAAATACCTAATGTGATACTTTTATCGATTTTGGTAGAGTCGAGAGTAAGTTCTTGGAGTTTGGTGAAGGACGAGACGGCAGTGCTGACACTATCTAATGTTGCTGGTATACTAGCTGAGAAAGTAAGAACAGACGATGGAGCCGCAAAAGTCTGGAGGTAGAAGGTTGTAGCAATAGCAAACGAATCGGCAGCCCCTCTCATTGCGTAGAAAACATCAGGATAAGCTGTGGCCGTCGTGTGGATTTGTGTTCCGTTGGCAAGAACAACATCGAGACCAACGATAGTATCAAGAGCCAGACCCCAAAATCTCGATGCGTATCCATAACCTCCATGAGTGAAATGTCCACCTATTCCAACACCTGGACATGTCCCATGTGGAACAGCTCGTTTACCTTGACTGTAGAGTCCAAGAGCGAGGTTTCCTAAACGTACACCTCCTCCAACGGTAGCAATGTTGGTTTCTAGAGCATGTTTGATTAGACATTGTTCAAAACACAGATTTAAGAGGTCGTTCAAACTTACGAGCATCAACACTTATAGAATTGAAGTTCTCGAGACTGACGATGAGACTTCCATCTTTACCACCAGTTGAATAGCTAGCATATGAATGCCCGCCTGATTTGGCCTGTACTTTAAGTCCGGCAGCGGCCGCACAAGTGATTGCGTCACTGACATGTTGTGAGGTGGTAGGTAAAGTGACAACAGCTGGGGTGTATGGTAACCGAAGATTATAAGGGGAAATTGTTGTAGCCCAAGAAGACGAGGAACTATCTTGATATGGAACAGAGTGCTGAGTCAAGCAGTCTTGAATGCTTGAAGCGCGGGTTTCAATTCCACCAAATGGGTATGAAAAAGCCAGCGGGATAATTAACATGCCAACTATGATTCGGGCCATGATAATACGAAAGCCATGCTAGAAATCGTGTTAGCAACATGATCTTTTGACAACATGACTTCACGTGATTGTGGCAACAAATAAGAATTTCAAGACTGTTAAGTGCGGTTTAGTTTGTGCGTGCTTACAATTCGTGGATTCGTCCAATACATGGCGAATTTGCGATTTCTGGTGGAGAGAGATGACTAGTAAGGTAAAACTTCAGGAGAGAAAAAAGTCCGGATGAAGAGTGATGTCAAAGTTGAACAATGAAGGGAAATATGAACTTTTAAGAACACCACATCTTGGCTGTCGTAAAGGGTCATGATTAAAGTCACTTTGATGCCGAACCATGGTACTCCCTACCGTTGGAATAGGAGAAATTGTGGATGGCTTCAATGTTTGATTGAGATTTTTGCTGATCGCCATCTGCCAAGGCCCGCCGACAGGGACTGAGCACTGGCAGCAGCCGCCAAAAGAATAAAAATAGACATAAATATGTAAGGAGTTGGGTGCGTTTACGGGTTCCATTGTGTTGCTCTCGGAACCGTTTGGCCAAAGCTGCGGTGAATCACTATGGATGACAGGCATTGACACATGCGGATATCCACAAAATATCTTGTACCATAAAGAAAATACGAACTGCAGTCTGCAGCCTACTCAACTGCCCTCAGCTGTGAACGCCACCCATTCATGCCATTTCCATATAGTTTGACAAGTTCCGTTCAGAACTCTTCCAAACGCCTTGTCCAAACGATATTATCGTTGTAATACGCATTCCATGTTTCCTGTCATGTCGTGCATGTTCGTAAAGCTTCGTTGATCGAAGCCCAAGGACAATCAATTACTTTCCTTAGGGTTTGGGATCCCTTCTCCACTTCTGCTATGATATTGCTTTCTCAAAAATTGTTCAATCGGTACATCGTGTTGTGGCCGAACTGGGGGTGCTTCATTGCCTTTCACCGTTGTATCGTCCGGTCCTTGTTCCAAAGTTGATTTTTGTAATGCGCTTACGCCTGGTATCCACGAAAATGCTTTCATCATTAGCGGTCTGCCCGTTGGGATTTCATGGTTCATCCTGACCGGCAATGCTGAATCATTTGCCTACCTTTCTCTGTCAGGCTTTCTTCTTTTTCCGGTTGTCCCCCACAAGCAGCTTGATTCAATTTATCTTTGAAATCGCCCTTCCTAAACTTGTTCCCGTGTGCATCTTTTCCAACCTTGTTCTTGTCTTGGTCAGGATCATACACACCATCTTCAGAAATCGCAGATACACTGTTGACTACAGTCTCGTATGCGGAAGAAGCTTTGTCCTTCATTTGTTCGACGGTCGAGGGTTGAGATGACATGTTGGAGAAGTCTGTGGTCTATCAGTCAGTCAGCCATCAACAAGATATGAAATTGACCAAAGGATTGTTTGGTGGAAGAAGTGCCAACCGAGTCAATTGAAGCTGAAAATGTTGTGAGAGGTAGCCAACACGCGCAGATGTGAATATTGAAGATAAAAGGCAAATAATGAACAGAGAAAACGAGCGAGCTTGAAATTGAAAAGAATCCGTTATAGATGTAATTGTATGATTATTATAGCTTGTAAGGCGACTCAGAATACAACTCCCTTTGTCCTCATACCTGACCGAGAATATCACCAAGTTATCCATCCGCTTGACGTCAGTGAGGGAGAAACAGCCAAGCAATTGCTCTAAGGTGTCATCTTCCGATTATCCGTCGAAAACAGATTAAATCTTGAGAAAGTTGGCTAGAGAATCGAATCAATTGATCATAATTATCAAGCTGCTGCAACCGAGCTCAAACTAGCATCAATCAATTCTTATATTGTCAGCCCTATAGGTTATTTTTCCATCTGGTCTACTGACAATAAGTACCGGTACAGCCCCTTTCGGTTTCTATCCGGTTTCTATCCGAGTCAACTTAATCGCCGCTGTTCGTAAGTTCCGTCCTGTGTCCTTTAGACAAATCATAAGATTCTATGAAAATCAGAAAACAACCTTGGAATTTACCTATCGGAGTTAGGAATGAGTATTGAACATCAGCCTGAACCCTTTTACTTCATATATAGATATACAATATTAACTACGAGTAGGTAATTAGTATTTTCCATTCTTATAGAGATTATATGAGTAAGTAATATAAATCTCACTTTAATTAAAATCTTATTGTTTTTATAGAATATAATACTGCTTCAAGCGAATTAAATAAATAATAAGTTATTTCTCTTCAAAATTCAAAATTCAAAGCTTTTATTTGCTTTTTATTAACTTTAATGATTTAATAGTATTTAAAACATTAGAAGTTTTCTATAAATTCTAAGTAGATTTTAAACAGAATTTCGAATTAGAATATATATAAAAATTAACGTAGTTTATCAATACGTATACTATATTAATATATACATTATTTTTACCTTAATTTATACTTTTCAATCTCAATACATAATTTATTAATTATTTATTATATAATTGAATAATAAAAAAGAGAGAATATTCTTAATTATTGAAACTATCAAAAAAGACAAAAAACTCTTGATTTAAAAAGCTATTAAACTATATAATATTATATATATAATATTTATTTAAAGAATGAATAGAATAATTCTTATGATTGAATTTTAATTATAAAATCTAAAACTTATTAAAGTAGAAGAATAAATGATTATTTTATATATTCTTAATATAGATTCGAAAGGTTTTTTTTCTAAATTTAAAGGGATGAAAGATATAATAAATTATATTTTCAAATTGAAAAAAGGAAAAGCTGTTGAAAAGCTCTGAGTATATCGATTTGTAAAACGATATAAAGAATTAAAGATGTGTTTTAATCATATTTATAATTTTCAAAAAACTCTTTATAAAAATCTTAAACTTTTTAAAGAATAATTTCAATTAATTACAAATATATAAACGAAATATAATATTTTAGATAGAGATTTTTATAATTTCAATAAAACAGATTTTATAATAGAAATATTATATATAATAATGATTATTATTAATGCTGAGAGATATAATAGAAGTAAATCAGTATGACTAGGTAATTAAGAATAAACTATAATAATAATATACAGAAATGAAAAGGATGAAACTATTCCTTTATTTTTAATAATTCAAGAATAAGTATATCTTTTTAATTAATATATTACAACTAATCTTCTTATAGATTAAGCTATTAAATTTATATTTAATAAATAAATAAACAATAAAATAGGTTTAAAATAATTAAAATACTTTGATAAATATATTAAGAATTAAAGAAAGAGGAAATATCAAATGTTAATACTAAATGAATATAAAAGTTATAAATCAATAGCTTTTCAAATATATTATAAAGAGAATAATATTATATGTTTATATTTACTATTGTATTCAAATCATTTAATTCAATTATTTGATGTTGACTGTTTTAGTAATCTAAAACATTTATATAATAATCAAATTATTAGATTTATTAAGGTATATATCAATTATATTTCGAAGATTGAATTCTTTATAACTTTTAAAGCTATATATAAGGAATCAATCATTTTTTAGAATATAAAATTAGGATTTCGAGGAACAAGTTTAATTTCATTTAATTCTAAAACTGTATTTTCGAAATTAGATATTTGAATTTGTATACCTACTCTTTCCTTTTTCGATTTAAATTAATGAATCTCTTAAACCTTTTACAATCTAATTGAAGCTTTTTCTTAATTAATATTAATTAAATCTTGAATAAGTTGTTATTAATTAAACTCATCTATACTTATATTTAAGATTATATTAATTTTAATTAAAGATATAGAATAATTAGTTTATGAAAATACACTTTTGAATATAAAGATTTGTATACTTTAAATAATAAATAAGATATTAAGTAAATATCAATATATATAAAAAACCTAGTTATATTAAAAAGAAGTATTTATTAAATAAGAAACTCTTAATATATTATCTTAATAAAAAGTTAATATTTAGATTTAATATAATGAATATTAAAAAGAGTAAATTTAATAAAAAAGTATTTTTTATTTAATATTGTAGTAAATATAAAAAGATAGATTATAATATAAGAACCTATTAAAATAATATAATAGATTTTAGATTATTAGATTTTAAATAGTTTTAATTAATTGATTTAATTGTTATTGAATAATATGAATTTGAAAGTATAAATTGAGATAAAAGTAGTGTATATATTAATATGGTGTACGCACTGATAAACTATGTTAATGATTTTAAATAAAATGTAGATAAAATGAAAAAAATTGTGATTTTTTTGTGATTTTATGTGATTTTATGTGATTTTTATAATATTTTTATAAAATAGAGTTTATTATATAATCTCTGTCGTGCTGCTTGCCCCCCTGGAGCTTAGCGGCCGCCGCATCAGGCAAGGTGCGCGCATGGGCCGGCCGCCGCTTTCAACAGCTATAAAAGTTCGCACTCCCCTCTCCTCAATCATCATCTTCTTCAACCCTCTCCTAACACCCCCCTCTCGATCGCTTGACCTCGTCATACACCATCGACTCCTCTACTGAGATTCACTCAGTATACCTCATTACAGCTGAAGAGCCTTGATAGTACGGCCGGTTTCAAGCCAAACCCCTCGACCTTCCTCGATCTGCTACTCTAGAATCGATGCTTGTGACTGTTGCGATAGCAACCATCCCTCTAAATAGCATCGTATTGCCCGATATACGAGCGTGAGCCCAACTCACTACCCTCACCTCATTCGCCTTATTACTACATTATCCCAATCCTCACGGGAATACCTACTTGGTGACCGCGACAGAGGAGATTTGCCCTTAGCATTATTTCTATACAATATAACCTAACTAATGAAAGAAATACCTCAAAATAATGTGACCAGCTTCCATCTGATGCAATATGACATTAGACCTTAGGGTAAGGATTTCAGTGAGCTTCTTAGGTCGGTGTGACGACTGTATGCGCTGATGCCTGCATCTAGGCTGATATGTAACGAAAAGGACCGGTTTCTGCCAGGTATGGCTATGGCAGATGAGGATCTGCATAAAAATAGCAATATCGCAGGCTCTCCTGAGCATCCTACGAACCGAATACGAAACGCCGGCATTGGCATAGATCACAAGCATACAGGCTGATATGGAAGATTACAAGAAAATAGCTTATACGATTTCGAAAGGAGCTTGATCTGTAGTCCTTATACATTGGAAGGATGGATATTGTGATCGAGATTGTTCCGAGGATCAATTGGCCCAGGGTGCTGCTTACAGCAGGACTTCTACAGCATTAGAATGGGTACAGTATAATCTATGCTACAGGGTCTCATTTCTGTAAAGGGAAGGTTTTTTGGATTCAGCTACACGGGAGATGGCCGTAAGCTGAGGTGTGTTCCTACACCAACCTCCAATCTCCCCTTACATCGGTCTTGCCATAGGATCAGCAGTTCAATATCCTACTTTTGACAGGATGGTTTGTTGGCGCCGGAGTAGATACACGATCACCTGGAGCTGCGCAGTTTCATATCTACAAAGGGAAGGTTCTTTTGGCACGCTGGAGAGGCGAGAAGGGGCCATTGGGAATATACACACTTTATCACCGATAATCGAGAAATAACATTAGGGAAATGTCTTGTGCGAGAAGTGCTGTGTCAGGACCAAAGTGTTTACATCATGAGAGCATGCGAAAGCTTGCAGAGGATGGTCTTTCTAGCAATCCACGTCAAACTGCTACTGCGACTTCGATAATTTTGATCGTACGAGCCAAAGTACACTGAGCTCCACACCTCTGTCCAATCCGCCTCTATCCTCCTTGCCGTTGCACATCTCCAACCCTCTCGACTATGTGCTCGATAGCGCTAATGACGAGGAGCTCGTTTCGATCTTTCCCGGCTCCTTGCCAAGTATTGCTCAATCGTAAAAATACCTTATGATAATAATATATCTGCCTAATTGCTCAGCTATGTTATGAATTGCTTTATTGTAAAGCAGAACCAATTGGATAACCTTTTTGTGTTCTAAAACGAGTTATAGGCGGCGTATACCTTGAATTGGGCTGATTTATGATGAGATAGAGCGATCTCTACCAAAGATGCTTCAGCCTTCTATATGTTCTAAAGCAAACGGCCAAACACTAGCGGTTCAAGAACTTGAGGCGCATATAGATGGGACGTGGGTGGTCACAAGGGTCGTGGTAGGCTGTAGAAGCGGATTGGTGGTGCAACATGCTTGATGTTTCTGCCAGGATGTAGTTCGCTTGGAGCTGTTTATTTCTGCAATGGGAGCGTCCGCCGGTTATGGCATGCACGATAGAGAGCTGAGGAGAATTGCAGGTTGAAATAGGCAAAAGCATAAGGAGAGAACGCGGAAGGCTGCAAATAGTGCGCTTAAGTAAGTAGGTCGAAAATTGTACATAAACTTTTCGTTTTCCCCGTTCTGCTTTTTTTTGTGCATCCCTCCTCCGAGCCATTTGACTTGACATCAGTAGCCACAGAGATCAGACAGTTTCTTGAATATCGTAAATCACTTTCGCATCCCTCAAAATGACTTCTTTTCAACCTATTCCTTAAACCTATGTACCAACTGCCCCACGTTCCAAGAAGGCAACACTCAGAAGCAATATATTCTTCCTACCAAGGAGCCACGTAATAAGTCAAGAAAGAGAAATGGCGATGACGATTCAGGCTACAGTTTGGAAGATCGAGGTACGCTAGCTCTATTGTTGAGGCATTGACATACTCTCTTTCCAGTGATGGTAACGGAATATTTTGTATAGATCAACACCGTTTGCAACAACAACGACGATGATTTCAACTTCGTTCTTTCTACACGATATAGCCCATTACAAGTGAATCTACGAGAGGTCTTGCGTTTGGGACAGGAGGTCCGGGATGATGAGATGACTTTTCAGAACATCGACAACAACGGTCCTACCTCAACAGAGACAATCATGATCCTCAATTATATCTGGGAGCCTCGACAGGACTTCCTTAAAGTTAGGATATTCAAGGTATGCGTGTTAACTCTTGATAACGATGATAAGACAGTCTTCTGATGTCTTATCCTGTAGATATGGATTCGCCTAGTAATAATGAAAGTAGGCAAGGCACGCCTGAGATATCAACACATCATGCTCTTCTTGTTGTGTTAGATAGCAACAAGACGGAAAGTGAGAGAAGTCCCTTTGGCTGCCACGTAAAGCTACTTCCGGTATCGAATAAGCAAGAGAATCTCTCAGCCGGCGGCTCCCCTTCTCTTCCTTCGGATTGTCCAATCGAGCTATCATATCCTCAGAGTATGTGGAAATCTCGAGGTATATAAAATCTCCTATATGTGATGTACTATATTCATTAATTTCCTGTTTTCCCCGAAGCGCCCAATCTATTCTAGCATTCAGAAGTTCACCCTGTCGTATAATATATCTTACAAACAGACATAGCTAATCATAAGAACTTAATAGAACCATTAAAACAAATTTCATATTATTGTTCTTCATTACTTCACTAATAAATTTGTAGGTATAAGCAACGCTGATAAGATTACCAGTACCAATAAAGAGTTTTGGGAATACTTTGCTACATTATATAAGAATAACAACAAGGGAATCAAAGGACGAGGCAAAGACCGCCGAGTCGGCCTTGTAACTCAATATGCTCTTCCCACCCATCCTACTTCTCCATCCTACGCTTCTTCTTCCCCCTCCTCCTCCCTATCCTCAGTTTACACTCCTCAACTCAAATTTGAACCAAGGCAAACTTACGCGATAAATCACACCTACAATCCCATGTTCCGCCCAGCCCACCATGGTCTCCCCCTCCCCATTGATATGGTCAGTATGGGCTCTGCTCCTATGATGCATATGGGCATGAACTATGCTCAGAACCAGCACAGCTTTGCTGAGCTTCAGGGATTCATACTTCAGTACAAGGAAAGACCTGCGGAAGTGTGTAACAATGTTATAGAATAGCTGGAATTAGAAGGAAAGGTGTTCGGGACGTAACGGAGAAGACCTATCCAGCCAGCAGTCTCAGTTTAGTACCGTATGTTCTGTAGTGTATGGTCTTAGCGTATCACCCTTTCATATAGCTTCTACAGTTGAATCCTTGATCACAAACTAAATTATTCTTACTACCAACAATATATGGATGTCGCAGATATACAAGTGGTCGAGAAGTGCAGTTCCAATACTATGTTTGAGCCAATTCTCTCTACGCAAGGGCTTTATGTCGACCTTCGCCACTTTACTGATCAATTCCTAGCGCGCCCGGGTTACACAATCCTTGTAACTGAAGTAATAGTTGCGGTTTAGATGTAGTCGATTTCTTGCACATATCGGAGCTAGTGTTGAAAGGCTCTGTCAGGGGCTGCTCTCTCAGAGAAGAACAAGGATTTGCAGCTTCCCTCCCGGAATCGGGAGGGCTTCCCGGTTGTAGGTTAGATTCCGAGGCTGATTTGGCAGATCCTAAAGTGCGTGATGTATAGATCGCCGATCATGGAAATTCACAACGAGGATGTTGGAAAAGGGGCAGGGTATGAGAGAGCGGATGAGAATGTACAGGGGCCTGCAAACTTTCGAGGCACCATACGGTAAAGACTTCCATGCATAATTGTCCGCTTTTCATGACCGAATGACATACAACCTGCGGTTCGTTGCATAGATAGACCTCTGAAAAAAGCACTTACTGAATGGAAGCCTAAGCCGAAAGCAGTCACCGAAGACAACAGGATGTAGTCACCAAAAGAATATATCCACAGGCCCAGCCTCATTCAGAGCGTTCGCAGAATGGTTCGCCATTTTTAGGCAAATACGGCCTTCCTCTGCATATAATTCCACAAATGAACGAAGATGGAACCAAGCCATTCTCCCACCGAAGTGCATTTTCTCGTTGTCCTTCCTCAAACTTTCCCACCAAAAGATATCTTACTCTCATTCTCAACCTTTCCCTTAAAAGACTTCTCACAATTGGTATCATTCTGCAACTTAAGTTTATACCGATATGTATGAACACAAGCAAGATCTAGATAAACATTAGCACCGGAACAACCAAACCCTATTATGGGAGTGTACCCTGTGTCTAAAGCGCACCGTCTATTCTTCGACAAAAGATCTTTGGAAACACGCTCAGGAAAGACATCGCGACAAAATCCTGTTACATCAGGGCAAGCTCAAGTAGTTTCGAAGAACACTTGAAAGGGATTTGGAAGTAAAGAGGGCAGTTACAGCCCGGTCGCCAACGAGCTCTCCGTCGCAAGTAGATTACTTATAGATAGGTGGGTTCTAGTCAAAGGGATCGTCACAGACAGGACCACGTTCTACATATGCTGCACAAGAGTCGCTGTATAGGCCTAGTTGAATTCGAGCATACTGTCGAACATGGAGTCGAATATGGAGTCGACGGAACTACTTGATCATCATCGATATCAACATACCCGGTCATTCAGAAGGCGCTGTCGAACATATACCTCTCATTTGGAGGAGGATCGCGAATCAGATCGGATATCTACAGCCGAGCCTATATATGTCTGATAACAATGCGATGCCGCCTATCTTCTCATTTTTATCGTGGAACTTCTCGAGTCATATATTTATTATTCACAACAGTATATGACTTAGTGTTGATTGGATTTCGAGTGATTATAAGAACTCTCCAGATCCCTATTCTTTTTTCCAGTTCATTTTTATTTCCTTTTCTTCGGCCAGAATTTACTTATCTGTATATAGCCGTATCAAAACAACTCCGATTACCTTCGAAAGAAGAAAATGGCCGAGAGAAACGCAGGCAATCAGTATGTATAGATAGCCCTCTTGCTTGGGCATATAGAGAACTGAAACTGACATCTCATATACGTAGGCTGGCTCCAATCGATATTCATGACTCTGACTCTGAAGACGACGTCGTAGAAATCATTACTCCTGGTGCATGTAGGCAGCAGTAGCAACAGCAATAGTAACATACTCAAGGAACTAGAGCTCAGGCCGTTCAGAGAAACTTTCGCAAGCATCATCCCCTCTAGTATCACATCCAGAGTATTCTTGAAGTTCGTTATAATATGCCGATCATACTTGCGACCGGAAATCGACTCCGCCCATTTTGTCTTGGTGACGAGCAGTAGCGTATAGCCGATCTTGTGCATTGAAACATTCCATATGTCGATCGTGCAGCTCTCAACATCGATACTCTTTCTGCTGGAATTCGATATCGCACCGATGCCCTTCTTATTCAGGCCGCAGGAGAGGCTCTTGGTGAACCCTGCTCCGCCTATCGCGACCGTAGTTCCACACGTCCCTCTCCTTGCTGTATCGTTTTGATGGGTATTTCCAAGGTGTCTGCGGAAATTGCCGCTGGTGAAATTCGCGGAGTGGTTGTGGAAACCCGTATCGATATGACGGCGATCTCATACAGATTTCCGACTCCGACTCTCCTCTGCCACAACGCGCTCTCCACCTGAATCGTAGAAATCGTCGTCATGGGCCGTATGGTCTAACCAGACGCCGTTAAATCTCTCAGGTTAGTCTGGTCCTTCGGTTGGTCTGTTCGGTGGAAAGGCTTGCTCTCGTGGTGGTGGTGGAAAGGCTTGCTCTAATGATCGTGGACGAGAGCAATGAAGTTTCTCTTTTCTTTATAAGTTGAACGAGAAGTATTTCATTTCCGCTACTCTTTATAATCTCTTGTTTCTTTGTATGATAATATTGATACCATTAACGCAGTCACAAATGAAATGAATATATAGTATTGACAGGAACCGCAACTACGGTTTTGCAGGGATATTCTCGACCTCTTTCTCGCAATATAGCCTTATCTACTATATGTGAGTATAAGAGTGCCACTGCCTTAACTACCATGAGATTTTTGCCAGCTTCTTCCTACTTGAGACTAGTATATTTCTATCAGTGTACCTCTCAATCAGGGGTTTTCAAATTTTCTCTTTGATTGATTGTAGGATTTTTATCTTTACTAAAACGAAAAACATCTTTGTTATACAACAGCCGGTCGTACACATGTGAATTCGTAATCATGTGATAAATGCTAAATATATCCTCTCCAACAAAACCCTTCATAATGAAACCAAGATCTATGTGGTGTTCGAATCACAGGTCGACACGTTCTTAAGTAGGGTGACTTTTCGCCTGTTTCATCGTTCGGATTTTCGCTTTGGTTTGTTGATCATGGTGAAGAGGATGTAATTCAAGCGATAGTAGAGGAGTTTGATATGCTTTGAAAATAAAGTGTAGCAAATCGAATGAAATAAAAAAAGACCTAAGACCAAAATCGCTATACTGAAAACCGTTCCGACGGTGAATCTTGTACAGGAGTTCTAGTAGTAGAATTCATACCTCTCTTATTAGAACCCGATCAAGAGGAATTTACCACTTCCAACATTCTAGTAAAATGATTCTACCCAGCTGCCATTAATCAAACCTCGGGATCAAGAAACCATACCCCGCACTCGCATTTTCTCTACCCTTTCCCCTCGAGCTATAATGTATATACGAATTCCGTATTTCAATACTATAATAAAATACAACTAAAAGATTTTAACTAGAAGATTTTTATTAATACAAAACAATTCTATTAAATTAAATTACTCTAGCTTTTCTAGATTTTGTAAATAATTTGTATCAAAATAATTCTATTGCTATAAAGTTTATTCCAGTGATTTAGTTTTCGGAAAGCTTATAGTACTAGATTTCTATCAAGCAGAAATCTATAGAAAGAAGTCTACTATATATCACGTGAGGATCAACAGCACAAGGCCACCAGTGGGTGTACGGACTCACGGGACAGCTTATAAATAAAGCACAATTCTATATTAAAAAGATTGATTTTGATAATTCAATTATAATTCAATCTTTTGATAAACCTCTTTGAAATTGAAACATGTAGCTTATAAATACAAGATTTCTATAGAAAATAAAAATTGAATCAAAAAAAAGAGAATTTGAAGCTTTCACAATCGAATATATTATCTCTTATTAAGTTTTTTTTAGGGAAAAGATGCAATATTGAGCTTTTTGAATTTAAATCTTAATATTTTCAATTTATTTTTGAAAATATTATATTTTGATATTTAATAAATCTAAGATATCCATTTGAAAAATATTCAATCTACTATTGAATTTCAATTGAATTTTGAAGTTGATGAATTTTGGTATGAAATTGTGCTTTCTTCTCAAGTGTCCCGTGAGTCTGTGCACCCACTAGTGAACCTAAATTTGAATTGTTCTTCAGACTTTACTACCTCTGCCGAACTCCCCGATTCGATTCGAGCTACTCATTTTTCATCAACGGCTACATTCTAGAAATATTTGTGTTAATACCAGGTATTGGACCCATCTTGTGAATATATATATCAGCTTTTTGGGGATTCACAAGGAAACAGAGCAGAGTGATACATACCAAGGGATCTACATGGCACCCACACCGAGGTTCTCCATTAACGTCAAGCATTAATTCCAGTCTCGTGAGTGGACTGATGATAACTCTGTAACCATCACGATGGATAATGATGTCACAAAACCCGATAAAATGTTCAGTTCTTCTCGTCGCTCTCACCGGAAAACGAGGACGGGGTGCAATAACTGTAAGAGGAGAAAGATCAAGGTTAGTTAAAGCTGCCGTTTGACTGATTCGTTTGACATCCTTCTACCCAAGCTGGCAAGCGTACACACATAGGTGAGTCCCAAGTCTTCATTTCATGTCCCACAAAACATCCCGTTTGACATTGTGTATCTTTAGGGTCAATTTCTTGTTGCCCTCACTCGAATGTTGATCGACCTCCCGAGGTCAGTTCAACAGTGGCTAACTCATCGATTAGTGTGGCGAAGGAAAACCTAGCTGCTTGAATTGTATCAAGCATTCAGTACAATGTGACTATTCAAAAGCGGAAGCAGCAACTTCAGCAAAGAATACGCCACTCTCCTCTCATGGATCATCAACTTCAGTTTCAGCTCCAAATAATGTACTGGGTCGAACTGTCGAGGGCCAAGACCCATATCTGAATCTTGTGGATTTGGAGGTCTTCAACAACTTTTGCGTATCAACAAGTAACTCACTGAACTCCAATCCTGTGGTGAGAAAAATATATCAAACCACGATTGTCCAGATTGCATTTCAGCACGAATTCGTCATGCGTGCGCTCCTCGCTCTATCAGCCCTCCACATGGCTCGCAATAGGCCTGATCGGAGTCAACAACTTCATGAGTATTCAAAGCAGCAACATGAAGCGGCGCTTCGTCAAGGCACTGCGTTCATTCCTCACATTACCACTGAGACTTGTGCAGCGCTTCATGTCTTCTCGATATTCACCGGTATGCACACATTAGGTCGACCTCGCAGCGTTGATGAATTTGTAATTGTAGGCGAAAATGGAATCACGTCATGGCTTGTACTGTTTCGAGGTGTAACCGCTATTATCAAGCAATTCAAAGACGCACTTTTAACAGGGCCTTTGGCCACCTTGTTCAAAGCAAGAGAAGAAAGAGTCATATTGCGTCAAACATACGCAGACGATGAAGTTGAACATCTCAGGCATCTAAGAATTGCAATTGAAACCACAGTACCCGATGAGCACGAAGTACAAATATACACTGAAGCTATCCGCGGCTTGGAACTTTCGTATAGATTCATGTACAAGTGTCCAGCTGAGCAATATGAGACGGGGGACATTTTTATCTGGCTCTTCCGTGTAGCGGATGAGTACTTGGGTCGTCTCAATGATGGTACCCAAGAAGCATTAGCAATTCTCGCATATTCATCTGTGTGTTTCAAGAAATTGGAGGGTCTCTGGTGGATAGAAGGATGGAGCAATCATTTAATGGCCAATATCTATCAGTTTCTGGATGAAGAACATAGACAATGGGTCCAGGCACCTATCAATGCGATTGGTTGGGTTCCATATCAATGATCAGAAACTGTTAGAATTTGCATTTCTAGAAATGTGCTTGTATTGCGGCTTGAGTCACGAATTCTAAGGAGTTCTTGGGCTCAGTTGGGATGAAGACAAATCAAAGTTGAAAAATCATCCCTATACACATTTTATTTTCTTAATTGTTTTCAGAAAAATTGTATCGTACTTCAAATATAGCAACTTGTACCTGTTTCTCAACATTCAAAATACTAAAATCCAGCTGCGTTGGACGAACTTTCTACCTTTCTACTTCCTCGCATGAGGCACAACAGGCTCCTCTTCAACGCTGCGTATCACCTCTAATTTGTTCAAGAAAATCTAAACATTGCTCTCATCTATATGGTTCATTATAAGTTGTACTTGCATAAATTCATTATATTCACTTCAGCTTTTAAATATGTACAATAGAATCATCAAACCTCTCTACTGTGCTCATTCCCATCTCCAAAATGGCAACGTCCTCTTTAATCATTTTCCCTTCTCTTTGCTCCACCTAGTAAGTATCATTGCTGGTATAGTTTTCCCTCGCGGCGAATTGCAACACGCCAGCCCCAACATCAAAAACGGTAACGACGTTCTTCTGGAAGGTGTCGCCCAAAACGTACAAATCATTCGCCGTATCACTTCCACCGTCATCAATACCGCTGATGCAAACATCGTTTCCATCATCATCAGTACCAGCTAAGAGAATCATATCGAGAGGATTAGTATAGAAGACTATACCACCAATCTCAATACCAAACACAGGTGGAACCGCAGTACAAGAAACGACATACGCGCGCTGGTCACTGCTGTACACTGCAGCCGGCACAAAAGCCTTGTTAATAGCATTAGCTATATTGGTAGGGAGATAATTCAGCGCGGTTCCAGAATCGACAATATATTGAGGAGTTGCGGCGCCGGAGATGGCTTTTCCGTTTAGATACGCGGCGTCGATTTTAATGGTGTAGAAATCGTAGGCTTTGGTGTCTCCGGTGACGGATGTTATGAGGATGGGGGTACTGGCGAAATCTTGCACAAAGTCGACGGGGGGGACACCGCCGAGAGCGAGATAGCCGGCGGGGCCGGAGATATCGCGCTCGATGGCGAGACTGAAGAGGGAGTCGACGAGTCCTTCTTTGAACATGGTGGTGAAGATGGGGTCGTAGAATACTTGGATGGAACCTTTGTAGGCGGATGTGCTGATGCGGTGTTAGTATGAGTTTCGTCTTTCATATTGTTCAGTGTTTGCTGGGGAAAAACTTACATTGCGGGATATGCCATACCGACCAAACCACTGGTTGTTCCGTCACCGTTCCATGCAGCAGATGTGACCAAAGCGACAGTGGTGGTTACATTGATACCGGCAAAAGTCACCGGCTGCGATCCAAGAACACCAGTGAGATAATCTCCATCGCCATATTCAGTAGAAAACTCTTCGCCCGAGATAGCTTTGAAGGTGGAATCTTTTGTGTAGGTTGGGCCAAACGCACAGGTGGCTTCCGAGGTATTCTTTCCGGTAGCGAGATCAATACAAGAATATCCAGTCTCGGCCAACCAAGTATCACTAGATCCGGTATCGACACTAAATAGGAAATAAAAGTCAGTCTATGATATTTTGTTAACTAACTCCGAAAAAACACTCACATAACCTTGAAAGTTTGCGTTCCAAATGTGATATCTGTAGCAAATTCCTCTCCCTCAAATAAACTGACAAGAGCAGTTGAGCTTCCATTGACAATATCCAAATTCTTCAAGAATTTAGCTGCGCTTCTGACTTTAGAGCCTCCAGTAGATTTCTTGGTAAGCTCCAAGACATTGTCTGTGACGACGGGAATACTTCTTGGTCTAGAGGGAACGGCACTACGGACAGAGATCTTTGAGTTTTGAGCGCGGGGAAGTGAGCGGGCGGAGGTGAGGGAGAGGAGAGAAAGAGTGGTAAGGGTGGAGAGGACGGGGAAATGCATCTTGAAGGGTGTCCTGTTAGAGAAAATTCGGGAGATAGAAAAGAAGCTGGCACTTGGAGAATGCTACAGGAAAAAGATAAGAGGGTAAAAAGCCAAGAGAGGCAAGGGCTTCTTCATGTACTCCTTACTCATGACGTGCGCATATCTGCAAATAATAGCATCATACATGCACCACTCTTTCGCTATCAGATTAATCCCAAATTCCCTTGCAAAAAAACTCTTCACATGCACGGTGTCAATCCAAAAAGGCAGCTGAAGAACGGTATCTGCGGTGAGTAGATAGAGTAGTTTCCTACCAGAGATACGATGATCCGCTGCAAGGCACATTAGCACCTCCGCCCCTCATCAAATCCCGATATCTTGAATCTTCGGCATTGAGACGACACATCTCGTCAGTAATTGGTGGATCAAGAGCCAAGAGATACCATGACAAATCCAGGAACAGAGTAGCATTGCGGAGAAAGGTAGGTCGCAGGTAATGGCACTGATTCATTTACAGATAAACATACTGGCAGGACTGGAGGTGTACAATGAAGGGAAATCCAGATAAGCATTTCTGATCCCCGCAGCAATCATTGGCACGATTATTGACGCGTAGAAGTGGGAGTGGAGGGCGAGGATGGAATCACCCGAAATCTGTTCTTATTACGATCACACGCAAAAGGGAAGGAGATAGATACGCAGCCTGTCGTTTGACAGGGGGGTCGTGTATTCAAGCTTTTGTGGAGAGTTTTGCCGACTCGGGCCGTCGTGTTATGCACAGGAGAGGGGGGAAAGATGGCTGTTGATTGCCGAAAAGGCTGGTTTTGTGTGATATTGTACATAGGAACTTGGATGGGGATTGAGAGAGTATTGTGTTTTGATAATAAGGTTTTTACTGGGGAATCTGGCTGATGATTAGTAGTTTATGCTCTAATACACGGTATGCCCGATACTTAATCTGTTATGTGATCTGACGATATGACTAGGGCTACAATACCTTACTTGTGGTTAATTGTTACTTGATGATGAGTATCTTATAAAACGATCTTCGACTCTATAATAGTCAATGACATGCCATCTCATACCTGCTGAAATGCTATTGTTTGTATTAAGCAATCCACAGTCACCGAAGTCACTTCATCAACCAAAGGGAAACTTATCAAATGGTTTTTTGCATGGATATTATTGAATTGGGCGCTCTGAATAGCAAGAAGAATATAAGTGACTCCTACTTGAGACGTCAAGTCAATCGGCTTGGTTTTGTCTTCTGGTAATGCAAGTTCGATCTCATCACTAGTATCCACTTGAACACTGTAGCACACCGGAAACGAAAAAAGGGAACATTGAAAAAAAGCACATAAGAAATGGAAAAGGGAAATATTAGAAAAGAGAAATAGTCGATTGTTTTTGGGTGGTTTTAGAACTTTTGGGTTTGTTTTGGGGTTTTCTGAAAGAAATCAAATGCAAGACTCCTATCGCATCCCATATTGTACTACAAATGAAAGATGGAAGATGTTACCAGTGTGTTCGATTCGTGGATCTTGATACTGTGACTCTCGAGGTAAAAAACTGTGCTACAAATGAAAGATGGAAGAAATTACCATTGTGTTAGACTGACTGGCGGTAGAGTTTGGCATCGGGGGTTCTCAAGGAGAACCGCCGGCGATGTTGACTCTGAACCAACCATTCAGTTTACGCTCCGTTCTCGACCCGACCGTGATTTGTCCAACTTGCTGAGTTCCGATTTTGCTAAACAATTCCCATTGTTTGAAGTTAAGGCGGTAGAAGTGGCAAGCGTTGGTGAGTTGCTTGAAGTTTTCGTTCGGCATGCGAAAGACGACTTCGCAGCGAGCGAGGCGAGGGAATTGGTTGATAGCTGTGACGAGATTGAAGAGAATGTGGCTGTGGTTGGACTTTTGGACGTCGAAGCGGTACTCCGGAAGTGTTACTGAGACCAAGCAGGTCTTAGTGAAAACCGAGTAGAGTTCAACGATGCGGTGGAAGTCCTGAACCTGGGTGTCTGTGGGATACTTTTTCTGAGCGAGATTGATGGAGAGTGCGATGGTTTCACCTCCGAAGGTGATCCAAGGGTGATTGGGGATTTGTCCGGGGGCGAGTGTCGAGGTGGATGCGGAAGCTGGAGCGACTTTATCCTCTCGGATGAGAAGCGTCCTGAGTTCTGGTGCGGCTGGCATCTTGCTTGTTGAGTGGTTGCGAGTAGGATCTGGTAGACGATTCTGATTGTTGCTTGAAAGTCTTGCTCGAGTTGTCTGTAGATGAAGCTCGAGGAGTGGATGAGTAGCTGGGGAATTGAATGATACGGAAAGAGACGAGCCTTTAAATAGTGGAATAGAAGATGCTGTTTCAATCCTGTTTCGATACCTGAGCAATAAGCCCAATGCAAGAACAACCTCACTGCTTAATCTAGCATTGTTTTCGTGCATTCTTGACATGAACAATGCTGCAGACTTATTGAGATTCATGGAAAGATATTGTTCAAGCATTGAACAGAGGAACTGTTGCCGTGGTCGTAATCTGAGGCTGGCCTGCTAGGTCATCCCATCCGTTGGACCGAGTCACGAATTGGAGACTTCTTTCACAATGATAAAGAAAGCAAACCTTTGTGCGCTCTGAACAACCACCTATTGTTAGCAGAGGTCGTTAGATTCCGATTTCAGGTGCGGGTGATGCGAATAATTTCTTATACTCAGATATGTATCATTTAGTTGAGCGAGACTTCTCGCAGGTTAATCCGTATTCATATGGATCGAAGACAGGATATTCATAAACAACAAGGTTATCACTTAAATTCACAGCAATTGTTTTAGGGATTTGTGAAGCGTAGAATTTGAGTGCCAATGCCTCTGTTGGTCTAGAGTCTATTTTGGTACATACAGCAAAAAAGCTTCTGCATTGTGTGAAAGATTCTGTTATCAAATTTCAGGGGGAACAATCTTTTCAACGTGACGAGAAGTGGAAACAGGGGACGAGTCTTCTTTGTGCACTTGAGTAGAAATAAGGACATTTGTTTTCTGTCACAAATGGCGTGTAGACAGCATAGACAGAACACAATGTCAACCAGATCGCTCAAAGTTAATTGTTCTTGCGCGCTAGCGATTTGACTATTTAGTTGTTTTTCTGCTAGTACATATACATGTGTGTAAAGAGGATCGTCCAGTCCCGATGACTGCTTAGTCGCAAAAGAAGTACTTTGCTAGGTTATTTGCACATTTAAAGACAACCACGTATCGCGAGTTGGATGTCAAGACCGTAATACAAAATTGTGTAACTGGCGGGCCTTGCTACTATTCTTAGTGCACACCATTTGCAGCCGCCATGCCATTCAAGGCCGGAGGAGGTGGTGGTACAGGCCCAAAGGGTCTTGGAGGCACTGGGTGAACATCTTCCTCTGTATCGTCGTCGTATTCTCCCTCACTTCCTTCGTCCTCGCCCTCTTCGTACTCGTACTCGCTCTCCGTGCCTTCTAAATCTCCTTCAGCATACTCTCCTTCTACGGTCCCTGCCATGCCTTGGGTAAGACCTCGTCCTTGCCTCTGCATCTGATCAATGATATCTCTCAACTTTTCATTTCTCGTCTTTAAAGCCTCGATTTCATGAGAACTCTTGGTGCGCTCCTCGGCCATTGTAAGTATGTTCTTATTGGTAGCTTCGTGCTTTCGAGTCAAAGCCATGTTTTCCTTTTCGAGACGTTTTGTCTTTTTTGACATTTCTTCCATTTCCTTGCGAAACGTTAGAAATAAGTCATTGCTGTTGTTGAGCGTATCTTCCACCTGGCGGGCAATTAGCTCTAGGCATCCAATAGCAGCAAGAAACGAATATCATATGTAGAAAAGTAGGTCCTACCTGCTTGAACTTCTCCACATAAATATTCAACTGATTTCTCAACTCGGTTTCGGTTTTAGAAAAAGTTAGAACCTGCTGATTCAACTGTTTTGCCCGATTAACCTCCTGTTCAGCAGCTCTTCGCTCACGCTCGAACCTAGCAAGATTATACTGAACTTCGAGCTCCTTTGTACGCAGAAGAGAATGAAAATGAAGCTCCCGTAGTTCGTACTGATCGATCAATGACTTGAACTTTGCTTTGAAGCTGCAAGGGCATTAGTACATGGACTAGCGATAACTTAGAGAAACTTACAGTTCATCAAGTTCAGGATTGATAACGACAGTTTTTGGATTATCCTTTGTATGCTGATAGTCCTGAAACTGCCACAGAATTTCACTACACTTCTGATCCCATTCTTCTTTGGCAATCTTTTCATTATCTTGTAGAGTTTTGTTTTCACCCTAACCCCGCTTAGCATCTGTAAAATCGCATGCACCCAACAGAATGCGCACCTTGAGTCTATTATTCTCTTTCTGTAACTCTCTGCAGAGTTTCTCCAACTTCTCTCGGAGGACGACGGCTTTGCCAAGGTCGGTTCTCGCGACGTCTTTCTCTTTTTGCAGCACATCACCACGCTTCTTGTTTTTCTGATTATCTCGCTCTAGTCGTTTCATGTCGGCAAGGTGTTCGGTGACCCTCTTTTGGAGTGTCTCGATTTTTTGAAGATCGTCCATTTTGGATATTGAGGAATTCAGTTCTCGATTCGCTTTTTTTACTTCGCGTTCTTGATAGCACAATAAGTTAGCAATTTTTTCAAGCAGATCTCAATCTCGCATTGCCCCTCCATATGCACTCGCGGGGGACTTCAGAAGGAGCATATCAGCCCTGTAGTCTCTCCAAATAGAAGAGCAGGGTCATTTCGATCTATCGTGGAACCCCCCTCCAAGAAGGACACCCCTCATTCTTGAATCGACCACACTCAACAATTCGGTTCTGAAGCGAAGCGCTTACCCCTCTCCGTCCACCGCGACGCATTTCGAGTAGACAATGCACACGATAGCAAAACTCTGGTGCAGCATGCAAATCGGGAATAGGGAGGGAGTTTCTAGAATGGACAAAACGAACCAATCTCTGCCTCTTGATCCTTCTCTCCAGCTGCATCTAGTTCCAGTTGCGAGATCTTGGCCGCAATAAGTTTCGAGGCTTCACTCGGATCCGTGCCCTTCTTCTGTTTTCCCTTCTTAACTCCAGCATCGTTATGGTGATGATGTCCATTGGGATAATCGGCATGGGTATGGTTCGCATTCATAGAGGTGGTTCTTGAATTCGTAGGGCCAGGTGCGTAAGTGGGATTTGCCCCAGTCGACATTGTTAAAATTCAAGTGTGAGTATCTAGGTACTTATCGTTTGTGTGCGACGACTAATTTTGTCGCAATTCGATTTTCGGATTTTCATGTATTGCCTCTGCACGTTGACGTTCTTTCTCAAAATAAGATATTACGAGGTTGACTGTAATAAGCAAGCTAGTGTGGCCGAGCCGGACACTCGGGCAATCAAAAACACGAAAATTCACTGAAGCGAACCTTCCAATAGTGAAATCAGTAAATCATATTCCTTTGCGCCTCACCATATTAATTCACCTTCGTTCCTTCCCTTCCTTCCATCGTCCTTTCATTACCTCTCACACACTTTTTTTGTGTCTTTGAGGACATATTGATCTCCAAAATATGTTACGACAAGCTGCAAAGAAAGGTGTGACGGAACTCGCCCAATATCCAAAGCCAGGTGAAAAGCTTCATGGATTCACACTCTTAAGATCAAAACATGTTCAAGAACTTGAGTTGACAGCACTTCATCTGAAGCATGATAAGACGGGCGCAGATTATTTACATGTTGCCAGAGAAGATAAGAATAATGTCTTTTCGATTGGATTCAAAACAAATCCTCCAGATGATACTGGGGTTCCTCATATATTGGAACATACAACACTATGTGGAAGCAAAAAGTAAATGGTCTTCCTTTCTATTATTATCCATATCACATTGGATCGCGCTGAATAGTTTGTAGGTATCCCATTCGTGACCCTTTCTTCAAGATGCTACCTAGAACATTGTCAAATTTCATGAATGCATTCACTGCGTCCTCTCACACATTTTATCCTTTCGCCACCACCAATGAACAAGATTTCAAAAATCTCATGTCTGTTTACCTTGATGCAACATTGCATCCACTATTGAAACAGAGCGACTTTACACAAGAGGGATGGAGAATAGGGCCCGAGAACCCACGAGTGGCAATCGAGGGAGACACTGCCAAACCTGAAGATAGCAAATTGGTGTTCAAAGGTGTTGTGTACAATGAGATGAAGGGACAAATGTCGGACGCTGGATATCTTTACTACATCAGGTTTCAAGACCATATTTTCCCTGCCATCAACAACTCTGGAGGTGATCCACAAAAGATGACTGAGTTGACATATGAGCAATTAAAGAACTTCCACGCTGAGCATTACCATCCAAGTAATGCTAAAGTTTTCACATACGGCGATATGCCTTTGGCAGACCATCTTGTAGAGGTCAATGCTCAACTGAATGCTTTTGAGCGCATTAATGGAGATATGGAAGTACTTAAGCCTATCGATTTATCATCTGGTCCACAGAGCATCACTGTTCCAGGGCCCATCGACCCATTGGTGGATGCAGATATGCAGTTTAAGACCTCAACTTCATGGCTGGTAGGTGATGCTACGGATGTTTTAGAGACTTTCTCACTTTCAATAATGTTTGCTCTACTCATGGATGGATATGGATCTCCACTCTATAGAAATTTAATTGAAGCTGGCTTGGGAACGGAATGGAGTCCAAATAGCGGCTATGATCCTTCTGGCAAAGTCGGAATATTCTCTGTTGGACTAACCGGCGTTAAAGAAGCCGACGTACCGAAAGTCAAAGAAGCAATTCACAAGACTTTCCAAGAAGCACACAAAAATGGATTCGAGAAATCAAAAATCGATGGCTACCTACATCAATTGGAGTTGAGCTTGAAGCATAAGACTGCCAAGTTCGGTATGTCATTGATGCATAGAATTAAACCTAAGTGGTTTGATGGTGCCGATCCTTTTGAATCGCTAGCTTGGAACGATACTGTGGCCGCATTTCAAAAGGAGTTCGAGAAGGGTGGTTATTTGGTGGGATTATTGGAGAAGTACTTACTAAATGACAATACACTCACTTTCACCATGGCTCCTTCGACAACTTATGGGGATGAGCTTGTAGCCGAAGAAGCCACACGTCTCGCAAAAAAGATTGCAGAGGTTACTGAAAAGGCTGGTGGCGAAGCCGAGGCTCGTGCGCAGTTAGAAAAGAGGGAATTGGAGCTTTTGGAAGAGCAAGGAAAATCTAACACTCAAGATCTCAGTTGTCTCCCTACTGTTCACGTCAAGGACATTCCAAGACAAGACGAGAAAATAGAATTAAGGGATTCCAAGGTTGACAACGTCAATGTACAATGGCGCGAAGCACCCACAAACGGACTGACCTACTTCAGAGCCATCAACACTTTCGAAAATCTACCCGAGGAACTGCGAGCATACATTCCATTATTCACAGACGCTATAATGCGTCTCGGGACAAAGGACATGACTATGGAGCAGTTAGAAGACTTGATGAAGCTTAAGACTGGAGGAATTGGTGTTGGCTATCATGCGTCCTCGTCCCCCACAGATTTCAAGTCGGCATCCGAGGGCTTGAGCTTTTCCGGGACTGCTTTAGATCGAAATGTGCCTGAAATGTTTGGGTTGTTGCGAAAACTAGTCCTTGAAACTGATTTTGATAGCCCTGATGCCGAAGTCCGCATCCGTCAGCTTTTGCAGGGTTCGGCAGACGGTGCAGTCAACAACATCGCTTCATCTGGGCATGTGTTTGCCAGAGGCTATGCTGAAGCTGGCGTAACACAATACGGGCGTTTGAAGGAACAAGTGGGAGGATTATCTCAAATCAAGCTCACTACCTCACTTGCCTCAAGACCTGAGGCCGAAGGATTAGCCGATGTTGTTGATAAACTCAAGACGATCCAGCGACTCGCATTTTCTGGAAATTCCACCTTCAGGACTGCACTCACCTGTGGTAGTGAAAGTGTCACGAACAACGAAGCCGTGCTTCAGCAATTTCTATCATCAATCCCAAGATCTGAATTGCCATCTCGCCTGGTTCCTCCGCCAGATTTCACAAGAAACACCAAGACGTTCTTCCCTCTGCCATATCAAGTATATTATGGTGGCCTTGCTCTCCCAACGGTATCTTATACCTCTCCGGCTGGAGCACCTCTTCAAATACTCTCTCAGCTCTTGACTCATAAACATTTGCATCATGAGATCAGAGAAAAGGGCGGAGCTTATGGCGGAGGAGCTTACTCGCGGGGACTTGATGGTATCTTTGGATTCTACTCTTATCGTGATCCAAATCCTTTAAACACAATGTCGATCATGCGCAACGCTGGTAAATGGGCAGTTCAAAAGGAATGGACCGAACGCGATCTCGAAGAAGCCAAATTATCTGTATTCCAAAGTGTCGATGCACCTCAATCTGTCAGTCAAGAGGGCATGACAAGGTTCGTATCTGGAGTTTCGGAAGAGATGGTTCAAGAGCGACGTGAGCGTTTATTGGATGTGACTAAGGAGCAAGTCCAAACCGTAGCGCAACAATACCTTGTTGATGCATTAGAAAACGGCCAAGGTAACATGGTTTTCCTTGGAGAGCAAAAGCCATGGGTAGACGGAACTTGGGAAACAAAGAATTTGGGACTCGCCCAAGAGCAACCTGAGGTCATGGATGAGGAAGATGTAAAGGACGCCGCTTTTGGATCATAGAGCCCGCAGTTCTGTAAACATACTGTATTCCACTCAACTGCATATTCTGGCGTTTGGGATGTACAACATTAATGATTAGATGGTATGTATGATAGGTATGATAGGTAAAGATAAAGATCAGCGATGTCCATGACAGGTTTCGATTAGCATGTAATGAGCAATGACATATAACCTCTCGACATCATTCCCTTTCGAATGAATCAAGTCAACATTTCGAAGATGCACCTTGGTAGGCGTGTTATTTCCTCTTTTCTTTGACTTTCAATTCTTTCTTCGCGCTACGAACAGATTATCACGTCTGCAGTCCTATTTTGATGGCTGTTAGATCACAAGTCACGTCTTCCTCTGAGAAGACTAGCGCCATAGCAACATTTAGTGTATAACCAGGCATATATGTCGTGAGTTCTCGCTTTATGGTTCCATCTTATTTCAGAGCTGTGGTCCCGGAGACATGGGATGGCGGACTAAAGATGTGAGGACATAACCGGGCTATGTACCGTAGAAAGTGAACGAAGGGAAGTTATTGAATACCTGATCGTTTTGGGGCTATGTGTGTGTGGTATTGCATGAGGGATATTTGGATATTTGGAAGTCTGTTGGGCGGTTCATAAAGGGGTCAAAGAGGGGTTAAAAAGATGGTGGAGGTGAACGTTGACAGCCATACTACAACCACCGAAACACACTAAAGCTTATTATTGAGTAGGTAAATTCTTTAAGCCTTCGCAGTGAAACAGTCTGGGTTAATGCGATCTAAAATACCGGTCGTTGAGATGGGGCATGTCGGAAATTTATAGCCGTTCATATGGTACTGTAGATTGTGGACTGTATTTTTAGTAATGATAGTCTTCATATTACAGATTTGCTTTTGAAATACTAGGTAGGCAGTTAACCCGCATGCATATATATAAAAAATAGCCTAATCTGAGACAATTATTGCTGACCGACTCGAGTCTTTTGTCATCTAAAGCTCGCTAACGTAGGTACTCATGTATTTGGTTATTTTATTATTGTTGGAATGGACAACCCGCAGCCCGCTCCACGTAGCCCACGAATCAGAAGAGCGAGTCATGAAAAACATTGGGGAATTTATTATGATATTACCCAGTAATCGAGCATACTCTGTCTGGTACGTCATCCAGTCAAAATATTCAAATTTCCAAGACGTGCCTGAAGATCGCGGTAAATTTTTGTAACTTGGGCAAAGTTGTAGAACTTCATCGATACCTAGCTTCATCTTCGTACCTGATGTTTACGTCGTATCCACCTTAAAACCATTATAAACTGGATGGGGGAGGGACTAAATGAGATATAAACCAAATTAAAATAATCTATAGACGTGTACCCAATCCCTATGTATATGCATTTGTGTATGTGTATGTGATAATAAGTTGGGGTTGGGGTTGGGGTTGGGGCTGGGGAGAAGAGAGAATTGGGAGAAATGAGGTATTTTCTCTTTGGGAAAGGAGTGGGTCGGCTAAAACTTTTAGTCTAACACAAATTTTTAACCAGCCAAATCTAAGGTCAAGCGTCAAGCTCACTCGTAAAGAGTTCCAAAGAAGCCAGTCGAGCCAGTCTAGCCACCATCCTCCATATCCTACTCACTACATAACACAAAGAGTGGAATACATTGGCCACTTGCTGTGTAGAATACTATCCCCTTCTTCAATATCATCGTTTTCAATCAACCAAAACACCTACCTACACAATATAGTCTTTGTCTGGACTATATTGAGAAAATTCTTTCCGGGTGAGTAAATGAACAAAGTCTTGACCCCGCCGATGAAAAATCTGTTCTTTCGCAGAGCAATGCTACGTATTATCGTCTTTCATCGCATCGGGTTTGCCATCTACCTATAATCCGGGGATCAGAGCTGTTTCTGAAAGCCTTACGCATGCACTTGGACGTGGAAGATGCGCCATTTCAAGACACTGTTGCTAATACCTCACTCGCAGATCTTCTAATCACGAAGAACCTTTAAATCCCTCTCGACTGCCTTTGGTCTAATCAAAGGCGAAACATCCAGCACGGCTCCAACGGCCGCGATACTAGTTTCTGATCAAGATTACTCCGAACGTCCTAACCGGCACATCATCAACACCACACCACCTCCTTTTGCTGCACTTTAATCAGCTTGAGCGTTTGTTTTACGAGTTGTTTAACAACACCCCGTCTTCGTCCGAAACTCCTCAGCTGCCGCATAGGACGAGTTTAAAAGGCCTTCCTCTCGCAGAGGAAGAGTCGAGCCGACCTCGCCAGATCAGCACAGGATCTGATCGTTATAGACCACCTTAACATACCCTTGGGCTTTCAAAGTACAAGTATGTTTGATCACCTACTGGCATTGCTTGGCTACATTTTGACACTTTCTTGGCCATACTGACATTTACTAGTAAACAAATCACAACTATATCAAACAATCCTTGGTTAAATACGAGGATATGTCACCTTCCGCCATCATTACCTACGAAAACAACAACAGTCTTGATAGTATCGAATCATACTATCCCAAAGATTCTTATGTTGAACTCAATGGCGTGAATACCGCAAAAACTATAATTGGAAATGCTTTAAAGCAACGAGTGGAAAATATTGATAACGATGTCTGCGAGGCTGACGATGAAGATGCATTCTTCGTCGCTGATCTAGGCGAGGTTTACAGACAGCACATGAGATGGAAGAAGAATCTACCCAGAGTTAAGCCGTTCTATGGTCAGTCTTTCATACCTGCTCACGTGTCGGATTCAAATTTGCTAACTTCAGAACAGCGGTCAAATGCAACCCAGACCCACAAGTCATTCGTCTCTTGGCAGAACTTGGCACAGGATTTGATTGTGCTTCCAAGGGCGAGATCGAGCAAGTCCTCAAGGCTGGCATCGACCCTGCCCGAATTATTTATGCTCAACCATGCAAGACGAACTCCTACGTTCGATATGCTGAGAAGCAAGGAGTCAAGCAAATGACATTCGATAACAGCGATGAATTATACAAGATTAAGAAATTGTTCCCAGCAGCTGAACTATTCCTCCGGATCTCTACCGATGACTCCTCGAGCTTGTGCCGATTGAGCTTGAAATTTGGAGCAGCAATGGATGCAATAAGCAATCTTCTTGCTCTAGCCAGAGAACTTGATCTCAATGTTGTTGGCGTTAGCTTTCATGTAGGATCCGGTGCCTCTGACCCTCTTGCATTCAGGAAGGCAGTTCAGGATGCTCACACCGTCTTCGAACAAGCTCGCACTTATGGCTACTACATGCATACCCTCGACGTCGGTGGAGGTTTCTGTACTGAGACATTTGAAGTAATGGCTTCCGCACTTAGTGATGCCCTTGAGGAATATATGCCAAAACATGTCAAAATCATCGGAGAACCTGGACGTTACTATGTCGCCAATGCTTTCACACTCGCTTGTAACGTCATTGCACGCCGGACTGTCGAAGATCCAGAAACATTGGAAAAGAGTTATATGCTTTACTTGAATGATGGTCTTTATGGCAATTTCTCTAGCATCATGTTTGATCATCAAAACCCAATTGCTCAAGTCCTTCGTACTGGCAATCGTTCTTACTATGACACTGCGGCAAGTTGCGCAACCCTCGGAGGCACCGAGTACTCAATCTGGGGTCCAACTTGCGATGGTATTGATCGTATCTCTGCAAGCATTAGCTTCGATCACAATCTTGACGTTGGAGACTGGCTTTATTTTGATAATATGGGTGCATACACCAAGTGTTCTGCAACAAGATTCAACGGCTTCACAGATAGCCATGATGTTATCTATGTTTCTAGTGAGCCGGGAGTCAATGCCCTGCTTGAAATGTGAAAACTCTTAGGTAGTCACAATCTTTTTACACATGGGTTTTGAATGATGATTGGGGGTAGAAAAGAAGAAGAAGGGGGACGGTATAGATTAGCGTTGTATGCGTTGTGTGTTTGTTGCTTGAATAGATTTTCTTGGATATGAGAGGTTCATTGATTATAATACTTTTTCCGGATCAGAAAAACGAAATCATTGTCTATATCGCTCTTATCTAAGTTTAATTACAAATATAGAGATGTGCATAGGATTTGATCTACTTGTTGCAATGAGTGAACTTGATATTACCTTTCTTAAAACTGGTTGGTTACATGATACACCCCTGTGTCGTTCGATTTGATGTGATGAGATCATGCACGGCCCCTTCTTTATCTTTCAAGGTTATCTTTCACGGTGAACTTTCAGGTTCCATCTAACCTTCAACGTTGGGAGGACAATAAACCTAAAACGTCTAAACCAGTCTTTATTGTACTCTTTTCCAATTCAGAAAGAGTTACCAAGTACTGTCGATGGTATCCACCCCGTCCTTTTACTCTGGAACTCCCAATCCAACCAAACCAATTTCTAGACTACAAGCAATCCTCCTCAATCACCATAACCCCAATACATCCCGATAACAGCACATACAACATGGCGTCAGAAAAAGATATAAGGGAATATCTCCTCCCTCTAGACACACCCCCACGAAACCAACGACGCCGTTATAGAGATCACCTGACATCCCTCCCACTTCTCGTCTCGGCCCTCTTCCTCGCAATAGTAATCACCTATTTCTCATCCCAATGCATCCATCGCCATCGGGAATCCCAGCTCTCATCTGCATCTCTCCATCAATGCGCATGGACACACTTGGAAAAATACGAGCAGCTTCTAGATGTAAAACCGATTGCTCGAGAAGAGTTTCTAGAGAGACAGAAATTTTTGGCGGGGGTGTTGGAGAAGGATGAAGTAGATGCGTTTATTGCGGAGCCGTCGGCTTCGACGGAATATTTTGGGAATGTGTCGAGCGCGTTTGAACTTTCGGAGAGGCCGTTTTTGGTTATTTTGGATAGGGAGGGGGGAGCGACGTTGCTGGTGCCGAAGTTTGAGAGGGGGAGGATAGGGGGGTTGGATATGGTTTTTGAGGAGGAATCGAAGAGGATTGTGGAGTGGAGGGAGGAGGAAAATCCCTACGAGGTGTTGCGCAGAGAGATGGGGTTGAAGAAGGTGGTGCTGGATGAACATGTGAGGTTTATGGTGGCGGCGGGTTTGCAGGATGTGGGGGTAGATGTGCAGCTGATGAGTTTGGAAATGAGGGAATTGAGAGCGGTGAAGAGTGAAACGGAATTGAATATTTTGAGAGGGGTAAATGAGTTTACGGTACAGCTGGTGAGGAGTTTGCAGAAATGTATTAGCGTGGGTATGAGTCAGGAAAGTATTGTGGAAGCTGCCGAGGGACTTTTCACACAAGCGGGTGTTGGGAAGGGGTTTTGGTCGATCGTGCTTTTTGGTGAACAGGCTGCTAATCCGCATGGAGGGGGTAAGGGAAGGGTTCTGAGGGATGGAGAATTTGTGTTGGTGGATATAGGCACTTCGTTGCATGGGTATGGAAGTGATGTGACGCGTACTATTCTCCCATCGACATCGACGGTTGAGCAAGAGTTGATGGATATATGGCATTTGGTATATGATGCGCAGACGGCGGCAATTGAGAAGATGAATATTAACGAGACGTGTTCGGTTGTGGATGAGTCTGCGAGAAATGTCATTAAAGCAAAGGGGTATGGAGAGTTTTTTACACATCGATTGGGTCATGGGTTAGGATTGGAAATGCACGAACATCCATATTTGAATGGGGTTAACGGAGAGAAATTGAAGAGAGGAGAAGTCGTGACTAATGAACCTGTAAGTTTTTTTATTCTTCTTCATTCTCCTTCTCTCTTCCTCACAAACTCCTCCCCTTCCCTCAAAACAACCCCACAATACTAATCGAACACCACCACCAAAAAGGGAATCTACATAACCTCCTCCCAAGCCACCAAACTCGGCAAGAAAGTTGGTTTCGGCGTCAGAATCGAAGACGCGGTTTTGGTTACCGAGAAGGGAGGTACAGTGATGACGGGATCGCGCGCAAAATCTCCTTATGAACCTTGAGGTGTGTGGATCAGTGCAAAAATGAAATTCGTAATGGAAAGGGGGGGGAGAGGGGGGGTTAAGGGGAGTTTGATGTATGTGGGAATGGTGGTGGGTTGAATATCATTCACCTAGGTAGGGTAGATTGTAGGTGAGAAGGTAGACTGTAGATGAGAGGTTAGACGAGTTAGTATAAACGATTAACCCGTAAAGAGAAAATGGGATTTGTACTCTGTAGAGAATAGAAGGATAATTAGAATCTAGAGTCTTCGCATTTCTCCATTGTTTTGATTTGGGGATGAGTGAATGAAATACTGAGGAGATGAGGTTTCTAGCTTGAATGTTTCATTTCAACTTACTTTGTAAGTAATAAGTAATATACGCATCAAGAGTCAGCCATTAATTCTAGGATATCCTGAAATAGGTTGGTATCAAACGAACGTTAAGTATTACCTGGATTATGGAAAGTATGATCGATTTACGTTCGGTTTAAATTGTATACACACATCAAGTGTAAAATTGCGCACGAGACAAGAATGAGATCATATTTTCTAGACCTCGATGAAGAATATACTGCCATATTTTCTATTCATCAATCTATATTCCTGTATTCGGCATACGTGCACCTTTCTATAAGCATTTGTTTCTTTTTCGCCAGAAGCCATAAAGAAAAATTGGGTATATTGTGGTTCCCCTATATTCCAACCCCTCCCCAATACGACCCTTTAAACCCCGCCCCCTAAAATACGTAGCCCAGAGAACGCCATACTGTGAAAGCCACGACCCGTATACCACCCAACGTCTATGCGTTACTTCTAGATCATGTAGATCAACAGATTCATGTCGTGTAAGATGAAATGAAAGAGGAAAGGAGATCTGTAAGATATGCGTTCAGATCGATCAAGGTTGGCGAGGAGACATGAGCTGGTATTGTTGAATTTGGTGAATGGCGGATTGTTCACCGCGTTCCGAGGACTTTCGTTCTATACGTTCACCGGCAGGTTTGTCAAGTTTGGGTCCAGGAAGCCCGGGTCCATGAATGGCGAGTTCAAAAAGCTCAGGTTTAACAAACTCAGATTGAACAGGGGTAGCTCTGGGATCTCCAAGCTCGCATTGGTCAACCTTAGACTCAGCATGCTCGGGTGCAGTAAGTCCGGGTTCAGCAAGGGCGAGTGCAAGAAGCTCAGGTTCAATAACCTCAGAGTCAACAAGCTTGAGTCTGGGATCTTCAATCTTGGGTTGGTCAACCTTAGGCTCGGGTTCAGCAAGCCCGGGCCCAACAAGTGCGAGTTCAAAAAGCTCAGGTTTGATGAACTCAGATTGGAAAGACTTAGGTTCATTTGGTAGAGCTTCATCTTGTACGACGTGCTGCAATTCTGGTTTGGGTTCACGTGCATCAGCAACCACAGCTTCTTTTTCCGAACGTTGAGATTCGGAATTTTGACCTTTGCTTTCCTGAGAAATACTGGCTCGCTTTTTCGGACCAGTCTTGACCTCTCCACTAATTTTTCTCTTCCGATCGGCGGTGACTGCAGCAATGTGTACTTTCGTGACTTGGAATTCTGCTTCTTTCTGCTCCTCGAGTGCCTTCTTTGCGTCGTGTTGTTTTTGCAAATCTCTAGCCATATTGAGTCTCTCATACGCCTTAAGGAAATTCAGACCAATTTTCCATTTTCTATCGTTGGCACATTCACTCTCAGTCAGATGTGGTGCCCAGTGTAGAGGTCTCTCAGCAGCGCGTCGCCAGAAGTCCGCAGATTGAGAGCTCACAACTTGAGAATGCCCATTGTAAATAATGTCTGACAGTGCCTTGTAGAATGCGGCAGCTTCTGCTTCTAAGCCCAGAACGCGAAGAGAGCGAAGGATTCTGCTGATTCTCAAATGGTTGTGGTCTCTCCTGATAAGCCAGTTGGAGCATCTTTCATAGAAATTGGAGGACTTGATTATCTGTGAGAAAACGTTAGGCTTTTGCAGTCAGATATGATTACCGAATTGATGCAAAACTTACAACAGGCAAATCGTTTCCATCCGAATGATTAGCGAACTTGAATCCATAGAAGTCCAACATTTTAATCAAAGAGTCCTTGAGATGACACTGTAATTCAGGGGAAGAATTGAATGCATGGAACGCATTGAAGACGTTCTCATCAACTAAAGGTGCACCGGAAAACATAGACTCTTCTGGAAGAGGGAACAGCCATTGAATGTAGTCGTGTGTATCCTCCAATTTTTCATAATCCCACGACATGATGTGGGAAAGTAATCGTCCTGCATTGTCCGGCGTCTTGTTTCGATAGAAAGATACCAGACGGCTTTCAAACTCAGGTGGCTCGACAAAACTCCCGAGAATAGACATACTGCTTGATCTATTCTGTCGTTGAGTGATGGTGTTGTATGCAGGTTCGTGGGGTGTTGTGAGTTGCTTGTGTGTTGTATTTCATGTAAGAATTAGGTAGGAACAGATTCTCACATTACATTTGATGATGTATACGCCTCGTTTGAAACATTGCTTAGAATTCCAAGGTTGATTGCATGAATTTGAATTTGGATAGTCCGGGAAAAATCCATGACGAACGAGGCTGAGGTAATAAGGCTCACGGTAGGATTGCGGTAGGGGTGTGAGCAATCTGGGGTTAGTGAGCGGATCGGATCTCTTTTTAAACCAATCACACATCGTGGTTATAATTCGACCGTTAAGATCATCTGCAAGGCTAATCGACGATTGACCAATTATCAAGTAACCTTATTTATATCGACTAAATGTGAAGGTAAAAATAGAACTCAGATTTTATCATCCCGTGATATTGAGATCTGCCAATATCTTTTCTTTCATTTTCATACCAGCAGCATGGATTTCACACTTCATCGTACTTTTACTTTGCAAGGCTACTAATAAGAAGACACACGACACATGAGTGGAGGGGTAAAATATTCCGTCTGCATGCTGCATTCTGCACGTGAGCCATAGCCGTTGGAGCATTTTCCGGCTTTTCATTTCGATCTTCACCGTGGTATCCATGACCAATCAATATCGAATCATCCTTCTTCTCACTACCGCCACCACCCCCACATCATCCCCCATCACATGATCACACACATCAACACCCCAGACATTCCTTATCTCGGCACATGTTGTATTCGTCTTATTAATATAATACCCACCTATATTAAATTTCCCTCTTTTCTCTTGAACCTTCAAATCTCGTGACACTCACACTCTTTCAATGGTATCTGGGGTTTTGCATGATTCGAGTGAGCACGAGATGCTCAAACGTCTTATTATCCCCAAAAGTCTCACATAGCAAGCAGTGAGAAGATCAATTGGAACGTTGCAACTTACTGATGGTGGTATTGCCACGCCTCATCACAACACTTCCTACGCTTACACGGGCACCTGCCAACTATTCTTTATCAGGCAGGTAATGCACATCCTGTTGACTCCTTCCTTTACTGTCTTCCCTCATGCAGGTGGATAGAGATAGAGATATTGCATCTGATCAATGCCGCAAGTTACTTATCATTCTAGTCGAATATAAGCAAGAATGGTGTCAATAGCCCTGTTGACCACCCCTGAATACATATGTTGCCTTGCATGTAGCCTTGCAATACGTTACTTGGCAATTTATTAGCACTCTAGGGAGAGAGCTCTGTACCGATATTCGCAGTGATTTACCAGACATGGTAGGTGATAAGGAAGCTCCCATAGTTATTTTCATTGTTCCATAAGAACTCGAGCTCTCCCCAAGTGGTTGAGAGCTCAAGTACATTCTCTTTTTGCTCACATCATGCATTTCTCCCTTATCGTTGCATACGGTCTCTTGACTGGAGTGATTGCCGCTCCAGCTCCTCAGAAAAGACATGTTGTTCATGAGCGAAGAGATCAAGCACCTCGCAATTGGCGTAGAGAGAATCCATTGCACCCGGATTCAAGCCTCCCAATGCGATTTGCCATCACCCAAAACAACTTGCACAATGCCGAAGCATACTTGATGGATGTTTCCAACCCATCTTCTCCAAACTTTGGCAACCATTGGAGTGCAAAGAAGGTCGCTGAAACCTTTGCCCCAAGTGCCGAATCGCTCAGAGCAGTAACCCAATGGCTTGCAGAGTATGGAATAAAAAGCGACCGCGTGAAGCAATCGCAAAGTCTCAATTGGATTCATGCCAACGTTACTGTTGCAGAAGCAGAGTCTCTTCTCAATACCAAGTACTACGTAAGTCCAATTACGTTTTTCATATGCTTCTACCAGTATTCAACTTCATGTGTTTATATTCATTTTCCATTCATCACAACTCTCTTTGTCCACACTCAGCTCTGGTTCTCATCTCTTCCAAGAATACTGTTCGGTAGACAATGACTGATTCTCTAACTTGTAGTCTTATACACATGCGGAAAGTGGCCAAACCGCCGCCGCTTGTGACGACTACAGCGTTCCTGAAAACGTTCGCAAACACATTGATTTTATTACACCAACACTTCACTTCGATGCAAAGATTGTACCTCAAAAGGAGAAGCGAGAATTGAGTACTCGTCAGAAAGATCAGCTTTCCAGAAGAGCAATTGGTAAAGGCCACAGAGTAGGATCACCAAATGATCCATCATTGCCCAAGCAAGGCAAAATTATTTCCACTACATCACACGCTGAAATACAAGCTTCGGCGTTGACAACTTGCAATACACACATCACACCCGAGTGCCTTCAGGCTTTGTATGAGCTTCCAACAGAGGCTCCTTTTGCGGAAGGAAGTAAGTATGCCCCTTCTGCTCCTGGCATCAAATTTAACCATTCATAGATTCATATGGTATTGTCGAATATACGCCACAGGCATATCTCCCTGGGGGTAAGTGTTGCTTTCCATTTAGTATTGCATATATTGACATCAAGTATAGATTTGGATCTATTCTTTGGTAACTTCTCTCCTGCACTTGTCGGATCTAGACCCATTTTCGATTCCATAGATGGAGGTGTTCTTCAGACAGATGATGAGTCCTTCGGGTACAACGGAGAATCAGTAAGTTGATTATGACATCCACTCATCAATTGCCCACCTAATTCAGCCCAGGACTTGGATCTCGAATACGGAATGGCTCTTGCATACCCTCAAGAGGTAACATTATATCAAACTGGAGATATTGCACAGGGAGCTTCATTCAACAACTTCCTCGATGCTATCGATGGCGAGTATTGTAAAAAAGATGGTGGTGACGATCCAGATTACGATGCAGTATACCCTGATCCATACGGTAACACCAGCTACTATTACCAAGGACCTGCGAACTGTGGTGGATTCGCTGCTACCAAAGTTATTTCCACATCCTATGGTTATGATGAGACTGGTCTTTCCCCCGCCTATGAGATACGTCAATGCAATGAATATCTTAAGCTAGGTCTTCAAGGTGTAACCGTCTTGTATTCTTCTGGTGATTACGGTGTTGCGGGTAATGGAGGCGTATGTGGCACTGGTAACAGTATGTCATCTCATCTCATCTCATGTATTGTTGGAAAACTCATTCTAACACAATTGCAACAGCATTCAACCCTTCATTCCCTGGCACATGTCCATATATTACAGCCGTCGGAGCCACCCAAGTCAAGCCAAATGCTACTGTCACTCAACCAGAAGAGGCTGCCGAGTCTGTCAGTAAGTACCACTATTTCTTAATCGGCCTGATAATCCTCTCAATGTTTACTAATCCCAATTTTCTAGTCTATTCTGGTGGAGGATTCTCCAACGTCTTCAAAACTCCCGACTACCAAACTGATGCCTTAGCAACCTACTGTAAGTACCCCAGTCTTTGAATACCACAGCCGTCTCAACCCTATCCACATATATCCTCTTTATACCCCCTAAGCCCGCGCTAACCGTCCTCAAGTTACCGAGTATCTTCCACCTTACACTGCCGCCCAATACAACAACTCCCAAGTGACCCGCGGCTTCCCAGATATCTCCGCCAATGGCGTAAACTACGTTGTTGCTGTTGACAGCGTGTTCTCTCTCATCTACGGTACCTCTGCTTCTGCTCCCGTTGTTGGCGCCATCTTCACCTTAATTAACGCTGAGCGTATCAATGCTGGCAAGTCGCCTATCGGCTTCGTGAACCCGGTCTTGTATGCCAATCCAGATGTATTGAATGATATTACCAGTGGAGGCAACCAAGGATGCGGTACTGCTGGGTTCACGGCAGTGGAGGGATGGGATCCTGTCACTGGTTAGTGTTCTCTCTTATCCTGTCTTGCTTTTCTCTATCTCTCCCAGGTGTTTTGCGCACTTTTGATTGGGAAGAGTAAGATCTTATGTTTCTAGAATGGTATACTAATGTCCATGAAACAGGTCTCGGAACACCAAACTACCCCAAGCTTCTTGAGCTTTACCTCTCACTTCCTTAGAGGATGCTCATCTGCGTACATAGGTATATACATCATCGACAAACCAGATGACATGGGCGAGCACAAAATCAATCGGAAAAAGAGATTTTAGATCTTGGAATTGTTGAGATAAAAATTGTATATAGTTTGAAGAGAGATCGGATATCAGCAATGCAGACTGGCTATGTCTGCTTCTTTTGGTGGAATTTGATAATTATACATATATCTTATTCGAGTAAATATAATGACGAAGGAGAATTATCAGCATACCATACAATATCATTTGCATCAGACCACTCTGGTGACGCACATTATAAACAATTCCAATGTAGTTCTTAACTTCTTATTTGAAACATCCCACCTCTGACCGAGTGTTTGATACAATATATATCACGACACCCGTATGTTCCCCATGCTTTGTCCTTGAGCGCTTCCCAGTACCAGTCTGAAGAACAATTCCTCTTCCTAAGTTCTTACGATTACAAAATAAATCTCGCTAGACATCACGAGAACTTTTGAAGCCCACCAGGACCTCACTTTCGTATGGATGACTATAAGAGGAATTTACAAGGAAAGATACATCCATGAGGGAGTGGAGAGGTAATGGACAATGGAGAATAAACCGGTGTTTGCTGAGAGTTCAGAGGCGGGACTAATTGGTCGTAATTGGGTTGAACTGCAAGATTTACTGAAAGGAAATGGCATGGATTACAAAAGAAACTGTGAGAGGATTATGCACAAATACACAGGATCATGGTTTGAGATCGATGTATTTTTGCAATGCGTTTGATTAGATTTTATGACATGCTCCATTTATTACGACGAAGCTTCATATCACAGCGAAAATATCAATCCTCTGCGAAGATAATCTGAGATTGTCATGCCACAACCAGAGACTCATTTCATTGAGAGCGGAATAACGATCAAGTCCACTCCTTTTGAACGCACAGGGCTTTCCCTCTCAAACCATGGCACATGAACGGTAATCGAGTATCTTTCCCTCATAAGTGCTTTCAAATTTTACCCCCAAGGAATACAGTTCATTGCAGAAACATCTTAATTATTTTTTGTTGGGTAGTGTGACATTTACCATTGCTCGGTACCGGAAGCAGCCCACTCTTGTCCAGCGGCAGCTGGTGCAGCAGCCCAGTCAGATGGCTCAGCAGCATCCCACGAAGCTCCACCAGCGGCAGCAGTGTTGCTAGCAGCAGTGAATGCACCAGCAGTAGCACCAGAGACCTCCCAGTCACCAGCACCTGTGAATCCTTGGTCAACAGCAGCGGCACCGACCTGTGATATTGAGTTAGTAATAGATCTTTCGAGACCGATCGAGAATACATAACATACCTCATCAGCACCTGGAGCCTTGGCCTCCTCAATAGCCTCCTTGTTCTCCTCAGCTTCTGGGTCACGGTAGAAGTACAAATCAACCATGGTATCCCACTCAGCCTCACGGGAAGCGATGGAACCACGGAGACGGAGGACCTCACGGGCCAACATCCACCAAACCAAACCAATGGAGTGACGACCCTTGTTGTTGGTTGGGATAGCTACATCGACGAACTCGGTTGGGGAATCAGTGTCGCAAAGGGCGATAACTGGGATATTAACGTAGGAAGCCTCCTTGATAGCTTGAGCATCGGTACGTGGGTCGGTAACAATGATGAGGCGGGGTTCCTTGAAGGATCGGGTGATGTAATTGGTGAAGTTACCAGGGGTGAAACGACCAGCGATGGCAACGGCACCAGTGTGGGCGGCGAACTTCAAGACGGCACGTTGACCGTAAGGACGAGCAGAGATAACACAGATATCAGCTGGGTTGTCGATGGCTGCGATGATACGGGCAGCGAGGACGATCTTCTCCCTGTAAAAATAAATTTGTTAGAACCATTTTTTCCTGACTGGCGCATTCAAATTTCGTCCTGCTCAAACATACCAGGTCTTACCAATGTTGATAACATTGATTCCATCTGGGCGAGTCTTCCAGAGGTATGGCTCCATGTGAACTTGCAAGTTCTTGGCTCCCAAATGGCATTGAGCGGCCAAAAGCTGCTCAATATCCTGGGAGGTTGGGTTGAAAATCGCGGGAAGTTGAGAAGGTGCCATCTTTGCGATTTGATGTGGTTGTCGAAGTTGTCAAACCTTTGGAAGATGGTTGTCGAAAGTTGTCGATTTGCTGAGGACGAAGAATAATTTTGCGATAGTGCGAGATAAAAGTATGCGAAACCCTAATCAAGATTGTCAATTGACCCTTGGAGTTAGTGCCCGAAATACAAGGCGTTAATTTACGACAGACACTAGTCAGATTGAGGTTAGCTTGGAAATTTATCTAGATGGGACTTTGAGGGGAGCAAAGTACTGGGCTGATGGAATAAATGAGTTGATTCGATTAAACACATTCACAATGCCTCCTCGAATATCCATTATTTCGCGATTGAGTGCGACTCCTTGTAAGACAAAAAAACTGAAAAACCCATGACTCAACTTATCTAATTGTAACAATAGTATGTTTTCGCCCGATCTTATCAACATGCTCTTTCTCAACCACATCCGCAGCCAATGCGGCTACATTTGCACAGCGAAGAGCGCATAAAGATCCTTACGCATTAGCACAATCTAGACAGAGAAAGCAGTCGAATTTGGAGAGGCAGGCTGTGTTAAGGAAGGAGCGGGAATCATCGTTGGGGGATCCGGTACGGGGTGTTTCTACACCATTCCTAGAATCTCTTGATAACGTTGGAGGATCCCCGCTCAAACTCGATGCAACTACAACCAAAGGTCCGGGAGGTGGAGTGGAAATAAAAAATGCCGACAATGTTCTTTTGAATCACTTCTTGACCCCAAATGAACTTCAAGGAGCCATTCAACATTCATACTACCTTACAGAGCCTCTGTTAGCCGAGAATCGGGATCTAGCAGATGTTCACGCTGAGGAGCAGGCAAAGAAACAGCATGAGGAGGCTCATGCAAATGCGGCCGCAGCATTGGCTCGTATCGTAAGCTTAGAGAACGCAAGTTCGAAGGATAAGACCAGAGCGAATATTGTAAGGTGCATAAATACATTCGGACGCCATCAGACAGATGGAGTATTGAGACCCAGGGCACCCACGCGCGATGCTATTGAAGGCGCCGATTTGCCAGAGAAGACACCAAGAGCTGGACCTGACACCGGCAGTTCTGAGGTTCAGATTGCGATTTTGACTACAAAAATAAGGGTCTTGGCGAATCAATTGGAATCCAAGCGGGGAAATAAGGATAAAGTTAACAAGAGAAACTTGCGTTTGTTGGTCCACAGGAGGCAGAAGCTGTTAAATTATTTAAGAAAAAAGGAGCGGGGAAGTGATAGGTGGGAGAATTTGATTGCAACCTTGGGCTTGACAGAGGGTACATGGAAAGGGGAGATCAGTCTATAAATAATATCAAAATGTATATCACCACGCCCAAAGGGTAAATCCTGAAAGGTGTAAAAGTTTGTCTTGCAATTTTGAAATCAGTATCCGTCATCTCCCTACGCCAGCTCGCCAACTAGACCAGTACAAAGACCCAACAGCCAACTGTCAGGTTTGAAGAAAAGACTATTAGTAACATATTTACCCCCACACTAAAATACACTGATGTAGTTTCCGATTCGTTCCTTTTGGTTTTGTGCTATACACTCGGCGATCCAGGTGATGTTGCGGATTTCCTGTCAATATCAGTGTCCATCCATTACCAATGTACGAAGAATACACATACCTGTTCCCTCAATTTGACCCATGCATAGACAATAGCAAACGTGAATTGTCTTGTGAATGCACCCTTGGAGATTTCCATCTCCTTTTGGTAAAACAGATCTTCTAAACTTTTTTCATTACCGCCAGCCCCCCCACTCATGTTGCCCGCTCCTGTGGTGCTTTGTCCCATTCCAGTGGCGTCAAAATAGCCCTTGTAGTCGCTAACTCCCTCAACAGCAAGTCTAACACCTTCTATATCCTCTGCTCTTGAAAGTAAAATCGTTCCTGATGGAGACAGGCGCCCAAAGCTTGGGTATAGCTTTTGGCGGTCTTTCTTTGACAGCTCTGTGCCGAAAGAGTTGAGGGTAATGTTGATAGCTCTTCTATCGGCTTCGAATTCAAGCATCTCAGACATAACTTCAGCTGTCGGAGTGTTGGCCATCTCTGGGTCGGTATTGACAAAGTTGTAGAAGTCCTCTAGGTAGTTTTTATACAACGTATTACGGACAATTTCAATGTTGAGCTCATCCAAATCTTGGTGACTCAAACTCCCCTTAAAATAGGGCGCTAATGGAGTTTCAATCAAGACACTGTTGTATAACTCTTCTATGTTTGTAGCCACACACAAGACGGGCATAGTTTCGAACCAACCAAGAGGGTGGCATCGTTCAAGTAGTTCTCGGGTATCTCTTTCATGGAGAGTGCCAGTGATCAAAAGGGCTACATTGTCGATCATATATCCATACGTGAGGTAGTCCATAAACTTTGCAAGTGAACCAACTGCGTTTGCGCGTAGGTATCGAAATTCGGAGATGAGTTTGTCGGTCGTTTTGGCAGCGAGAGTAGATGTTGAAGGATTAGGTGGAAGTGATGCTAGGAAATCGCCATACGCTGGCCCAAGTTGAAGCTTAAGATCTAGCCTCTCGTTACTTAATGTATTTGATGTACATGAGAAAATTATTTACCATCGATAGTCTCGCATTGAATCAAATTATTATAATTCTGGCCAGTCAAGAGTCCATTGCGATAACCTCTGACGATACCCTCGATGTAGCTGCGAAAGTATTAGTTGTTGATGGCATAAGTAGTGTTTTGAAACCTTACCCATTCTGAACATTGAAAAATAAACCTTCCATCTTGTTTCGTTGTCTGCGAACACGATCTATTGTCGTTGCTTGAGGTTTGTCTGGACCAGTTGAGTTGCCTTCTCATGAGCTACATGCATGGATTGCGAGTGGGTTCAATGAAGTTGGTTATTTGTCACCTGACTCGACCACTAAGCCACTGTAGGCACCCCTGTTTGGCTCGAGATTCTCATTAGCGTCTGCCACTATTTTTTGCTTGAACAAAAAATTATTCCTTGCAAAAAACCTCAAGCTTCAGAATTTTGGACGCCCATTGAACAACATCACCACGAAGAGACTTGAAATATTTCTTCACAATGGCGCCTTTATTTATTCTTACGGAGACGGCGGCTGGATTGGTCTTATTCAAGGCTGACAAAAAGCTTTTGAAGAAGGACGATGTTGCTTCAGAAATTGAGACCGCGGAGGGTATCAATGGATTGTGAGTGCAATTGATCCAACACCGCACAGTACCAATTGAGATACAGACTTCTAACACGTTCAATTACACATATCAGATTGAAGCTCAAGCAGTTCCAAAAATTCGACAGTGCTGCGACAGCTTTGGAGGAGGTTGCTTCGTTGGTCGAGGGAAAGGTTTCACCTATGCTTGCATCACTGCTCGATACCTTGAAAGATGAGAAGAAGGCATCTTTGGCAGTCGCCGATCCTAAATTGGGTCAAGCTATCAACAAACTTCCGGGTTTGACTCTGACACCAATTTCCGACTCGAAAACGAATGACATTTTCCGTGGAATCCGCGATCACCTCCCCTCTTTGATCCCAGGTCTCCTTCCCGAACATATCTCCACCATGTCACTCGGTCTGTCGCATTCTTTGTCGCGCCACAAGCTGAAGTTCTCTCCCGATAAGGTTGATACTATGATTGTACAAGCTATTTCGTTGTTGGACGATCTGGACAAGGAGCTAAACACGTACGCCATGAGAGTCAAGGAATGGTACGGATGGCATTTTCCAGAAATGGGCAAGATTGTTAACGACAACTTGGCCTATGCTAGAGTCATCTTGAAGGTCGGTATGCGCGTCAACACTTCTAGTACCAATCTTGCAGATATTCTCCCAGAAGAAATCGAAACTGCCATCAAAGCTGCTGCTGAAGTTAGTATGGGTACTGAAATCACTCAAGAAGATTTGGATAACATCAAGCTTTTGGCTGAGCAAGTTGTTGGTTTTACCGAATATCGCCAACAATTGTCAAGCTATTTGTCTGCTCGTATGCAAGCAATTGCCCCCAACTTGACTGAATTGGTTGGTGATTTGGTTGGAGCTCGATTGATCGCCCATGCTGGATCTCTCATGAACCTAGCAAAGAGCCCTGCCAGTACCATCCAAATTCTTGGTGCTGAGAAGGCTCTATTCAGAGCGCTCAAGACAAAACACGACACACCAAAGTACGGTCTTATCTACCATGCTTCATTGGTTGGTCAAGCCACCGGTAAGAACAAGGGAAAGATCGCCCGTATGTTGGCTGCCAAGGCAGCCATTGGTCTCCGCGTCGATGCTTTATCAGACTGGAGTGCACAAGGGGAAGGCAAGGGTGACGACGTTGACGATGAGGAGAGGTCTGCATTGGGTGTCACTTCACGTGCCAAGATTGAGCGTCATCTTAGAGGACTTGAAGGAAAGCCCCTCCTTCCTCGAGGTGTTGCTGTTGGACCAAATGGCAAGACAACCTCAGCTCCTGGTAAATGGGAAGTTAAGGAAGCGCGTAAATACAACGCAGATGCAGATGGACTTGCTGGAGATGAACCAGCTGCCGCGGTTCCGATAAGAGAGAAGAAGAACAAGCAGTAAGTTAAAATGCTTCATGATCACACATTTTGTTCAAAGCTAACTATTTCAGACTCATCGAAGAAGTCGCTGAGGAATCTGGTTCTGATTCTTCTGACGACAGTGATGTTTCCGAGAAGAAACCCAAGAAAGGAGACAAGGAAGCTAAGAAGGCCGAGAAGGCTGCAAAGAAAGCTGAAAAGGCCGCCAAGAAAGCTGCAAAGGAAGCTAAAAAGGCTGCAAAGGCTGAGAAGGAAGCGAAAAAGAGCGCCGTAAATGGTACACCAGAAGTCAACGGCAGCAAGAAGAGAAAGTCAGAAGACGATGGTGAAAAGTCTGAGAAAAGAAGAAGAAGAAGAGCAAGGATTGATTGATTGAACGTAACTCTTCTTTCAGTTCTGTATCATAATGCTTCGGATATCATGAGTCTGGGCGTATAGGGTTGCTTGTTTATAAATTGGCGTAGGGATGGCAGTGTCAGGGTATTGTCTTTAGGCTTAGATGCTTTTGCATAACACAAATTTTGCATTGACAAAATAGTCAGCACTTTCAATAAAAGCTTTGTTCAAAATAATCACTGCAATTAATCTTTCATCTGGTACCCAGAAAATAGTCTTGTGTTTCCCGTTTGTATACAGGTATCTACAGAAGAGACAAGTATCATCATACTGCTACTCTGGATAGAAATAGGATCAGCTTTGAAGTGCAATGGTTATGATAGTTTCGTCATCAAAATCTCATTCTCAAAGTGTCAAACAGAATCCAAACAAGATATGATACTGTATGATTTTCTCCCGATATCACATTGGTGTATTGAGAGAGGGGCCGAGAATTAGCCGAACGGATATCAGAATATCGCAAGCCAGCTGCAAGAGCTTCCTCTTCATAATTTCATAAACATCATGGCAGGTCTCAAACTCAAAAAGCGAGCTCGCTCCCGATCTCCTGAACGCGATACTGATAAAACTTACCGCAAACGATCGCGATCGCCCAGAAGAGATAGAAGGAGATCACCAATTCGAGAACGAGAGCGCGAACCAGAACGAAGAAGACCTTCGCCTCCGAAGGCTACTGCAGATGATGATTTAGATACAGCTGGGAAGTTTGGTTCTTCTTCTGCTGCTAAAGCGCAAAAGAAAGATGAAGAGAAAGCGAAAGATGCTGAGCAACCAGAGGAGGAAGATACACTCGATATAGCCAGCAAATTTGGTGCATCCGCATTTTCGAAATTTAAAGCTTCTTCTGCCTCATCTTCCTCCAAACCTAATAATCAAACTACGGATTCAATGTCTGCTCCTGTTAGAACACCTGCAGCTTCGATATCTACACCCGTCACTGCTTCAGCGGCGCCTTCGAATGAACCCATGATTATCGTTCATGTTAATGATCGGCTGGGAACGAAAGCTGCCATTCCGTGCTTGGCGAGCGATCCAATTAGACTTTTTAAAGCGCAGGTGGCGGCGAGGATTGGCAGACAACCGCATGAAATTATGTTGAAGAGACAGGGAGAGCGGCCGTTCAAGGATAAATTGACGTTGGAGGATTATGGGGTGGGTAATGGGGTGCAAATTGACTTGGAAATTGATACTGGGGAGTGAGCGAGAGATTGTGGGGGAATGGGATGATTTGCGGTCAATTTTTTAGAATTCGAGTATAAGGAATTGGCATAGTTCTGACTATGGTGATGGAGAATCATCGTTGATATCAAAGTATCTACTAGGTAGGTAAACTTTCAATCTTGCGAATTCGGAGAAGCTCACGGGAACCGGAATAGCTTGCAGATCTGCCACGTATGCATCCTTAAAAGAAATACAATGAGAAAGCGAAATTGGCATTGATACATGGTACTCTCTGCTACTGATGAAATTCAAGTCATACCATACCATCAATTCTACATCTTCAATTTTGCAAGATTCAATCTTTGAATTTCAGCCTTGTCTGGACCCAGAAAAATAAATATCCTTATCGATAAGCCTCGTCTTCCTAGACCAATTCCTCATCACAACATGCATTGAGCCACTTTCAATCCTTTACTCTCCAAACCCTCTCAGCTTTTCTCGAAAGATCAATCCATGCATTAACCATGCTTACCTGTCCCCCCACCCTCTACATCCGCCGCCCATCCCCAACAACAATCGAATACACCGTCAGCACCCGCCCACCTCTGGCCCTCCCCCTGCGCATTCTCCTAATTCTCACACACATCATCCGAGTGGTCCTCGCTCTCGCCATTCTCCTCCTCCTCTACACCTACTATCTAACATTTTTTCCACCCCCGAGTATCCTTTCCTCCCTCACCATCCCTCCCTCCATCCTGCTGCGCCTCCAAGCTCTCACCACTCTCCTCTCACCTCTCCTCCTCATCCCTATCTCCCTCGCTCTCCTCCTCTTCCTCACCCTGCGCCCTCACACCTCCGAGTCCCTACTCATCCTCCGTCATCTCGGTCTCCAAATCTCGAGTTCCCCCAAAACATACCTGAGTACTACGAAAACCAGATTTATCCCGAGTCAAAAGATTCAGGATATCTACATCAACGAGGTATTTTTGAATTTTGAAGTGCGCTATGTGTTAGTGGTTGTTGTGGAGGGAGAGGGAGAGTTGGTTGTTGTTTTTGAGAGGTTATTGCCTGGGAGGGCGGTGCTGGAGAGAGTTTGGAGGGGAGGGAGAAGAGGATTGTTTGGGGGAGAGGAGAGGGGTGGTGGAAATGGGGATGCGAATGGGGGGGTTAGTGGAGGTGTTGGGGGGAAAGAGGGTCTGTCATGAAAAAAAAAAGTCTCGCTGTTGGTGCTGACCTTGGGAATGTGGGTTGAATGGTTATTCTAGTGCGAATGGTGACGATATGCTTGGGCTAATGAGTATGAGATGAGCGGGCATACAGGCTGTTTACTTGGAACGTACGGACTCCTTGAGGTTTGCGCTTAAAGAGCTGGCGTATGACATAGGGAAAGACTGTTGTTAGCCTTGCATTACGGAGGAAGTACCAGGAATATACTAAGCCTAGGAGGATGAGAGGGCTTGACTATCAGCTCCTAGTCGAGAAATAGAGAGGTCAGCGGGAGACCTGATTATGTCATTAGCTTGATAAGGACATCTGAATTAAGGTCGATTCTCATCCCCTAGTCCGTAGAAGGGCATGCAGATGGGCAAGTGGGGTTTCAGGCGGGAGGAAGACGCATGATGTGTCTCAGAGGCAAAAGGGACCCATATCTACCCCTCTCAGCCCATCGTCTATACCTATTCAGGTCACAATTTACACACATCAACCACTCACATACAAGCATTTGCATATATTTGAAAAGTCCTTGTATTTACCAACTCCATATTCATCTCCAGTTCAGTTCCAACTCCAGAAACCACCCAAATTACTTGATAGCCCCACGCCATTGCATTTTGCCTTACAAAATCCCACCCACCCCTCACGCCTGTAGTCAAACCAACCTCGCGCCGCCATGAAAAATACAGTCCAATCAATCTACAAACAAGCCCTCCACCTCAATCCTAAGGTCTCAGTCTCACACCATTTCATACTATCTCATTCCAACCACACCACATACAGCTCCACAGCTGCAGAACCTGGTTCCCAGGGGCCCGCAGAACCATGCATAAACGGGAACTACTGCAGCCCTGGCGTCTCTTACCAGCTGCAAGCACTAAAGAGCATGTTCAACCGGCGCTGCTCCATCCCCGCACTGGGTACAAGCGCTCCACCCAATCATAATCGTCGTTACTTCGTTAGAAAATGCTTTGGAGTTCCGCTTTGTGTGAAAATAAAAGCAGCGCAGATAATAATTCAATGGTTGCGGCTAACATGAACGATACCAAGGAAAAGAAAAAGGGGGCTTTTTTTTCGTAAGCGATGAATAGAAGTAGGAAATAGGCAGTTTGAAGAAATCTGCTTTAGTACTCTGGAGATGGGTAACGCTCGCGAGCTTGTGCGTATTCTCTGGGGTGTCGTTTTGAGACTTTGGTTTTCATGGCTCTGGAATGTTGTTAGATTTGAGATTTAGTGGGATAACAATAGAAAATTTGACTCACCCCATTCGATGTTGAGTCCACTCTAAATTCGTCTTCACCTCCTTGGCATCTTGATAACCTTCTTGCAATCTCGCTCTAGTTTTCGCAAGACGTTGTTGTGCCAATGCTTGCAAATCCATGATTTCTCTATGTTTTGCGTTCAACAAACCAGATCTGATGAGAATGTCAGTGGGTGAAAATTTAAGGTAGGTTTCCAGGAGTCAATTCTCACGTTTGTGCTTGGACTGCCAGAGTGCGATCTAAAGGAAGAGGATCAAATGCGCCAGAAAATCGATCTTGCATATATTCTTGCAAATCGACACCATTGGCAGAAGCGGTGCTATCATATTCACCACTCGCACTCCCAGCATAACTACTGGAGGTAGCAGAGTAAGTGGAATGCCCGTATGCAGGCGTCATGCCTAAACCTGTGGTAACAGATTCTGGAGCTTCTGGTGGCGAGACACCATAAGTTGTATTTTGTGGAGTGTAATAGGAAACTTGTTGAGATTTTGTAGGAACGGGAATGGGGAGGGAGGTGGTTTGGTAGTAGCTTGCTTGGTAGGCCATGATGTAATAGCGTATGATTAGAGTGAAGTTAAAATTTTGTAAACAACAACAAAGAACTTCAAATAGATGAATGAATTGTTTTCGATATGAATTGCTATGCAATGCGAGCAATAGGAAAGATGCAATTGTAATATCTTGATAGTGATATGATAGAATGGTCAAGCACAGACAATAATGTAAGGGTCAATGAGTATGAGACGTCTTGTTTGTTAGACAAGGTAAAGTTGTTTGGATGAAGCGGTGTAGAGTTGAGATTGGATTTGAAAATGGATTAAAAGGAAGAAGAAAGAGACTCTTTCGAGAAGGGTCTCAAGCTTCCTTTTATACACGGCCAGTTGGCCCAAACCACCTAGAGAGGACTAGCATTGAGGAGGGGGAATAGGAAAATTGTCATATCCCCGAACTTCCTTGCCTACTTATCAATGACCCCGCGTCAAGAAGGAAGAGATAGGCTGATATTTTGCTCTCTTGCCCCTTTCCTTACTAGTCCATTATTATCAGCCTCCTCCAATCCACCCTTTCCATCCTCTCACGTTTAACCCGAGCCCCTCCAGACATGCAGTAGTATCTCTCGATGGGGTGACCCTTGAAGATTCTGGCTTACGCAGTTGATGTGGATTGGTTCAAGAGTAGAAATTGTTATTGATCAGAGATAGGCCATGTTGCTATTGCATATACCGAGGGGATTGGATTGGTGGGAAAGGGTGGGAAAGAGGAAGGAATGGAAGAGTTGGTGGTAGTAGAGATGGTGGTGGTGGTGGAGGTGGACAAACTCATTCTCTATAATTTTCAAGGATGCGAACTATGCCGTAAAAGGATTTAGTAAGGCATGAAAACTGACGAACAAACGAGCAAGCGCGCTCACGCTAGAATGAAAGGATTAATCAAGTGAATTGCGGTTCCCGACTTAAAAGCAGCATTGGATGAATACACCATGTAGGATTTTCCTAGGGTTTTCCACATGAGCATCGTTAGTCAGGTTAGATCATGTAAGGTGGTAAGTAAGTAAGGTATCAAGCTACTGGTAAGGCAAAGTAAGATAATCATGGCGGAAAGATTTCTGAACGTTCAATGGTCAATGGATTTTCATTTGGGCTTCATTGCAGGAATATTAGGCTTCAGGGCCGGAGACAAGATCCTAACATGATACAATTGTTAAGTGACATATTTGAGTAGTTAGTTTTGCTCAGTATCTAGGTAGGTACAGGTGGTACAGCTCGTTCGATGGTCTCATAGCTACCTAAGTATGTTGTTTCCAATTAGAAAATCTTGAAATTTCTAGAAAGAGAATTGTACAATTGGACAATTGGACATTTAGCTTTTCGAAAATCTCCTACTTACAGAGAGTATGACTTACTTTCGTTTGTTCACATCTGTATGCGTTGTCAATTTGAAGATTCTACCGTTTAATGCCCTCCCAACACGCCCCCCTGGTCCGATTGGGACGGGAATGAGGAAGCAGGCGAATAGAAATGACACCGATATTGAAGATTCCTGAAGGGATTACACATCTAAGGAAACCAATCGTTGTGACATCTTTCACCTACTTTTCGCTTCTTGAGAAACCACAGGTACATGCAGGACAGATGATCACAGGATTGCTTTTGGTCCCAGAGATCTCGATTCCTTTCCTGGCATTGTGAACAACACTGCTGCACGTCATGACGGCGAAAAGTATCAAAGACATTGATTTCTTTTACTGAGAATCACTTCAATTAGTACAAGCTGGCAAGCTGTATGTTGGCAACTAATCCAAGAACCATTGGATTGATAGTGATATATTATTTATGAGGCCATCAAAGTGGTTATATGTGTTACCAAATAGATTACATTTTGTTGTTCCGAAGCTGGGTCCTAGCCTGCAGATATATCATGTTCCATGTGCCTTTTGGTGTTGAGCTACAATAAAACGGTGCGGCAGCAATGTACGAAGTGAGAACGGTTGAACTGGCAGGGCTGTGTTCATTTATCCTGTCAGCGAATGATGTCGACCAATTCTTTGAGGTGGTGTGCGTAGATTGTCCTCACATGCTTCAATTTCAGAGTTTTCGTCAAACTAGTCACCCATCTCTCACTGCATGCTTATGCTTTGTGTTTGAATTTATCGGATCGTCCTACTAATACATCTATTTTGTACTCCCTCCTTACATGACATAAACTCGGTGTGAAGTGAACCCATATATGCACATTAGAAGATGCCTGCGTTATCGCCCCATCTCATCTCTAGAACGCTCGCTATGTTGAGCTACCCGGAACGCCTCCTGTGCCTATGATTATATTGTCCTTTATCCTCCTACCCAAAAATCTTTAAAAATCCCCACATCCCAATCCCACTGAGTACCGGGATGGTCAAGTTGTCATCCCACCCAAGTATGTCTACCACCTCACTAGCTGCCGCCGTGAAACCCGTCCAAACACTCATGATACCTAAAGCCAGCCCCCCAGAAATGACGCTTTGAGCCTCATTCAAACCAATAAGATCCCGGATTCCCGCAGGAAGGATTAAATCTCCCGAGAACATAAAGGGCCAGTCCAGATCATCGGGAAAGGGGCCGGTTCTAGGTGCTAGCCACCCCCAAAACACGGCTGCGGTGACCACGCCAACAGCAAATGCAGCGAGAGACCCAGCAAGTGATTTACCACGTCTCAACCGTGGAGTATATCGTCCGTAGGCCCGTCCAAAAGTACTCGCTGCTGTATCACACCAGCTCAAAAGAAGTATTCCCATTACACCAACATCTTTCGGAAAGAAACCAAGAACAATCCACGCGCCAAGTAAATACCAGATGACACCGTTCCATCCATTATACTCGGTTTCCCGCATAAACGCTCCTAGTAACCGCACATATAAACCGTTAAAAGCCGGGTAATTATGTCGGACATAATCCACAGTTGATATGGGTATCAGGGCACCCATTAGGTAAGGTGTAATGGCATTGGTTTGGACACCAGATATGTAAAGCCAAATCGTGAAGAATCCTATGGAAACGTGCAACACCTTTCTTGGTATTTCGTGGCGATGTACAAACGACCTCCATTGTCTGTGGATAGGTATAAGTCCCAAAGGGCTGGGGCTTCTGCTGAAGTCTCTCCAGCTCCAGCCTGATCTTGCGCTGGTGGGGGACAGATGCCCATTTGACGCCTTTCCATCTGTACCATTTGTTTCTTCTGGATGGACATTATCTGTAGGCTTGGAAGACTTTTTCGTATTCTTGACTGTGGAAGTTGCTAGTTTTCGAGATTTCAGAGGACTTCGGCTCCTTGTCCTGGATCTGTCCAACTCAATGGCTGAGTCCTCGGGGTCTGTTTCACCTTCATCTATCCCTTCATCTATTGGGAGCGTATGCGCTGACAGCTTCTTTCTCGCAGATCTGGTCATTGGCCCAAAATACTCTCCATTTTGGGATAATTCCGACGGGGTTGGAGAAGGAGATATGACACGCGGAGTAGCCGGAATATCTGAATATGATCTCGACATTGCAAATTCTGGCAAACAAGGCACTGGAATGACACCAGCGAGTGTGCGTCGGCTAAAGGCAAATGTTCGCAATAACGAGATGGTGGGGATTAGATGTTTGTCTTTCCGCGAAGAGCGTTCTATGTCGTTGTGGGGAGTTGTAACAAATGAATTTATTGTGTGAGAAGGCACGAGAAGTGCAGACTGAGCTGCATTGTTGAAGAAAGATATGATGACTTTTTGCGCCGCGTGAAGACGTGGCACATGAGTTATATGATGGGTTCTTTTTCAAGTGTCAACGGAGATTGAATCAAATGAATGAGACACGGACTGATAAGACGACCCGGACGCGGCACAGAAGAACTGTATAGAAGATTATTCCTCTGTTCCTGAAAAGCATGACTAAGCACGCGACCACGAACACTTTTACATGTGACATTGATACTGGATAACTGAGGGAAGAAAATGAATCTATTGATAATGTAGAATGGAATAAGTTATGCTTACCTTTTTCAATAATCCTCTCGTCGTCTTTATTTTCCCATCAATATCAAAGTTTCAAAGTATTACCCAGTATTGCTTGCATTCATCCTTCTGACGTAGAACAGAAACCTTGGAAGCGTTTGAACCTTGAGGTCCGAATGGAGGGAAAAGCCAGGAAAGTATGGCGGTGCATCCCGACAAGGGTCCCGCTCGTTAACTACTCGTAGAGACAGACTACCTAGGTACGAAGTAGTCGGACCCGGAAAGAAGATAAAAATGTTGATCCCGATAAGATAAGAAAATTCCATCGTCGGAAAACTAAAAAAACATAGAAAACCCCGACAAGCTTCATACCATTACAACATAACCATGGCAATTGAGAGCGAGAAAAAGAAAGATCCAAGAGCTTGGGATGCGCTCACGCCTTCATTGGCGGAATGGGTATTAGATGCCATCTCGTCAATGGGATTCGAAAAAATGACTCCAGTACAAGCATCTACCATTCCCTTGTTTATGGGGAACAAAGATGTCGTTGTTGAGGTAGGTCTTGTATATCATCGCGCAAACCTCGTACTAATGACTTCAAGGCTGTGACAGGTAGTGGGAAAACTTTGTCTTTTTTGATACCCGTTGTGGAAAAGTTGTTGCGATTGGAGGAACCTCTTAAGAAACACCATGTGGGAGCTATAATTGTCTCCCCAACTCGAGAGCTCGCGACCCAAATTCATTCGGTTCTCACATCTCTACTCAAATTTCACGAGCCGTCTGCGGAAGCACTGCAACCATTGGAGGAAGGCGAGAAACGAAAGCCTTCGTCTACTCTAAGAGTCATCCCACAACTTCTACTTGGGGGTACAACTACTCCGGCGCAAGACCTCAGCAGGTTTCTTAAGAATAGTCCCAATCTCCTCATCTCAACACCTGGTAGATTACTAGAACTACTTTCATCTCCGCATGTTCATTGTCCACAATCTTCCTTCGAGGTTTTGGTGTTGGACGAGGCAGATAGGTTATTGGATCTGGGTTTCAAGGATGATTTACAGAAAATTCTCAGTCGTCTGCCGAAGCAGAGGAGGACGGGTCTTTTCAGTGCCAGTGTCAGTGAAGCAGTAGGGGAAATAGTCAGGGTCGGGTTGAGGAATCCAGTGAAAATCGCCGTGAAGGTTAAAGGGGCTGGAGGGGGTGATAAAATGACCCCTGCGAGTCTTCAAATGTCTTACTTACTGACTCCACCAACCCACAAGTTTCCTGCGTTGCTATCTTTACTATCACAGCTTGAGCCAACTCCTCAGAAATCTATCATCTATCTTTCGACCTGCGCCGCCGTCGATTACTTCCAACCTTTACTTGAGGCAGTGTTGCCTAAACGATTTGGTTTAGTTTCCTTACATGGCAAGCACCCACCCAACGTAAGGCAAAGAAATTTCTCCAAATATGTTGCAGCAGTCACCCCGACGATACTTCTCACTACAGATGTTGCCGCAAGAGGTCTCGACATACCTCAGGTCGACTTGGTAGTACAAATCGATCCACCGTCAGATCCGAAAGTGTTTCTTCACAGATGCGGAAGAGCGGGTCGAGCTGGGCGAAAAGGATTGAGTGTCATTTTCCTACAACCAGGACGTGAGGAAGATTATATCCCATTTCTTGAGATCCGTAAAACCCCAATTATACCCCTCAAACGGCCTGAAATCAGCACGACTGATGAGGCTGCTAAAATTCTCATTTCAAAGATGCGCAAAGAAGTTCTCGCAGATCGTGCTCTTTATGATAAAGGACAACGTGCGTTTGTCAGTTGGGTTCAGGCCTATTCAAAACATCAAGCAAGTAGTATATT